AAAGTATAAATTACATAATAGAGTCTCCAAAATGGACTACTTATACATGCCATAATACCTAATTACATAAAACACTAATCAACTACTAAAATATCGCTTCAGCTCTGATGCTACTCTTCTGGTCTTCAAACAGCAAATACAGACTTCAACCTACGCGTGATAAAAACTCAGTGGTGCTCATAAAACACAACAAACCAATGTTGCGATGGCAACACACTAAAGCAGAAATTTTCAGCAAGAGATTTATAATTATTTTTACAAGGGCTCACATACACTTAGGAGAAAAAGAAGCAGATAGGTTTTCATAACATATTCATAATGGCCTTAGGTCGCCAACCCAAATAAACTATTAATATTTTATTCGTTCAAATCATAAATTCATTATTTGAAATTGTCGTACACCAATACATATACTGTTTATTTTGAAAACCATGTAATGTAATATCCTGCTTTGACAATTCATTTAATAACATATAATCATTTATTTCCAAGCTACCTGGAAAATATGTTTACAAGGGCTCACATACACTTAGGAGAAAAAGAAGCAGATAGGTTTTCAGATCAGATTCAGAATGGCCTTAGGTCGTCAACAGATTCAGAACATATAGAGCGCGTCCGCCCTAATAGAACAGAAGACACCCACGTGCCTAGCATATGATCATAGCTTCTTATCATAATGGCATCAAATGCCGAGCATCCACCACGTGCCTAGCATATGATCATAGCTTCTTATCATAATGGCATCAAATGCCGAGCATGCTCATCAGATAGAATAAAATCAAATCACGCATCAATTTCACACCAAGTATATTAGAGCCCCAAAATCTTTATTTTAATTCTTACTTCATATACTGCATAACATTTCTCATAAATTTATTTTCTGTAGTATTTGTACAATCATAATGAAAACTGAATTTAAATTAAAGTAATTCATGCAAATTCTCACACTTAAACAAAATTACTTAACATAGGAAATTTCCAGCATAAAAGTAACCTTGACCTTTGTTGAGTTTTTACAACATAACTTGAGTTATATATCTCCAAATTGAATGAAATTAGATTCAGTAGAAAGATCAGACAAAATGCTACGATTGTTATGAAGGAACCAGAACCCAGATCAATATGTAAGATAGCAAAAAGAAGCTAGGAACACAGATTTACAGTCCAGACCTGATTCAGCAGAACCAAGTCCAATGTTTATTGAATTACTCCTTAACCAGACACTCAAATTAAACCAATCCAACACCAGGTAAATTTCAAGACACAGGGCAACAAATCTCATGAAGATCTTGCCATTATGGTGGTCAAAATAGTCACTCAATCTATTGCTGCATGTGGTAGCTGCATGTGGTACGTTACAACAGAGTCAGTTTAGGTGTTTTAGTCATAAGTTGAGCTATATATATCAAAATTGGAAGAGGATGGGTTGGAAAGCTAAGAAGTATACCCACAACTTTTATGAAGGGCTCAAATACAGAGGGAAAATAAAACGAATAGAAAAACTGTCCTTAAACACACCCATTAACACATTTTTCCCTTGGTAAATTCTGCCACTTTTGGAAGAAGAAGAGAAAATATTTTCTTCATAAATTCAACATATAGGTAGGCTTAGCAAACACTCAAGAACACATTTATACAACCAAATTTCAACAATCAAATCATTTCATACCAAATCCCCAAATTTTCACAAAGTAGCACAAACTTCACAAAATAACAATTAAAAAATTGAAATAAAGGTAAGTTGTGTATTGAACACAAACCTCAAAAACAAACTTTAACAAGCTTTTAATCAAAGCTCCTTTAAGTTGGTCTTGCCTTTATCTTTGGTTAACATCGTTCTCCACCTCTACATGTAATAAACTCAAAATCAAAAACACAAGAAAACAAATAAAAGAAGAAATTGAGCATATGAAGTATTGTATATGCTAAAGAAAACTCTAAAACCCAAAAGGTTAATGAAGTTTACTCATGAACACTTACTTCACCTAAGTTCTCCAAAATCCTTTGAAATTAGTCCCCAAAAAAACCACTTCTTCAAGCTTAATCTCTAGATTTTTCTTACTTAATCAAGGTAGATGCGAGTGAATGGTGAATGATTCAAGTAGGAAATGGGAGAAAACAAAAGAGAAAAGAGAGGCTAACAAGAGAAGAAGTTCACGTTAGATGGAAGGAAGAGGAAAAATTATACTCAAATTAATGAGTGACTAAAGGTAGTTTGGTCTTTTCATCAAAATTGGATGGCTAGGATTGAATGTGAATCTAAATCTAATGTATCTTAAAGGAAGCTCATAGTAGTCCATATGCTATGCATCCTGGCAGTAATAAAATGTATCAGGATTTGAAATCACAGTATTGGTGGCCAGCGATGAAGAGTTTTCTTAATTAATATAACAACATTTCAAATTTAATCCATACAACTATTGCCTCATTTCCTTAATTAATATCACACCTTAAGTCACTACTCACTAATTCTCTACAATTCTCCAAAAATATTCATTACCCACTTTCTACCCATAAAAACCATGCATGCATGCTCCAAAAATGTGATATAAAATATTAACCCTATCTAATAATTTTTTTCGCGGACCAAAATAATACTGACTCCCGGACCGAGAGTACTATTCACAGACCGATAAACTACTATTTCAACGCAGGAAAAATAGGGCGTCACAAACCAAGTGAAAAACCTGCAAATTGAGCAAGAATTGAGCCAAATCGTTGAATCAGACCAAATCGATTTGAATCAAGCCGGAATGATCTAGAAACCGACATACTTTCTTCTCTTTTTCTTTCTTTTCTTTCCCTTCCTCTTCTCCTTCTTCTTCCTCACGCGACAGCACTCTATCCTTGGCTCCACTGCGTTCTCCGTTGACGAGCCACGGAATTCGGCAACCAAACTCTCTATCTTCATCTTCTCGACGAGAGGAGCTCACTGGTGGTATTGTTTCGCAAAACAGAGGTCGAGATCGAGGGGGCCACAACTCAGCGTCGCGCGGTGAAGATCCGGCGATCCACACCGTTTGCGACGGCTGCAGCTTGAAGGAACAGCGTCGATCGACTCCTCTCCTCCATATGAACATTTCCCCTCCATCAATTTGTGATTTTGCCTGCGTTTTGATGAACCACCATGGACGGCGGCTTGAAGGTGGCTGTGGAGGTCGATCCGGCCAAACGAGCCACTGGCTCAACAAACTAACTGGATTAAAGTAGATTGACTCCTCACGAAAATTGGAGTCGGGTGGTGGTGACTTGCAATTTCTGGGCGGTTTAACTTTTCCGGCCACCCAAGTGGCACGACGGCAACGGCGGCGGTCCGGCGAGGCTCCGGCTCGCGAGGACTCTGAGAGGCAGGGACTCTGAGAGGCAGAATGATCTCCTCTTTGCGCGGACCACAAAAACCAAATCCGATTTTCGATCAGTACATTGTATGGCCTGGTTGCTCATTTTCGGTATAAATTTCAAAACTCAAATTAATTAATTAATTAAATACATGATTAATCGAATTAGTAAAAAATTGGACTTTTATGAATTTAAATACAGATAATTGAGATATATGAACAACGCATGTAGAATCGGACTTCTAGGTAGTTAATGGATAATAAAGACTTTCACAGGAAATAAAAATGCTTAAATTACAAATTAGCAATTAAATTAATATGTAGATATTGTTAATTATGATTAATTAAATTATAAAAGGAAATAACAATTAAAGTACATTGGTGGTATAAGTCGATTATATTGTAATGTGTGATTATTAGAACAGTCCGATATGTAGAGATGAGTAATGTTGAAATTTTCGAAACAGAGAATTATTAAAGAACTGGACTAGTTAAAATATTAAATGGGAATAACTAAAATTTTTAATATAACTAATACTACGATTAATGATACGTTTATTTTGATTTACTAATATTATCATATTATGAACCATTAAATTTACTAAAGACACTTATATTAAAGATGTGAATAAAATAAATGAATAAACAAGACTACTGTAATTAAATAGCTTAATAAATTAATAACGATTGTAATTGTCTAGCGATTAAAGATTTAATTTCTTGAATTAGAATTCTTACTTAGAATTTCCTTTTAGATACTGCGAAGCTGCTGAACGTCGAAACAAAAGCTGAGAACGGGTATAAGCAAAGCAGAATAATAAAATGGGTCAAAATCCCTAAAGATCTGTTAGTCCACTCTTGAAATTTGGATAGCAGTATTGCCATCCATAGTAAATATTATTACATTTTTAAATATGTTTATTCACAATATAATTTTGAAGTGATATAGTAAGAGATTGGAAAATGAGAAGGGCTACCTTCAACATTTGACTTGGGTAATCTCATTAATCATAAATTCATAATAATCATATAAGGTCAATAAACATAGAAATATATATACAGTTTCAATTTTTTGGAGTCGAAAACAAAATTATTAGAAATTAAGAAAATCTTAAACAGTGTTCGAATTGAAGATTCTAAAATTTTATGAGATGTAATAAGATTCATAAAATTAAGAATCTATGTTTGTAATTTCATAAATTTACAAAATTTATTTCGTTTAATAGGAATAATTATATTTATAGTGTTTTTAATTTTTTAATTTTTTTTGGTGTTTAAATGAAAAAATATATAATTAATTTTTATTGCAAATGTTTTCCGTGAAATAGAAAAAATTAAATAATTTAGACATCACTAGTATAATTAATATCATTTGATATAAATATTAAATTTGTAAATTTCAGAATTCATCACAATGTAAGACTGTATTCTATAAAATATTTTGAAAAATCTATGAATTTTTATTGTGCCAAACGAGTGACGACTTGAACATATTCCTTACTCAAAATCCCTCCTTCCAAACATGAACTAATGTTTTGTCGCTACCTAACCAACGTGTAATCTCAGAATTGCCCTTACAAGAAGGGGCAAAATTGAGGAATGAAATTGAAAGTTAGAGGAGGAGAAATGTTAGGTGTGGTCGTTGAGAACTGAAGATCTATGAGACAAACGACACCGCTAATCGGCTTTTAAACCCCCACCTCTGCGTTTCTAAGATCACAATCTCTTTCTCTCTCTAACACACTCACACATCCGAAGAACAAGAGATTTCACCAGAGAGACTCAAGCCTGCCGAAAAAAAAGAAAAAAGAAAACTAAAGACAAACAAGCCTCCACCAACTTTATCTTTTACTCCCAATCTCCTCCAAGGAAAGCTCTAATGGATGCCAATCACCAAACCCTATTAAACCAAGATTCCACCACAGAAGAACAGGTCCAACAAGAACAGCAATTCGCCATTGTTCCTTCTCAATTCGCTTCATCCCCATTTGCTACTGCCTCTCTTTCTCTATCTCTCTCAACAATTCTCCCTACCCACTTTTTCAATCAGCCAAAGATTGCAGCTTTATTTTCTCATTCACCAAATAAGGCCAAAATCCCTACTCAAGCATCTTCTCTCTCTCACCTCTCTTTATCCTCCTCTACTCTTTCTCATCCAAAACTCTCTTTCAAGTCCACCATTTCTGCTAACCCTTTACAGAATACTCTCTCTCTAGGCCCACGCCGCCCCTCTGACCCCTCCAATGCTGCCGGAATTCGTCGAGCTTCCATCGTTTGGTTCCGTAATGACTTGCGTGTTCATGACAATGAGTGTCTTAACTCTGCTAATGATGAGTCCATGTCTGTTTTGCCTGTTTATTGCTTTGACCCGAGAGAGTACGGCAAATCCTCTTCTGGGTTCGACAAAACTGGGCCTTATCGTGCCACTTTCTTAATTGAATCGGTTGCTGACCTCCGCAAGAACCTGCAGGCTAAGGGGTCTGATCTTGTGGTCAGAGTTGGGAAGCCAGAAACTGTTTTGGTTGAGTTAGCAAAGGCCATTGGAGCTGATGCTGTTTATGCGCATAGAGAGGTGTCTCATGACGAGGTTAAGGCTGAGGAGAAGATTGAGGCAGCCATAAAAGATGAGGGAGTTGAGGTTAAGTACTTCTGGGGAAGTACCTTGTATCATGTGGATGATTTGCCATTCAAGTTGGAGGATATGCCGTCTAATTATGGTGGATTTAGAGAGAAAGTGCAGGGATTGGAGGTTAGGAAGACCATTGCTGCATTGGATCAATTGAAGGGAATACCATCAAGAGGAGATGTCGAGCCTGGGGAAATCCCATCTTTGTTGGATTTGGGTCTTAACCCAAGCCAGGTTTGTTTTTTTGCTTCTATTTGAATTCTATTTAGCGCTTGGATTTACTATGCTTTCCTGAAATCCCATCCTTACTGGTCTAAGCTCGACCTTATATCCGCCGCTTTCTCATATACGTATGAGATAAAATAACTTTATTTTTAAGTGTTGAAGGTTTTGCTAGGTTATATTTCAATTGTTTTTTATGTTTGATTTGTGTTGCTATTATAATGAATGTAAGTAGTGGGTGGTATTCGAGTAGAATGTTGAGTTTGGTTAGTGGTTGTGATGAAAATTAAAATGGAAAAAGTAAACATTTCATGCATATCAATATGATGTTGTTATTGACATATGGATGGGTGTTCGTGTGAATGAAGTTATAGAAATGTGGCTTTCTGCTAAATGAATATATAGCCGTGTAACTTTTTTAGTCATGCAATCTTAGTTGTTGACATTAGAATATTTGCTCCATTGCGACCCTAAATATGAACTATTGTCTCTCAAAATTTGTATGCTAATAATATTGTAATCCTAGTATTTTAATAGGCATTCTTTGTATGAGATGTAGATGTTTCTGCAGTTTTCTGAAACAAATTTCTAATCCAAAAGAAAACACAAGTGGACCTTCTCTTCATTTCTTTAAATGCAGTAATAATGCTGTCCAATAATGGTAATGCAGGATGGAAAGCCAGCTGCTAATGCTTCTATGATAGGAGGGGAGACTGAAGCATTGCAGAAGCTTCAAAAATTCGCAGCAGAGTGCCAGGCACAACCACCCAAAGGAGGAAGCCATGACAGCATGTACGGTGCGAACTTCTCCTGCAAAATTTCTCCATGGCTAACCATGGGATGCATCTCTCCCCGTTCAATGTTTGATGAGCTAAAGAAAACTGCTACCAGGTTTGCCTAGAACTAATTTGCTTCTTTCCAGTTCTTTTAAGCCATGTTACTAAATCTTTTACGTGATATTTTGCTCACAATTGAAACAATTTGATTGATAGAACTATTTCTGCTGCCTCAAACCGTAACGACGGTGGTAGCTCCCCGGACACCGGAATGAACTGGTTGATGTTTGAGTTATTGTGGAGGGATTTCTTTAGGTAGCTTGATGAACCTTACAATTTGTGCTTCTAAAGTTAGAATCCGTGTTTTTTTTTTTTTTTGATAAATCAATCTATATCTTAGCTCTCTATTGAAATCTCATATAGTCGGTTACTGCATTTAGAGAGATATATTAAAAGACGTACCTATTTTTGCGACCCCTAAAATACTTATAAATTAATCTCATTGTCTCTTAAGAGCATATATCGAAATAATAATAGCTGAATTAAATATTGTACAAATCCTAGTATGTTTAATATAAGAGAGACATTTCTTTCTCGTGATGGAGTAAATGCTAGTATTTGTCTTGAGCCAGTTTAACTGTGCGAAGACAATTTCTTAACTAAACATCTCTCTAAAAAGAGAGACATAACACAAAGTGGACCCTTAATCCGTTCCACCTCTCTTTAATATGTCATCAAACAAGAGTAATATATTTTGTCATTGTTCTCCAATAATTGGTAATGCAGGTATGGAAACTAACTTGTCACTACTGACTAATGAATTTGTCTTTGTCTGATCTTCTGAGGTGTAGTGAGCTAATAGTCTCACATTTTTCAGCAGCCTTCGAAAAAGTAAAAAAAGTGATCGCCACTATGCAGTGTAAAAAGCGTAGTTTTGCAGCAAAATCTCACTCCAAAAGGAGGAAGCCATGACAGCAAGCCTTCGTTATCCTCCGTTGCTTATACCACTCCTTCTCTGACTATATAAAAGATTTCTCTTCATGTGCGTGTAATCGACTGGCGAAATGCATACTATCTGCTTTCCGTTCATCAAATGTTGAGAAAATGAAGACTAAAGAGAAAACTAAACTTGTACCAGGTTTGCCTAGAAGACTGAAAGTATTGACTATTACCTTTTTTCTCAAGTAGATCACTTATTTAAACTGACCATCTGTTATCTAAAATTTCTTTTCTATATGTGTTATCTCATATGAGCTCAATCAATTTTGAATATTTTAACAAAATGTTTGATCTTTGATCCTGGTATTGACTAAATCATATAATTTGCTGTGTTCTCTGTCCTTCCAAGACCCGTTCTATATAGATATCATCGACCCCTGTAATCTATTGGTGTAAGGCTCACTACCGGAGAAGACGTTTATAAAATGAATAAACTAGTTTGCGTTGGTGTTGTATAATGTAGGCGTATAGGGGGTGTCTATAAGGTAGTCTATTGAATGTGATAAACTCCTATGGCCCTCATATATAGAATGCCTCTTCTCCTCTGTAATGATGTAGTAGTATCTCACAGTGTCTGTTTTGATGTAAAGTTGCCTGTTCTCTACTTTTTTATATTTTATTTGATAAATCAATCTTTTTTTTTTTTTTTCTTTTTTTTTTTTTTCAGATTCATCACTATAAAAATGACAGAATTCTCCAAAAAGACAGGCTTGAAGCCACTCCCATGCCACAGCTTTGTACGGGGGTGCTTTTGCCTAGGCAAAGCGGTTTTATGTATGTTGGCAAAGCAAAGTTTGGTCCTCCTATTACATGGATTATGATCTTTACTTCTTTAGTAATCAGTGTGCTCATCCAATGTAGCAAATTTTTAGATGTTGTATTAGTGTGATAAGAAGGGAGTTATCCCTCTGTCAAACTTTTTGTTTTCTCCCTTTCGGAATAAATTGATTAATTTAAATTTGGGTAAATGTTGTTATAATTCTTTTAGATAATGGATAAACTTCATCTTAATTTTCAGTTATGGTATGTGCCTCTTGTGGAGTAACACCAGACCCCCCAGTTAACTGCGTTTTAATCTAGTTGTTCCCACCTTTGTTAGTTTCTGTTCTTGTTTTTTTTTTTTTCTTTTTTTTTTTTTTGCAGATTCATCACTAAGAAATACAGTTCTCCAAAGAAACAGCTTGAAGCCACTCCAGCCACAGCTTGTACGGGTGCTTTTGCCTAGGCAAGCGTTTATTTTGTTGGTCAAAGCAAAGTTTGTCCTCCTATACATGGATTATGATCTTTACTTCTTTAGTAATCAGTCTCATCAATGTAGCAATTTTTAGATGTTGTATTAGTGTTGATAAAAGGGAGTTATCCTCTGTCAAACTTTTGTTTCTCCCTTTCGAATAAATTGATTAAATTAAATTTGGGAATTGTGTTATTTTTAGAAAGGCCTACTATTTTCAGATTTTGGATCCTCTTGTGAATAACAGACCCCCCAGTTCTGCTTTTTAATCTATTGTCCCACCTTTGTAGTTCTGTTTCTTGCTTCTGCTTGTCTGTGGAGCAAATCTGGCTTGCAGAATATTTACTCAAAGCTGTTCCCTAGCTTTTCTTTCTTCTTCCTCTCTCTAAACCTTGGAAAGTAATTTGCTGTACGGTTTACATCTACCTAGGAAGGGTTACATGAAAGTGAAAAGAAAAATAAATAGGACTGTTAATGGATAATATATATGTTAAGGATAACTCTCCTCTTGCCCATAAGTCTTCTCCGTCCTGCCTATAACTGAAAAAATCAAACCGAACCGAACAAGTATGAAAATTCAAACAGAATTGGACCAAAATAATTCAGTTTCATTGATAAAAAATGAACGGAGTCTGAATCACAATTTGTATCTTTCGAAAAAAATTGATCTAGTTAAAAAGACAATCAAACCAAATGAAATCACGTTTGATTTTGTGGTTTGAATCAATCCAAATGCTAATTCAATTATTGAAATCTATTCATTTTTGCATGGAAAACAAAACTGAAAGCAAAATCAGAATTCGTATTTTTGATTCGATTATTCAGTTAGAACGAATGTTTGATCACCCCAATATACATAAAAAAAACAAGGTATTTGAAGAGAATTTTTAATTTCCAGTTGGAAAATGGGTATACACCGCAAGTCCGAAAGGTTAGGGCATTAGTAACAATATGGCCTTTGGGCATTGAAATATATTATGATCCGGTCAACCCGACAATTGTTACCGTTATTTGTCTTGCAAAAAATAAAAAAATAAAACGAGGTGCAATAGGCACTTACAAAATCGGAATAATATAAAGGGAGTTTCTATCATCCCTTACTGCAAATAATACACAAATCCTATAAATCCAAAAATATATATATACACATTCCCCATCATATGATACCAGAAACTCTGAGGGAGGACAGCACCACAAAAATAAGCCAAAGCAACATGAAGTATATGCTTGTTGCCCACGCCCAAATCCTTGGCCCTCCAAGTTCTGCACCCAATGTCAAACGCCTGTACACAAGAATAACAATACAGCCTGCGGATGTACAAAAGAAAACAATCAATGAGAAGCCTAGTCCTGACGCATTCTCAACCCGCAAAGGTTCCCTATAGGCAAAGAAATTGTAGGCGGTGTCTATCAGCCATGGAACACCGATACCCACATATATGTTCACTGAATTGCTGTAAAAGAAAAATGAAAAATCAATTGATATTTTTGTTAGCCACTTCCACACAATAAAAATTTTAACAACTTCCAGGATCTTCATAAGAAACCTCCTGATGGGTATATTTGAATTATTACCTAAAATTACACAACCAAACCCTAACTAAAGCACTTTTGTAACAAACCTGCAGGTGATGTTTGCAATGGCAGAATCTGCTGTTATTTGACGTTCAGCAGCAATCTTGCTTGCCACCAAGTCAGGCCATGAAGTTCCAGCAGCTAGTGCCGTAAATGCAATGACATAAGCATTTATTCCTGAAAGAAAATATACCGCATGCAAAGTAGACAGGAAAATATTCACTTGTTAGTTACAAGGCTAATCATAGTAACCATTAACTCTAGAAAAGGAAATTCACAATTTTCTGTAAATAGGAATATAACCTGTAACACAGCTTATAACATCGGTGAGCTTTGTTACAATGTAAGCTATCCCACTGATGAAAAGTAGAGAGCAAATGAAGGCAATCCATCCATGAGCAATATGATAAGGAGGCACAAAAGCGAACAGAATTCTCCAAGGTGCAAGGACTAATTGCCAGAAAACTTTTGCCAGCCGTATATAAGTATTCTCCAGTTTTCTCGATTCTGAATTCTCCAACTGCTTTGAAGATAGAAATTAGTCACCAGTACTATACAAAAAAAGAAAGAGGAAACTGTTCACCAAGAACAAAGCAGGCAACAGCTAAAAGGAAAAACTTTGTGCAGGAAGTTTAAGAGAAAGTTAAAAGTCACAAATTTTTAGCACAAAAGTACTTGATAAAAATAAAATGAAATAAATGAGAAACTGTCATGTGTTTCCAATCACTGAAATAAAATTTGTTTGAACTGTGAGAAATTCAATTTAACTTAGAAACCAAGATTTGAGAATTCCTTTAGAACGACATATGCAATGGTGATGCTTTCGCATTTTAATCGATTAAAGCAGGAGCTCCAGCTAATTTGGATTAACAAGCATCTAAAAGAAGAAAAGAAAAATGAATTTGAATGAATTATAATCATATGTTGCACCACTCTTTGAGCTCTAATATTAAGAAATAATATAATCCATTCTGCCCAGGGTGCATGTGGAGAGCGAGAGAGAGAGTTAAGAACCCTACCATTACTTGGCCCAGACAGATTTTTCAGCATCAGCATTTTATGGAAATTTCACAAGTTCAACACAATAAACAAAAGTTATGGTACTAACCATGACTGCGTCTACAAATTGCTGTTTCCAAACAGCAAACACTGCAAAATCTTGTTCACTGTGAAAATATTTATTGGAGGATTCAGATGCGCCATCTGCTTCAGGCACTTTCTGATATGCTGGACCTACAAAGTAAAGGCTTTATTGGATGGAAAAATTTGGACTTAATATTCAAGAAGAAAACATTGTGTGTCATTCATATATCTTATTATCAAACTGTAATGTTTTTTTTTTTTTTTCTTTCCACCTGCAGCCTCATTATAGTGTTCAATAAATTTATATCAACTTATCAAGTAGATGTTGTTTTGTCTTGAAACCATTGTATTTACATCTATTTACAAATCATTCAGATTAATTATATAACACAGTGTAAAACTTAATTGATGCATATATTAGGAATTTAGGATGTTTACGCTTTGGAAGATATACTTCAGAAGTTCAAGAAATCTCAACCAGATGAAGCTTCTTTCCATTTTCCTATCTTCCCACTCCTCTAACTAAAACCCGAAAACAAATAATTTCATCTATACCCCCATGCTGATGGTTCTTCCTATCATGGTATGTATGCTAATGAAGTAAAGAATGCTCTAAAACCCAAGCACTGAATTACATAAAAATCCTTCTAGAAACTAAAGCTTAAAGTTGGATCAAACATAAATAAAAGAAAACAATAAATTCTACTCCTACCTTTCTTTCTAAACAAATGTCATAGTTCACTTCAAAATTTCCAATGTTCTTTCAGAAAATAACTCGGTTCACATAAAAAAAAAGCACATGAATATATTGCAAAATCCCCATTTGAGAACAATAGAGCATTGTCAGACAATGCAAGAGAGAAATAATGGGGACCCAAGGGAAATTTCACATGGCCTGCTTAACATTTGTACTCATAAAAAAACTTGCTACAGTTGCCCTTCTTTATCCTAAAATCTAACGGTAATTTGTAGGTCAAATCCTTACAAAATATGATCTGTAAGAAAGCTCAACTCTAAATTACAGCTATGGCCCACTCTGTAAGTTTCTACTAGTGTTTTATGAATAGATTTATGAAATATAATAGATCTCAAAACTACCACAACTTAAACAAAATAATACAGCAATACATCAGTACCTGTCCCAACAGTTGAATGGATAGAGAATATATCAACAAGATTCCTTTGATCGTTGCCAATCTGAAGTATTTGATCCTCGTGAATTTGAGGTATCTCAGAGTACTCTTCATTAAGACTGTTTTGACATTTGCATTTAACATCCTCTTCCGGTACCCACTCTTCTGGCCTCTCAGTTCTTTCACTTTGAATTGCAAAAAGCACGAGAAACAAGATATTAAGTGCGGAATTCCAATTGGAACACAATTTTCTTTGGTTTGGTTCAAAAGAAAAGGGAAAGATAAGGAGGAGAAAAATACATTGGAAGAGATAAGTAAGGCCAACGCTTATCTTGTGCATAAGCATGTGTTAGCAGCAAACCATATTGTAGTACTGTCAATAGGGCCTCCCATATTGTAATTACATCAGGAGTCCATACCTGCACATAAGTTTTAAGACGGCATTGCTAAGCAGGTGCCCCGCATGTGTCAACCATAATCATGGTAATTATGGCCAATAATCAGATCATGTCATATCCCAATATCACATGTTTAAAATCAAGACAGAAAATGAGAATCCAAGGACTAACAATCTATGATAAAATTTACATCCCCATAAGTCAATCAAGAGCATATGTTGTATATCATACAAAATGTTCTAAATTATGCATAAAGTTACCTCTAAAATTATGTATAGCCAAATATAAGCCCAGAAAGACCAAAAGAGCTCCACAAGCCAAACTCCTAAGTCAGATATCTTTTTCAATTCTCCAGCTTTAGGAACCACCACACAAACAGCATGGATGGGGAAAAGGTCGAATGCAGCAGAACCAACAAGTGTTCCAGGACCCAGTCCTATGGATTAAGGTTGTTTTTGTAGAAATTATTAATATGTCAGAAGAAATAATAATAAGTAGATAACTTCTCAAACTAATCTTATGAAGAGATAACAACTGCAGGTATAAGTTGTGCATTTAGCAGGCAAAACAAATCAGAATGTAAGATACAACAACAATTAAGCCTTAATCTCAAATTATTTGGGGTTGGCTATTAGAATCCTTTGTTTCCACTCCAGTCAGTTCATAGCTTAGAATGTAAGAATACTAATACACCACTACACATACATTAGACAAAGCAGAAAAGAACTTCTATGCGTTAATTTATTGCATAAAATTTTACTAATTAAAGACCAAAATAAATTAAAAAAAGATAGGCTGAGAATAGTGCACACCTCCAGCATAGAGGTTCCCAATGTTTCGAATGGCATCAATAGTAGCCAATGATATCTGGGGGAAACTAGTCCCAAATGCGAGCAATGATATATCTGCAATTGCATAATTCCAAACCTTCTCGTACCTTATAACTGGGGTATTAGTGCAAGGATCTACCTCCACCACTTTACGCGAATGTTTAACCACATTCTCCATGGACCGGAAGAATCGACCAGTTATAGCTGATAATCCAATGAAGCAATAAGCCAGACCAACAAAATACAAAAAGGTCCGAAACCCATTTCGAAGGGAAGTTTCTCCATGGAAAAGCAAGTAGCTTTCACATTTTTCAACCCCTAAAATATTGAGAAATTCAAATCTGCTTCTATAGCTTTGATCTTGTGTTCCCAAGACCATCTTAATTGGCTTCAAAGTCGCAATTCAAGCGCCAAGGAACAGCAATGTCAAGTATCGGTTAGATGATTAAGTTATAGCAGACCTTACTGCCACTGAAGCTTGCAATGGAGATCTAGGTTATGTTTGGCAAGCATTCTATAGTAGGTAAGCTTGCGATAGAGACTTGGATTGTTTTTGGTTAATAAAGTAACGCGATGCATTATTTATCATAATTAATAAATTTTCTATTTAAAAAAAAAAAAAAAAAAAAAAAAAAAAAAAAAAAAATCTCAGAAATGTAAAGATTAACTCAAAAACAAACAAATCTCAACGCCATTAATCTTTCAAATTATTTTGCTGGAGGGGTTTCTTGGCTATTAATGTTTGATTAGAATCCTTTTGTTTTCCACTCCAGTTCAGTTCCATAGCTTAGATGTAAGAATACTAATACACGACTACGCATGACATGAAGACAAAACCGCAGAAAATGAACTTCTTATGCGTTAATTTATTGAGCGATAAGATTTACTAAATATAAAGACCAACACAATAAAACTTAAGAGAAGAGATCTTTAGGCTGAGAATAGCTGCACATCCTCCAAGCATAGAGCAGTTTTCCCCTCAATGATTTGTGCGAATGGCATGACAAGTTAGTAGTCAAGTGGGATATCTTGGGGGAAATAGTTCCCAAATGAAGCAATGATATATCTTGCAATATGACATAAATGTTCACAAAGACTTCTCGCGTTACCTGTGTCACTAAGCTCGCGACTTGCTCACTTGTGGCAAGGATCTACCTCCACCCTTTTACGCTCGAGATGTATTAACCCTCACAGCTTCTCCAACATTAGGACCAGGAATGAAGTCGACCAGTTCACTCAACATAGAATAAACTTCCTCCAATGTGATTAGCCAATAAGCCAGACCAACAAATATTACACACACACAAGGTACTCGAAAAACCACATTTCGAAGCGGAAGTTTCTTTCCAGTAGGAAAAGCAAGTTAGCTTTTTCGCATTGTTTCAACCCCTAAAATATGAGAATTCAAATGCTGCTTCTATTAGCTTGTTGATCTTTTGTGTCCCAGGACCATTCCTTAATTGAGCTATCGCATTACCAAACAGGTCGTACAATATCAAAGAGCGCAAGGAACAGCTTAATCGTCAAGTATGCTGGGTTAGATGAATTAATGTTTATAGCAGGACCTTGACTGCCATGAAGCTTTGCAATGAGATTTCTTAGGTTTTTGGTTGGCAAGTGTCATTCTATAGTAGGTTAAGGCTTGCCGAATTAGAGATTGGATTGTTTTGTGCTTGAAATAATAACATATAGTAAACAGCTGAGATCCAATTAATATTATCATTAATAATAAATTTTCTATTTTAAAAAATAAAACAAAAAAAATAAAAAAAAAAAAAAAAAAACCAAATAGAACACTGACGAAATAGTTCATGGAGGAAAAAAAAAAAAAAAAAAAAAAAAAAAAAAAAACCTGACCGACATAGTCATCGGAGATTCGTGGACGGTCGCCGATTCTCTGGGAATTTTGTTCAGATTTCGAGTTTAGTTCAATCATTCGACATTGGACACTTGTGTGTCCATGAAAACTGAAAATGTTTCCAGCATTGGTATTCCGTATACGTAAAATAGACGTATTACCCATAATTTTGTAACTCAGAAACGAAACGAAACGAAACGAAACGACGGGGTCCACCTTCGCCAAGCAACCTGTGCCTTGTTTAATATGTGGTGAAGATTGGTCCCCTCGTCACTAAAAATTATTATCCATCAATAACAGAAATTTGGGGTTAATTTACATATTACTCTCTCGTTCCTGATATTTCCCACATTTAAATATTTCACATTATTTAAAAAAATTTATTTAATTTTTTTAAATTATAATAAATTATCGAGTGAATTGATTATATTATCTTTAATTTAAAACATCTAAATGGTAAAAATATTTATCATTTGGTAAACACAAATGATAAAAATGAAATTATTTCTTATAAATTCACAAATGTAAAAAATATTTAGAAACGAATGAATAATTTTTAAAAATTAAGAGATCATTTAATAAAATATTATTGCATTTAACATTTAGCATTTCATCGACTCTCTATACAAAAGGAGTAATAATAGAAATATATGAGGTCGTTGTCTAGAAAAAAAAAAAAAAAAGAAAAAAATTTTGGCAAACCAAATTTGACTTATATTATAATATTGATATATGGATTTGGCAAGAATCACGTGAAATTTCCTAATCAATTTAAAATTAAAATTTGAGCATTATAATATTGGGAAATTTCTTTATTTGTTTTGGTTGATGCATATCTATACTATTTATGGAAAGATTATTACTTAATAAATTGAATTAAATATGTAGAATTATGATGCCTTTTATGATATTAAAGTAAGTAAAAAAATTTTATCCTTTATACATATTAGTATTTGCAACTCTTTCTTTTTTCTATTCTGAACCTTTGTATTTTATAGTTATTAGATTTTTTTTTTTTTTTAGTTTTGAAATATTAGGCTAAATGTTATGATTATGTGTTGTTTTTTCCTCTAAATATATATTTTTGCTACTTTAACATGTTTATTTTATTGCTGAGTCGCTTTTCAACAAAGATCCGATCATCCAAATTAGAAGTTTGTTTAATATCCAATTTCGTCCTTAAAGTTTTACTAGATATGCAATTTGATCCAACTTAACTTTTGAATTAATTTAAGACCTAAACTTGGAGTTTATGATCAATTCGCCCCTCTACTTTGGTAAATATTACTGATTAGTTTAGAGATTGAGCCTCGTTCAAATATTAATTAGTTATTCTGTCCAAAAAATGCTTAGATGTTAAATGCTTTGTAACATTTTATTATTGAGTCCTTTGCATGTAACATAATATTATTATTTAATCCTCGCACTTACTCTTAAATTACTATTTAATCATTACTTAATGGTAAAAATGATATTTTTAGATTGATGACTAAATAGTTTAATGGTGCTAAACTTTAAGGACTAATCAATTGATTTACCAAAATAAGATGGATACAATTGTAATTATAATAAAATCCTAAGGACCAAATATTTATTTATCCTCCAATCATGCGATATAATTTGAAGTGAAAAGAGTTTTCTATTCTTTGAGATATAACCATCTAAATTCAGATATATTATCTATTTTAATACATTAAATAGGTAATTGAAAATCAAATTAATTTATAGGTCTTAGATCATTCAATGATCAAAATCATTAGAAGTTAAAATAGTTATTAATCTTAGAGAGAGGTGAAATTTGTAGTTGATGAGCATCATACATCACATGTTAAATCACATAATAACATTAATTTCTATTCAACCGTTCTGTAATTCCTTGTGCTGTCTGTTTTTTATTGTAACCCCGTCAAACTCACTGATGGTATGTCCGGCTGGCCAATTCATCAAATACTTGGCCGGCAAAAGTCAAATTAGTACAAGAAGAGTACATGTTAACGAGAGGTGTTTGCACAAAGCAAAGAAGGACGAGGCCAAAGAGAAGGCATCCCACGGAGAATGTAAAGATGCGAGAAGGAATTGAGAGTTGTGGATATGAGCGTTGCTTTGGAGCGGTATGATGGAAGTTTGTTCAAGTCTGAGTAATTTCTGAACTCTCATCTCAGTAGAGAGATTGATCTGAACATCATTTTCGGCTATTATGATGCTGTTTCTGATTCACCATCATCACGCGAGCAAGATACATGTAACACTGCCATTCATCGCACAGAAGGCAAATTTCAACAGCCTGCCATTGCAGGCATTACATTTCCCTGCCACTGCCCCCATGGTAAATTTCAATACATAACAAATTTAAGTGTCATGTCCTAAGAAACAACACACGTCCATAACGCTATAATTCCATCATGCAAACAGGGGAATTATGGCTTAAACGGGATTTTATGCTGTGAAAACTGAAAAGCAGCAGTTACCATCGTATAGAAGGCACCAGCGACTACAAGGAGCCAGACCACAATTATAATCCAAAACCAATGCCAATAGAAAGATCTCTATAACCAAACTGGAGCAAGAAATCTGCATTGTATTTAGTAGCTCTTACATGAAAAGTAGATATCTAATTATAACAAAATTTCAACAAAATCAGAAGAATCACAAAACAACCTCAACAAGTCTTACAGATCCAACAGCTGAAAAAGATAAGGGGGCTCTGAAAAAGGCAAACTAAAACATATAATTTGATGAAATACTGAATTGGGTCTTCAATCTTCCTCCTCTCCCTCGTTCTCAGCAATGTTGAAGTACCTCAATTCATACACATTCCTGTCTTTGTTGGAAGCAATCACCCGGAGCCAATCCCGCACATTGTGTTTCTTCAAGTACTTCTTGGTCAAGTACTTAAGATACCTGAAAAGAACAAAGATAAATACAAATGACAGAATTGTTATGTGCATCTGGCAGCTGAAACATTTGAGGTTTCATATCAAATTCAGAGACAACATTATAAGATCGAAGAGAAAATAATACAAAGATGCTTAGAGAAAAAAAAATGCTATGCGGAGATGATAACCACTGCATTCCATCAATGAGCTTGAAAGCTAACGCTCAAATGTTTAGATTTAAACATTTTACATCCAAACTAGCCATCATTTGTCAAGCTGAAATGGGCAATATGATATTGCAAGCCACAAAACCATATACTTAATTACTAACCACTATATATTTATTATTGCCAATCAAGAAACATGATAATGAAGAGACTACAAAATCCTATATTGGGCATCAAGCAATGGTTAGAAGGATCCGAACATTCATACTGAGCATAATTTCACATCACAATCATTGAATTCCTAGCCCATAAAACACCAAATTGTTAAAAACACCAGGATGCTACCCAAAACAATGAAAAGCTTTCCTGCTATTAAAATGGTCCATCTATCAGATTCCGTTTTCTGTGTGTAGATCAAGTTATCCTAACAAGAAAAATCTAAAGAAGCCATATGTAAGCACAGACAATCGAGTACCTTTTAGAGAAGTTGCTGTCGGACGTAACGGTGATCTTGCTCTTTTCACGAGTGACGGTAATGCTGTCACCAAGAGCACCGGCTTTGCCACCAACCTTTATCCTCTCCTGGAGAAATTTTTCAAGTGACGCAATGTCCATGATCTTATCCTCCACTGGCTTCGCGCAGTCAATCACGAAGGTTGCCCCCTTCTTCTTCCCCTTAGCTCCAGCTGCCGCCCCGCGACTCATCTTGACGTTTCTGCTACGCGACTCACAGGATTGATAGACCAGCGAAACAGAGCTTTGAGAGATGAAGGCAGCGCCGTGCAAAAATATAATGCGAATAGAATTGCTGGAGAGGATCTAGGGTTTTTCGTATGACTCCCACGACGTCGTTTTTGAATTCACCATTTCTTTCTTTTTTGAGGATAAATTCACCAAATATTGTACGATGTCGTTTAAAGAGAACACCTAATGATAACCTAGGTAGCTGGCAGCGTGGTTTTTTGTGGTGAATGACCAAAATTAAAACACATCGTTTTAACTAATCGACATTGATTTGTCCGGACTCGGAACCGTAAAAAACTCCCAAAAGAACCGGTAATGAGATATGGAAGAAGAAGATTTGAGCGGCGTCATTCCGTGCTCTTCCCTCGCCGTTGATTCCATCCTCCGTGTAGGAACGGTAAGAAAAATCGAGTTCTGAAAAAACAAGCGCCATTATTGTACTTCTAGAAATCCATCGTTACTCTAAATAAAAGAAATTGTTCTTTCTTTCAGGCTGGTGCGATTTGGGGGTCATGTGCAGGTCCGTATGTTGCCCGCAAAAGAGGTAATTTTTTTGAATATATATCCCAAAGAATTAGCGGTTATCAATTACGATTAAGTTCCCGCCATTATTACAGATTGGTTTATCGCTTTATAATTCTGTCTTTCTTTCCTTCTTTATGCAGGCTTGACCGGCGCAGCTTATGCTTCCTTCGTTGTATGATATTTCCACTAAATTGCTCTTTCTTTTATTGTTGTAAGACCCGGATTCTAGACTCTCATATGATTTTTATCTTTCTTCTGTTTAATTCAAAATGCAGGCAAAGTCAATCGGGAAATTCGGCTTTCAATGTGGTAATCTGAAAAAAAAAAAAAAGCAAAAGCATTTTTTGTTTTCTGCGCTTTGGTGATCCTGATTACCTTAACTGACATAGTTGCAGTATTATATGCACGCATGGTATTTCAAATTTCAAGCTTGTTTTTATTTATTTATTTATTTATTGATTTATTTGTTAGAAGGTTAATTTGCTTTAGTTTAATTAAGTATAAGAGTGATTCTGTATTCCTTTCAAGCATGGGATTAATTATTATATGACTCATGAAAGGGCTTTGAATTGATTTTGCTATGCACAAAAACTGCATATTGCTTTTCCTGTCAATGTACCCTGCAAAACGTATATTAATATTCTGTACACTTGAATCTGCTCATAGATAGTTCTCAGTTCCCACATATTCTATGGGAAGCTGGAACATGTCTATTCTTAATATTTAGGAAGATGCTGCAAGAAGTGGATGATGGAGGTGATTATTAAAGGGTTAGAGTTAATCAACTTTTAGGAATGGATATAGGCTTCAGAGGAGGAGAATATTAAATATCCTTAATATGAGAATTAAATTTTCCTTCATGCCCTTTGTTGATCCTCCAACTGAACTTATCATTCTCACACAAGATGTTTTTTATTTGTCATCATTTTCTATTAAAGTTTGGTTGGGAGTTTGTCTTTCATGTATATTGTCAGATTCTGCATTTCTATGAGATATTTATGGTGTTCTTCTGAATGTCCTTTGATGTGTCAGCTAAGCTGATTTCAGGCTTAAACTTATTCATCCTTTCTTGTTTCAATGTCCATCATCCCTTATTTTTCAGGGCTTGTTGCTGGAGTTTTTACTTTTTCCCATTGTGAAGTTCAAAGATATAGGAAAAAGAACGATTGGGTTAGTGATATTTCTATCTTGTTACTATGGCAACTTATGGATCAACAGAATTTTAAGCTTATTAGTCTTTGACAATCTAAGATCTAAGACCTAAGAAATTGAACTGCTTCATTTTGCTCATACATCCATCAGATTATTGGGTGTGCCCTTCCTTTTTGGATAAGATGAGAAACAAAAGGAAATGAAACAATTGAATTTTATAAAATAACTTTTCTTTTCTTATGAATATGATTGATGCCACCTTGTAGTGAATTGAACCTCGAGGAAAATGACTTTTTCATATTTTGCTTTTCCATAGTTTGTGGTCTGCGAGCACTGCTCTTGTACCTAGCACATATACTTTCATTTAGTTGGTAGCATTAGAAGAACTTCAAATTCATCAGACATGCATAACTTGTAATTATTGGAAACTTGGTGAAAAAAAAAATGATTATCTCCTACTACAAAAGAATAATTCTTTTTAGCAAGATGAGTGACAATAGCATATAGCTTTAGTTGGGAGTCTCTGCCCGCAGAAAGCTGAGCATAATGTGAATTTTTGTGGATTTGATTGTACACCTTTTGACTGCATCAAAGTCTCTTACCTTACGTGTTTTCTGTTTAGGAAAGGAGTATTTATTCTTTGTTCAGTTTATAAAACAGACTGGTGATTGGAGTACAATTGGCTCATTCTACAGAAAGTCTCATTTAGTCATGGTTTGAATACCCATTGACAAATATAATCAAAGCTTTTTCTTCTTACAGGTGAATGCTCTAATAGCGGGCGGTATGGCAGGGGCAGCTGTTGCTGCTGGGACAAGAAGTTGGAGACAGGTTCTTGGGATGGCTGGTCTGATTTCTGCCTTTAGCGTTGCTAATGACTGTTCCAAAACATTATAAAGCATCTGTCGGTGGAAGGCTAGTTGTGGAGAAGTGAGGCGATCTGCAGCCCTTATGCATGCCATATTACCATAATTACTGTTCAATTATTGCTTCCTATTCGACTTCTCATCACATTGTTATTTCATATATATGATATGATGTTGAATTTAGAATAGGTTCATTCATTTTCTAGTTAATTGATTCAACTAGCTAAATAAATCATTCCTTTGGTTCAACGACTCCTATCCTATTTAATTTATCTTACTATAACTTAGTATGAACTAAAATTATTTTGTATAGTTTTCCCAAATTATTTCTCCCAGGCTATTCATGTGTAATTTGGGGAGGAAGTTTAATATGAACCACAGAAAAAGGGAAATACCGTTCACAGGCTCACTGCCGCTACTGAAGAAAGTGTTGTGTCCCAAGGAACAGCGGTGTCATGTCGCAGTAAATGGAGGGTAAATTGGGACTATTAAATATTAAATAAGACCAGATGAACTGTACGATTGGTGATTTAATATAATAGTAATAACATATGCGAGTCTTTTTGGGTCGTTGGAACAATCTCCATGATATCAATATCAACATGTTACGTTAGATGTCATTGCCCATCATAAATTTCTTTTGTAAGGATCGTAACTCATTGTCCAATTAGTTTGAATCAGAAACGAACTTTCATTTCATTCACGTGACAGTATCAAATTTTCTAAAAATATGTTTAAATTAAAGTAGAGAATAGATTTATTATAATTTTTATTAATTTTGATGAAAATTCATTTAGCTTGTTTTTTTTTTTTTAACTCGTTAGGAAGGTCTGATGAGCCGGAATAAAACTATGGACTATACAATAAAAACCAATCCTCCTCTAAACTCACTGATCAGTAAAAACACTTATAAGCGAGAGGACTCAAACTCAAAATCTCTCACTCGTCACGATAAGTGGAAAGACCAACTAGATCACACTTATTGAAATTCATTTTGTTTATTTGATCCAAGGAATTCAATTTGTGTTCATGGAATTGAAATGGATGTTTTTTATTGTGTCAAAAACTTAAAACTTAAAAATTATTTAAACTTTAAATAAATTTTACAAACTTTATCAATACTAGAGCTCCATTTGTTTTAGGAAAGTATTTTTTTTAAAATGAAATCCTGACAAATAACTCATTTATATTTTTTAGCTGTAATATTAAAAATTAGCTAAAAAAATATTTATAATTATAGAATTTTATATTTTAAAATTTTATTATTAAATATGATAAAATATTTAAATATTACTATAAATACAATGTTACCCAATAATATAAATAATAACATTTGACAATGATATTCTCTCTTGTCGTGATTTTATATGATTACACATGTCTATAATTGTATATTAGGATATTGTATTAAATTTAAATATTAAATAAAACATTTACGTAGGTAATTAAAAGTATTAGATATTTTTTTATTTTTTATGAAGTAAAATTTCTTTCAATGGAATATTATATAATTAATATATTAATCAGTTCATTTGTCATAATATTTATAGATAATCCAATTTTAAAACCTCCATTCATGACCCGTTCTAAATTTTGTTACTACTACTTTTTCTTCTATGCTAATTCATTGGATCATGCTGTGGTCTATGTATGGATGAAAACATAACATATATCTATAAATTTTAAGATATTTATATTCATTTAAAATTACAAATATGAATTTATTTAAAATTTTAATATTGATATTTACTTCATACTCTTTTTATAAATTTTAAATTATTAATAATAGATAAAATACTCATAATTACACACTATTAATATAACATATATCAAAAGAGCTATTGGTAATGCATTCGAATCTATTTATAATTACTTATATCTTTATTAATAAGATGAATGCGCGGCGTGTATCCTGAACTACCCCGACCTGCTCCTAATCCTAGTCCCGTGAAATGTTTTAATCCCAAATCCTTATAATTAATGTTAATTGAATATTAGTTCTGAAGTTCCATCATTGAGTACCAAAAACATTTCCTCCGCTTTAAATATTTTTTTATATCCGAGGCTTGGTCTGATAGGGACTAAGCCATCATCTGAGTTATGGAATATTTCAAGCAAGCTCTAAAATAATGTATAAGTAAACGAATCTAATCGAATCCATCTCTGCCCCCTTCAAAACTTTCCGCTTTTTTCGTTATTTTATTTTCTCTCAAGCCTATCTTCTTTTTCTTCTTCTTCTTCAAATAAGGAGAGATCTGTTTGTCACCCATCAGGCAACTGATGCTCAAGCTCCTTGTGGCTGCTTCTTAATATAAATCATTTTTTTTCTTTGATTATCTTTGCATGAAATATGGATTTTGAATATCAAGAGGTGCGATTTTGAATCTTTTCTTTGTTTCTCTCTTTCTTTTTTTTCTTTTCTTCTTAATTTATCGTTGTTCATTTGATGATTTTGAGACTGCTTTGTATTTTTTGCTCAAATTAACTAGGAGTATATAAAGAATTCAAGAGGAGTGCATCTTTTCACTTGTAGATGGTTGCCTGTTTCATCTTCTCCAAAAGCTCTTGTTTTCCTCTGCCATGGTATACACTCTCTCTCATCTATTTTGAATTCTATTTCTCTGCGTTTGTTGGATGGGTTTCGTAATTATTTTATTCATTAAATGGGTTTTGCAGGATATGGCATGGAGTGCAGCAATTACATGAAAGGTAATAAATTCCCTTTAATGACCTCTTTTCCCTTTCTAGCTTAGTAAGCCTCTGCTGTTTCCATCAACTTTTTAATGGCTGCCATTTTTTTTCACTTCTTAGTTTTTATTTGATGTCTTATGGTAGTGATATGCTGATTGGTGGTTGGATTGAATGAATGTCTCGTATCTAATATTTATGGTCTTAATGCAGAGATTGAAGAAACAATTATTTTTAGTTTTAGAGGAATCATAATTTTTTTAAGTAATGGGATCTAACCCAGAACTTTGATTTTTTTTTTTTTTTTTTCAAAAATAAGTCTGAAATCATTTAATTTCATCTAGATTTTTTTTTGTTAAAATAGTAGTAGTTCAGAATTTTTTCCTTGCACGCTTGAAAAGTTCTGCTGTGAACGCATGGAAGTTGTACAATCAAGTATTAATATTAATATTTTTCAAGAGCATAATTTTATATATATGTATATATTCTTTAAAAGTTTTAGTTGACCATTAGCTGTTTTTCGCTTTCAAAATGGGCTATTCTCTATATTTTACTTATTAATTAATTTAATGATGATAATACTAGTATGACTTTTTTGAACAGAGATGGCTAGTATTTTCTTTTTTCCCGCAGGAAGGAAGTTGTCCACTCGCTGTGCAAGTCAAATATTCTATATCTATCATTTAAAATTCAGGATTAGGAAGCATTAAACCTTGATTTTTGCTATTACACGTCTCTTAATTTAATTGATTAGCTTAAAATCATTCTTTTACTATTATTATTATTATTATTATTATTTAATGTGAAGAGTTTCAAATACCTCAAGGGAGAAATTTTTAACATCTATTTATAGAAAAGATTATGCTAAAACTAAGGTTTTATTATTGCCAAAAAATTGATTGAAGTGAGCATGACAATTGCTAAATTGCCATGTCTTTGCCCATATTCTGTTAAGCTTATCTTGTTGTTATTGAGTCTCTAGAACCATCATAGCACTAAAAGCCAACGTCTTTATCTTATCCCTATGAAATTTTTCTTGCTTGTGATGGATTTTTAGTTTTTTAAGCCCATGCTTCTGTATGAGACTTTTCTTTTGGTGCTTTCATATTATTTTGGTATATATCAAGATTTATTCTTTTTCTCTATTATTCAACTTTTTCTAATGTGTTGTTGAGCTCACAGAGTTCTTAACTTTGACAAATTAACCATTTAACAGAGCTAAAATATAGAAAATTTATTGACAATTTAATATTTTATAAAATTTTACTGCTCAATTGGTGAAACTTGAAATTCTGTTGACTTAGAAATGAATTTTTCTTTTCTCTAATCGTAATAGTTTAATGAATAAAAAATATAATTTTTTATTTTTCTTAAATTGTTATTATGAATTTTCCTTGGGCCCTGATTTATATTTTACGGGTTTGATAAACATCTTTTTTTTTTTTTTACAACAAGTAGGTAGGGCTATTACTCAAGTATTTAATATAACCTCTGGTCAAGCTCTGATAGCTTTTCTTGTTGATACCAACTTAAACAATGGTGTCTATGTAGAATTGATACTTATTATGCATGTGGATCAGTTGCTGAATCAATCTGAAGAAAGAGTTTGGTCAGCTAAATTGGTTAGGTTTGGCAACCAGTTATCCTTGGGCTCACCTAGCTTATGCAAACTATTACCCATCTGGACATTTCTAGTCCCTGAAATATAGATGGGGCTGATGACCTAAAATAGAATGGGAAACTAAAAACTTTAGCTATTTTCCATCAATCAATCAGTCTGGCCTTAACTTAAGGCAACTTAGCTAGTAGCCTAATGAGCAAGTTTGTGTCATAATGTAAAAGATTAAAAATTCAAATGTTCAATTACATAAAATTCTTGATTACCAACGTGACAAAAATTAATGTGATTACTTGATTTTAATAGAATGTGGAATCAGGCTAGCACGTGCACAATATGCTGTTTTTGGAATTGACTATGAAGGCCATGGACGATCCTCTGGTTCTCGATGTTACATCAAGAAGTTTGAAAATATTGTCAATGACTGCAATGAATTTTTCAAATCCATTTGTGGTATGTGCACACATTAAAATGTATTGCCTCTAATTTTGTATAAGTATCAGAATACTACTCGTAGACATAGCTAAGTTTTTGTCAAATGGTTAAACAGTGGAGAAAGATTACAGGGACAAGGGCAGGTTCCTGTATGGAGAATCCATGGGAGGGGCAGTGAGTTTGTTATTGCACAAGAAGGAACCTTCTTTTTATCATGGTGCTGTTCTTGTTGCTCCCATGTGTAAGGTAGGATAGTAGTAAAAAACATGTGGGTTTTAATTATTTTGAACAATTCGAATCAATAATTGATTGATTATATGTCTTAATTTTGGTAGATATCAGAGAAGTTGAAACCACATCCAGTGGTTGTTAATATATTGACAAGCTTTGAAGAGATTATACCAAAATGGAAGATTGTCCCAACTAAAGATGTCATTGACTCGGCATTCAAAGATCCTATTAAACGAGAAGAGGTGAGGTTATATATATATATATATATATATATCCAAAATGGGAAGATTGTGCCCAACTAAAGAATGGTCATTGACTGCGGCATTCAAAGGATTCCTATAAACAGGAGAAGAGGTGAGTATATATATAATATATATATATATATATTTTGCTTTGCTGCTAGTTTGGAGAGGTTAAGAACGGTTAAAAAAAACGAATATATATATATATATATATATATATTTTGCTTTTCTCTAGTTTTGAAGTTAAGGAACGGTAAAAACGAACTTGATAGATTATTACAGTCAAGTAAGCATATTTGAGTAAGTTTTTACAACTGTTCCATGAGTATTAATTAAAATTAATGATCTCATTACATTCTCATGGTGCAGATAAGAAACAATAAGTTGATTTACCAGGACAAGCCTAGGCTGAAAACTGCACTAGAGATGCTCAGAACTAGCATGAACCTTGAAAAGACTTTAAACCAGGTTATTATATTCTCTTTAACTCACTCTACTTTTTATAGAATTTTAGCCCAATCAATGTAGAATTTTAGAATCTTAATTACAGTGGTTATTGTTAATTTGGGTGGTATTGTTGTTGTTGGCAGGTAACACTACCGTTCTTAGTTCTACATGGTGATGCAGATATAGTTACAGACCCAGAAATAAGCAAGGCCTTGTATGAGCAAGCTAGCAGTAAAGACAAAACCATGAAATTATACCCTCGAATGTGGCACGGATTGACTGCAGGAGAAACCCATGAGAATGTCAGTATCGTTTTCGCAGATATAATAGGTTGGCTTGATAAGCACACCAATGAGCTTGTTGTTGAACCCCTTACTGAACCCTTCAGTAATGGCATAGAAAGAGTTGAATTGGCTACACCAGTCACTGCAAATAATCAGCAGTTCCGGCGAAAAAAATCGCGTGGCAGTTATCTCTGCGGATTAAAGGAGCCTCCCACGTTTCACTCGGCTATGTAGGCTCTCGCTTTGTAGCTGTTAGTCAGGGTTGTTCCTCGTTAATTTATGTCTCTTCATAGCAGTTTTCTCCTTGAAAATGTGAAAAATTGTTGTGTTTATAAAGGAAATGAAATGAAGTAGCAATGGAATGAAATTGAGGTGCATATTGTGTACTAATATTCATTTATACCAATTGCCCTAAAATTAGACATTACTAAATTTTTATTTTAAAAATCTAAAAACAATTGACACAAAGGTAATATATGCATTGTGCTTCAACCAAGTTCTTTTTCTGGGCAAGCTGAACCAAATTAATTTGATTATTCAAATATTAAACTGAGGGGATTTGTTCATCGATTGTTCGACAGCGGGGAAAAGTTTCCCTCCCTGAGAAGGAAACTTAAACGGGATCGCCATTGATTGGGCTTGAACTCGGGCCTCTTATAGCTAAGAGCCTAAGATTCAGGTTTAGGCCTTGTTTGGTCTGGCCCAGAACAAAGAAATCCATCCATTACCGAACTGACCAATTCGGTTTCAATAGCGCGCTAAAAAGTTAAACCCTTGACATTCTGTGAGTTCTCCAAAATCGTCCTTTTCATCTTCGTCTTTGGATTAGTTCTCTGCGCTTTCCATTCGGGAGTGATTTTTGCGGAACCAAAACCCTCATTCGTCTTTCTGTGTAGGTTTGTTTGAAGAGGAATCGTATTAAGTCACCATGAGGTAATTTCTGCTATTCTTCATCCTAATAGTTGGTTTGACGATCTAGACAATTGATGATTGCCTGATTGTTACATGGATATTTCCTTAAGACACTAATAAATGTCTACCGGCATTGCTTTGTGGTTTTCTGAAAAAAAAAAAAAAAAAAAAAAAAAAAAAAAAAAAAAATGAAAAGGATTACATTTGGTCTGATTCATATTGGTAGTAGAAAGATTATATCTAGAGATAGAATTGAAATTGTTAAATGTGAAAAAGTGCAATCTTTTGTGTGTATCTCAATATGATTGATGGGAAATTAAGTTTGGAGTTAAATTGGTTAAAGCATAAAAAAAAAAAAAAAAAAAAAAGAAAAGGATTACATTTGGTCTGATTGCAGGTAGTAGAAAGTATATCTAGAGATAGAATGAAATTGTTAAATGTGAAGAAAGTGCAATCTCTTGTGTTATCTCAATATGATTGATGGAAATTAAGTTTGAGAGTTAAATTGGTTAAGCATAGTTGTGGTAAAATAGATATTGTGCTTCAGATTGCTATTTTCTTGTGAACTGCATACATCAAATATGACCAAACTATACTAACAAAGTCTTTTCTTCTATCTTATCTTTTGCAGTAGGCCAATGGGTGAGGATGTCACGGTATGTTTTCTAACTACCTCTGCTTACAGTTCCTGATATTACATATTTACCTTCTTTCTACTGCTTTTGTTTTGCGGGATCAATTTACTTTAAGATTTCAACTGCTTTCGCTTGTTTGAACAATTTCTTATTTAGTACTGTACTTACAATTAACTTCTTGATTTTTTAAAAGATAATGAACTAGACATTTAGCACTTTTCTCAATTGTACTGATAGCAATGATGATGTAAATGGACACAATGCTAGAAATATCTTAATATATGATGAGATGGTGTTCTACTGTCCAAGCAATGAGAGTCTAGGTGATAGTTGCCTTTCATTCTCTAAGAATTCTCTTTATTTTACCTAGATGTTGTTCCTCATCTTTTGTCGTGTGATACTTTTTGCAAAGTGTTACCTCACTCGGTGATATTGTTTTATCTCCTCTTAGGGTGACCTGCCGACCAGTCCACTAGGGTGCTTATTTTATGATTATTTCATTATTGAAGAATTATTTTAGTATTTGAACTCTAACAAATACATTCTTTGATTCAATCTTTATATATGGTGTTAACTATTTTAAATGAAAAACTATAATTTTATTTTTGATATTCTTTTACAGAGTTCAACTTGGAATGGTTTATATTCATGTAGTGAGTACTCATAAGTTTATTTTATTTGCATGGAATATGTTTTGAAGTTTTGTCAGACCCTCTATTACATTTATATTTTAGTTTTTCAGGTTGTTTGTTACTCATCCTAACCTCTTGTTTTTTTTTTTTTTTAACAGGCCAAGAATGAGTCAGAAGAATTCAGCACTGGGCCACTTTCTGTTCTCATGATGAGTGTTAAAAATAATACACAGGTAGCTTTTAATCTAGCAGCCTCAAGTTTTTGCCTTGCTGGTATTTTTATTAGGTAGAAACATTGAAGCCTAGCAGTGTTCAACTTAAATTGACTGTCATACGAGCAGCTTGACAATTGTGGACCATTTGGGATTACCCAAATTTGTTTAGCTGGGGATAGTCCAATCAGACTAAAGGGACTTATTATGGTGAGTTTGTGATAGTATAGGTCTCTTTCTGTCTTTTATAGGCCTAAAGAGATGGTTTTAAATCATTATTTTGTTGGTTTCTCACCAGAACCAGTCAGCTTTATGAATGTTTGGCTCCAATTATCAAAATTCCTAAACCCAATTTGTGGTCCTGGGGTTGTCAGCTTTGATACCGGCTGGTCACTCACTGATTTTATGTGATATGGGTATGCATTTTGCTAATCTGCAGTTACAACTTCTGTTAGTTTGCATTTTTGTATTACATATTTTATTGTGTAATTGGGTGCTCATTAACTGCCGCAACAATAAGAAACTTCTTGGACGTGTGAGAGCATTTGACCGACACTGCAACATGGTTCTAGAAAATGTCAGGGAGATGTGGACTGAGGTTGGTTTACTTTGATGTTTTTACCATCTGTTTCCTTAATCAGATGCTATAATATTCTTCAAAACAAGCAATTAAGTTTACTCTTTTGTTTCAGGTGCCAAAAACTGGGAAAGGCAAGAAAAAAGCTCAACCAGTTAACAAAGATAGATTCATCAGTAAAATGTTTCTTCGAGGAGACTCTGTTATCATTGTCCTTAGGAATCCAAAGTGAAATGTTATGATTCTGATGGTCTTTGTTTGTTTTTTCTTGCTTGTTCCTTTTGCGTAAGTGTGTGAAACTGTGAATCATATTGATGGTCATGCGTCTTTGTGAGACCAGACTGTCACGTACTCAGATTTGCTCAAACTAGTTGGTTTTTGGACAGTGTTTTTTACTTCAGAATATTAAAATGTGAGATGGTTGTGAATTTGTGCGACTGACTCCATAACTCTTGTCATTTGAATTTTAATGGATGGAAATGTAACTGTGGTGCACTTCATCTGACTTGTAAAATTGTTCCCTTTCCATACAAATACTTTTTGGTAAATATTTCTTGAAGTGTAAATTGGACTAGTACAAATGCTAATGTACGAAGATACGATTGTATATGTAACAAAACAAATACAATGAAATAGAGGCAGGCAGGCAGCCATTTCTAATGCTTAGAGTTAAAAAGTAATTTTAATTGTAAGACTTGCTGTCTATTATCCTTAGAATAGAAAATACAATCAAAAATAAAGACATGGAGATTATGGAGCTGACTGAATCAAAACCCAACGGAACACCTCAAGATACATTCCTCATGGAAAAAGGAGCCCCATTTGCTGCTACTGCTGTTGCCACGGTAGTACTTGTATAGTTGTCATACAGGCGAAGACAAATTGGTTATCTACCAAATAATTATATTTCTGCTTCTTCTGCCCAAAGGAAAAAAAAAAAAAAAGGAGGCCAACTTAAGCTGTTGACACAGTGCTGGTGGTGCTGTCTTCTTTGTGGTCACCAAAGATGCGTTGCTGGAAATCTGAGACCATTAAAGGGAGACCCTTCCGAAGGGATATCTTGGGCTCCCAACCAAGAAGCTCTTTTGCTTTAGTAATATCAGGCTTCCTCTTGTGTGGGTCATCTTCTGTGTTAGGCTTGAACTCTATCTTTGCATTTGGGTCAATAGTTTCTTGTACAACCTACAAACCGAAAGAGAGAGAGGGGGGAAAGCAAGGGAGATCATATAAGTCTACTGATTAGAAAGAAAAAAAAAAAATCACTTGTTCCATACAAACACTGAAATGCATGAACTATGCAAGTACAAGCCTACCTAGAGAAAGAGAGCCACACGTCGCAACCAACAATGAGAGAAGCGAATGAGTTGGAAACAAGCATAATGACACTATCCTAAAACCCAACTATATAAAGGCCCATTACTATATACAAATTATTTACATCATTATTGAAATCATAAGTGACAATCTTTTGAGAGCTACTGTTAAGCTAACTTAATGATTGGAAACATTATTACACCGTGAAAAACAATGAAGAAAATTGAATAAAGAAAAGAGCCACCAAGAAACCAACTACAGAATTAAAAGAAATAAACTTACCTGAGCAAGCTCAAGCATAGTGAATTCACCAGGATTACCAAGATTGAAAGGCCCCACATGTTCCCCTTCCATAAGGCGCATCAGACCCTCAACCTGATTCAAATACAGGTAAAGAGGTCAATCTAAATAATCCTGAACGCCATTGACTGTTAAAAAACAGGAAAAGAATACGATGGACACTTGAAGCACATTCCATAAGGACTAATATCTGCTTATCAAAATGTTTTGGAACACAAAAAGGCTCAGCAAGCTACAGAATATATACTTTTCAACCGTAAAGTTATGACGTAAATTATCAATTAAATGCATAGTGGAGACAGGAGGATCCCACTTTTAATGTACATATGACTGTTTGTTTGATTATGCAAAGAAAAAAATATATTATATTACAAATCAAACTATGCGTTACTATATAACTACCTACCTACTCCATGAACAATTACAAAGGAGGACCACTTGGGGATCTTAACTGGCTAATGGAATGTGGTATCTGCTACTTTGCTTAAAGTTACAGCAGGTTAAGACTCGGGACAAATGACGAAAACCGGATGGATATTTGTGGAATTGGGTAAAACAATGTGTTGTGTGTATTTAAGACAAGTGCTACTGTACACATGCATATTTCATGTTATGCAAAAACAGAATAAAAGAATCCCCAACATCTTCCCGACTAAAAATGCACTAAATTTGGATTCGACAACAAAAGTTTTATATGACAGAGTAAAATCAATAGGGGAAAAAGGCAATAAAGCTATCACTAAAGAGAAGAATTAAAAACAAAAAGAAAGGTCATCCTTGTCCTAGCTCAGAAAAAAAGTTCTTTACCAAATCAGAAACATATTGGAAACTCCTTGTCTGTTTCCCATCACCATATACGGTCAAAGGCTCCTTCCTTAAGGCCTGCAGCAATCGATGAACCCAAATTTGCATTAATTATTACTATCTTCAATCCATGGAAAACAACTAGAAATAGAAAAATTTGAGTGTCTTATCTTATTAATATTAAAAATAGTACCCACCTGAGCAACAAAATTACTAACGACACGGCCGTCGTCAATGCACATACGGGGCCCATAGGTATTGAAAATTCTAGCAATCCTGACCTGGAAAAAAAATAAAATAAAATTATGTGCAGCTCAATTTAACTGGCATTTTCAGGTGCATTAACATTTTTTTGTTATAATAAAGAAAAAGAAATTGCTAACCTCAACGCCTGCTCCTCTGTGGTAATCCATTGTCAATGTCTCGGCAGTCCTCTTTCCCTCGTCGTAACAACTTCGGACACCTGTCACATTTGAAAGCCTCCCCTTTAATCAGATCTAAAAATACTGATTGCCACAAATTTACATGTTTGCCCTCATATTTTCTAGTTTTACAGTAAACAGCAACCTAACTTAGAGTATGGACCGTTAGATTTTTGACCCGCCAATTACGTTACGGGTCTTGTTGACCGTACAATGCTTTGTCGGATCTAGGTTCAAGAGCCATGCACCCAACCGGCCACCACCGTGGCATCCCTAACGTAGGCAACGTGCCTAGCGCATATTAGCTACGTGCCTTATATATTGCTAACATACGCAAGCTTGTTAACACACACCTTACTGATCCCGATCGCCGGCTGTCAATTTAGAAAAAAAAGAAAGGAAGGAAAAGGAGAATGGAGTCATGGACGCACCTATGGGATTGACGTTGCCCCAGTAAGTCTCGACCTGCGGGTGCTGGAGAGGATCACCGTATACCTCGCTGGTGCTGGTGAGCAAGAACCTTGCACCGACTCTCTTGGCCAACCCTAGCATATTTAATGTCCCTACAACATTTGTCTTTATGGTCTTGACCGGGTTATGCTTGTAATGCACAGGCGATGCAGGGCAAGCAAGATGGTAGATCTGGTCAACCTCCAGCAACAGGGGCTCCACGACGTCGTGTCGTATTAACTCGAATCTCGGGTTTTTGAAATGGTGCATCACGTTCTCTTTTCTTCCGGTGAAGAAATTGTCGACAACGATCACACTGTCACCTCTTTCGATCAGACGATCTACCAAATGCGAACCAACAAACCCAGCCCCACCCGTAACCACGATTCTCAACCCCTTCCGTTTTAGTCCCAACGGAATCTTCCCTCCGGCCGTGTGAGGCTGAAATAATTTGTATCTTGCCGGTACTGAATCGAGAGAGAAGTGAGCAAGCGAGTCAGGGATCGGGTCGTATTTGCTGTGAGGCACATACGATGTCCTAGAGGAGGAAGGGAGAACGGTGAAGAAAAGAGTGGCGATAGCAATGCCAACGAGGACAAAGACGAGTCGCTGCTCACGAAGCATGTAGCGAATCGGACGAGTCACCGAGAGCCATCGCTTGGGTGGCTTGGGCGAGTAGGCATCAGTTATATGCTGTGGCTCATCATGGCCTCTAAATATCAACTCCGACCCCATTTTTTTACTAAAATTTCACACTGAAAAATTCTCAGATCAAGCTCTCAATCTCAATTTTTGTCAAGTGCTTTTTCTGGTTTAGCGATTGGAGAGTTCAGATGGACTCGCTCGCCAGAAAACGGGGTCCCCAGCAATGGATTTGTTGCGATTTAGGCGATTGAGCCCTCCGGTATTTAACTAGAGCGGAATGGTAAAATAAGGCTTGATTCATTAAATAATTACGGGAATGCCATTACAGGCTTTTTCCTTTGCTTTTGAAAGTAAACGGTTGTCATTAGGTAATAATATTCCCTTCCTCCCATATTTCTTGTTGTATTTTTCTTTTTTTATCTCAATTCCAAATTGTTGTCTTACTTCTTTATGGATAAATAATACCCTTCCATGCTATTTTATTTGTTTGTTATTCTTTTATTTATATATTTGAAAATATTTATAAAATTTTTAAATTTATATATATAAATAATTATTTTCATTCCATGGCCTCTAAATATCAACTCCGACCCCATTTTTTTACTAAACATTCACAACTGAAAAATTTCTCAGATCAAGCTCTCAATCGTTCAAATTTTTTGTCAAGTGCTTTTTCTGGGATTTAGCGATTGAGAGTTCAGATGGACCGCTCGCCAGAAAAACGGGTCCCCAGCAATGGATTTGTTGCGATTAGGCGATTGAGCCCTCCGGTTATTTAACTGAGACCGGAATGGTAAAATAAGGCTTGATTCAAATTAAATAATTACGGACAATGACCATTACAGGCATTTCCTTTGCTTATTGAAAGTAAACGCGTTGTCATAGAATAATTCCGGTTCCGTCCCATATTTCTTGTTGTATTTTTCTTTTGTATCTCAATTCCAAATTGTTGGTCTTACTCTCTTTATGGATAAATAATAGCCCTTCCATGCTATTTTATTTGTTTTTATTCTTTTATTTATATATTTTGAAAAATATTTATAAAATTTTTAAATTTTATATATAATTTATATATATAAATAATTATTTTTTTAAAATAATTTTTATGATTATTCATTAAATGAATAGCTTTTATTAATATCTTAATAAATTAAGGGTAAAAAATAACAAAATAATTTTTGTTAATTAAATTTTTAATATGCGTATTTTGTCGAACTATACAAATAAAAGGCTGAGTATTTGAAGATTATTATTTTATTTCTTATCTAATATATTTCTTTTATCAATTAACATAATAAATACTATATTATCATTAATTAAATTTTAATGTGAACAAAATTAAAATTTAAACCTTTAATCTTTCAAGAAAATTCTATTTAATTTAATATTTAATTATCGTTGAATTAATTTTAAGTATAATTTAATACAGATCATTTAATTTTAATGGAGTACTAAAGATATATTGGAAAAAAATAAAGCAAAAATTATAGTTTAATTAAATTAACTAAATTTTTTAACAAATAAAATTATGGGACAAATAAATTATATTAATTCTTATATTTGGCAATTTAGTAGCAGTTAATTAATTTTAAATTATACTTGGAAATTTTGCAGTGATTAATTAATTTTAAATTATATTTGGCAATTTGGTAGTGATTAATTAATTTTAAGTTTAAAAACTTTACCGTAAGGAGTTGGTGTGAGATTTGTCGTTTTCATTCTCTCCGTTGGCGATTTTGACTTTTGTATTCGTTATTAAGTACAGCTTTAACAAGGTCAAATATTAATATGCTTTAATGGGCCTAGGGGCAAAACAGTGACGATTATAGCCTTATAGTTATAGGCCCAAACTAAACTCAGTCTCGCCTAATTTTGGAATTTTCATTTGGGAATAAAATAAAATAAAATAAGAATATTCATCAATAGAAATTTATTTTCCTTATAAATTGGTGGCAATATATTGTTACCAAAAATTGGCCAAGATACCTTTATAGAATATGTTTTTCTATATAATAAGTATGAGAATCTAATTCAGATTTTGATTTATTTTATTTTATACATATAAATAATATATTACTCAGTGTCCATTGCCACACCGCTCAATTCATAGCTAGAAAAGTTCATAATGTATTAATTATTTTGTGTTAGTAGTTTAAATGTCCATGTCATAATATTTTACAAGTTTATTCAGAAAACATTTAGTTCAACGTGCAAGTTATAGGTGTTTAGTCTGTAATCTCATCAACAATTCATAGTTGATAGAAGTCTCAATTAATTGATTCATGTTTAGACTTCATTAGCTTTAAAATAATTATTAATAAAATTATATATTTTTATTTATAGTTAGTAAAAATAATAATTTTTATTAAATATTATTTTAAAATCAATAAATTTATAAATATTTTTTTATATAATATATTTCGCCTTAAATTATATAATATATATATATATTATATAAGAAAAGAAATTATATATATATATATATATATAAGAAGAAATGTTTAAAAAGAGAAGAAAAAAAAAGGCAAATTGGATAAGTTAGCCAATAGAATTATGTAAAGCCAAGAAATAAGGGGAAGCAAATTGTAATTTTCATAAACATTAGGTGTATTATCATCCTCCAAATGGCGGTGTGCTCTCCCTTTAAAAAGTCAATGGGAGCGCCAATCTCTACTCAAAGGCAAATTTGGAGTGATTTAGAAGCTCGTTTTATTACTAATTAACCTAACATTCAATATAGCTAATTATAATTAGGGAAAAATTTTCCCTGCATATAAACTCCACTCATACATCAGACTAATTAAAAATGAGATTATTTATTATTATTCATTAAAAAATATAAATAAAATAATAATAACTTTTTAAAAAAACATTTTTCAACTGGCTTGTTGTATTGGATGGAGGCCCAAGACCCAAGTAGGTCTTATTCTTATAATTAGTCCTCTTGCTCTTTCTCTTCCTTTTGTTGCCTTAACAGTTTTATAATGATCCCATTCTTTGAAAGGCAAAACCATTTTACGTTACTAAAGCCTTTTCATGATTATAGCCATTGCTCTAGCTCTTCTTTCCATGGACGAAGCAACAAAACCATTAAACAATAATTGCCATTGAAATTTGTGTAATCTATATCTTAATTCACAAGAGATGTTCACGTTTAAAGTAGAAGGGTTTGGAGAAAACGTTGACATGCATTTTCATACCATGTAATGTAAAAGAAAGATTTGCTTTCTAGCCTTTCAAATTTTAAAATTATAGTTTAGTGAGATGATGATCTTGGTAATTAATATAAAATAATAATAATATATTAAATTATGAGTTTAACTTATTTAATATTTATTTAACATATGCTCTTGAGAATATTCTGGAATCAAATTGCTAAATTACACTCTTCTAAGTTCTAAATCCACGAAGAAAATGAAAATTCGAAGTCTCTGGTACTATCGTAATCGGTAATCACCAAGGGAGGGAAACGGCGTTAATAGTGGGCTGGTCTTGGCTGGTCGTTGGTTCAAAATACTACGATAAGGACTAGTTCAGATGTCCGGGAATCAGTGTGAGATGTCGATGGAGTGGGACCCTCGACGACAGGACTTGTATTGCACGTCGGAGGAGCATTCGTTCTCAAGCGACGTTGACCATTTACCAGACACGTGGCACCTAGCCATTTACTAATTTCCCACGTTTCTCCACACTTTTCATTGGCCATTTGGCTCCGTTCGCACCGATCTTTTCATCGTATTCCTATTTATTGTGCTAAAGAATTTGCATGCAAATTTTAGAAAAAAAAAAAAAAACCGAAAAAATCGAATTATTTGTAATTTTTGGTTCGGTTATTCGATTTTAAATTTCAATCTTGAGTTTTACTTTTTTTTTTAATTTTAATTATTTTTTTGAGTAAAATAGAACTATTTAATTGAATCGAAATAAATCATATAAAATGTTGATTTTATTTCAAGAAAAAATTAATTTCAAATATTAAGTTTTATAGATTATAATTATAATTTAATTTTTTTTTAAATAAGCCCAACGAATATTAAGTCAACAGAATATTAAGTTTATATATTTTAAATGCAAATTTTAGAAAAAAAAAACCGAAAAAATCGAATTATTTGTAATTTTTGGTTCGGTTATTCGATTTTAAATTTCAATCTTGAGTTTTACTTTTTTTTTAATTTTAATTATTTTTTTGAGTAAAATAGAACTATTTAATTGAATCGAAATAAATCATATAAAATGTTGATTTTATTTCAAGAAAAAATTAATTTCAAATATTAAGTTTTATAGATTATAATTATTTTTTTTAATAAGCCCAACAGAATATTAAGTTTATATATTTTAAAAATATCTCCTAAATGCTCACAATATTAAATATTACATAAAAACTAATTCATTCTGTTGTTATAACCACCATTTTATGTAATATTTTAATATTATTTTATAATTTCAATAATTAAAATAAGCAACAGAAAAAAAAAAAGAAAAGAAAAATTAAACGAAATGCAGCCATCAATGATGCGACCTTTCTAACATGATGTGGAAACGTTTGGTAGAAGAATCTGAATCTCTTTGTCTTTGGCTTTGTTTTTGTTTCTTGGCATTAAAAAATGCATATTGGTCACCACATCAATAATTATTGATTCAACTAAAATTAATTTTAACTAATAAAATCCACCAACTACCCAAATTAGTATTAATCATATCAATAACAATAACCCCAATCAAACTAATATTCCATCCGAAAAGTATATAATATACATATAATTATTGATATTTCCTTACCTTGTTCAAATGAGGAAAAAGCTTCCTGTTGATATTCTGCTCACGTCTTTTTTTCTCAAAAAAAAAAAAAAAAAAAAAAAAAAAAAAAAAAAAAAAATCCTTTTCAAATAAAGCATAAATGTACTACGATGAAAGAATTATTTCTTTGTGGACTATTGTGAAATTTTCCAAGAAACTTGTACAATATTTACCAGTATGGACCCAAAAGCTGTCATCTTATTCTGTACTAAGTAGTTTCCCCCGATGCATCCCCGTCAAACTAAGCTTTGAGGCGGCGAATTTATTGAAGTGGTCCCCCTTTTTTAAACCACAGTGAATTATATTTTCATTGAAAAAGCAGATTGACATTGGAATACAAAATATTTACCATAGAGCCACGAACTTAGACCCGTATGAGAAAATTTCTCACACGGCCTTTCTACAGTCCAAGCTCAACCCAAAGAACTTTCTGCAAACAAAGCCCAACCTTCAGATAAAACGGGCCTGTGATTTGCTTGTCTTGTGAATTTGAAGAGTGCGCCTAACATTTGTATTAATAGAAAATAGAAACAGCACATTAGTCATTAGGTATATAATTAAAATTATCGTTTCTGGAAATGTACGATTAGATGTTAGAATTTCAATCACAGCCAAATTATTAATAATTAAACAAAAATATAATGTTAATGTCTAATTGGGTAGTAGCAATATTCAATTATGAAAATTTATTAAAAATAAAAATCATAAAAACAGAAGGGAAATAAGTTTTACATAAATGGTAAATCTTATCAAAACCAAATTGGTAACACTAGCTTCTATTTTACAATTCAAACATGCTGTGGGGATCCAGTTCAGTAAGGTTGTACAGTGGAGCAGTCCTCATGTGTCTATCGTTTGATACTTCTGTTATCCTGTTATATAAATATGATCCCCTAGCAATTACTGGCTAATAATGAAGGTAAATTCTTTTAAAAAAATAAGAAGAAGAAGAAAGAAAAATGTTGACAAAAAAAGAAAAAAAGCAATAATAAAATACATAAAATATAGAATTGACAAACAAATATGTTATATTTATTTATCAATGATTGCAAGATGGACTTTATTTAAATAAAAAATATACATTGATTATTGGATCCCAAATAACACCCAAAAGACATTATTCACATATAAACATAAAAGATGCATACCTAAAAATATTAATCTGATATAAGTATTATTATTCCAATATAAATATTAATAATCTAGACACACCAAAACATAACCTAGTAGTTATTGTATATACGATCTGATCTGATAGTAGATCTAGTTCGAATCCCTCATTCCCCAATACTCAACCAAAAAAAAAAAAAAAAAAAAAAAAAATCCCCAATACTCAACCAAAAAAAAAAAAAAAAAAAAAAAAAAAAAAAAAAAAAAGAAAATCTAGAGACCAAATTCCCTTCTCCTTAATAACTCTGCAACTGATACTAATTAGTAATACTATCCAAACCAGTGGATGCAAGTTTGTTAACAAGAGCCAATGCATTGCTAGTGATATAAGATGCTCTTGAAACCTTATTTTGAAGAACTCTAATTTGTTTGCTATATTCAATTTGGTCTGCAAAACCATCCAAGCAAGTATCTTCATCTGTAAGTGCAGCGCTAGTCCATGTAATTACATCTCCCATTTGTGAATCAAAATTAGCAGCATCAAGATTTCTAAGCACACCAAGTGATCTATGAAGATTATCAAGGGTGTCCTCAAAACATTCAATACAATCTGCAATTGCAATTCTGTTTCTGCTACTTCTGATGAGCTTGTACTTCTTCAATTTTTTCAGGTATTGTGTAACATTTTTAGCCTCACTTATTGTAACTGAGACCGCAGCTCTAGCCCACTTAGTAGGACTCCTTTTAGCTGTTTGTGAAAATGCCGCTAGGGAGTGGATACAAAGATCTTGGTATCTTGTCACACTGCATGCATCTCTGACATAAGTGTCCCTACCAGTGGAGGGGGAGGAGCCCCAGCTCCTTGCATTGGCTGCCAATGAAAGAAGGAAAAGCAATGCAATGAAAATATTGGTGAGTCTCATTCTTGTAATTTTATGGAGATATTGTTATTGCAGATAATAATGAGACTACTCTAGCTATAGGATAAGGTGAGTTAGGATTAGGGTACTAAGTAGAAGAGCATAGGGTAAGGTGAGTAGGGAAGATGGGCATTTTTTTTTTTTTTTTTTTTTTTTTTTTTTTTTTTTTTTTTGTTTTGCTTTTGTGAGATGCAAAGTGTAAGCTAAGGAGCTTTAGCAGGAGAGCTTTATTAAGGGAAATTAAAGAGAGGCTCCAAAAAGCTGATCTGAAAGTTTTTTTTTTTTTTTTTTTTTTTTTTTTTTTTTTTTTTTGCTTTTGTGAGATGCAAAGTGTGAAGCTAAGAGCTTTAGCAGGAGAGCTTTATAAGGGAAATTAAAGAGAGGGCTCCAAAAGCTGATCTGAAAGGAACTTTTTACAGTGAGTTTGCTAGAAAAAGCAAGAGGCTGGTGAGTTTGCTAGAAAAAGCAAGAGGCTGGTGAGTGTAATTAAGGAGGAACTTACTAGGGTCTGGATGGTGAAGAACATCTGATAGGCAGGGCAGGTGAGTTTGTCATAGATTTGGAATGAACATAAATGTACCAATCTTTTAGATTATTAGATTTCTTTCACATTACACTTTTTGTTTTTAATTAATTGGATACGTAAAATATTTCAACTCACAATTCACTATAAAATACCATTCAATTTCACTTGCCTAGACAGCTATAATTGATCTATGGTATTCAATCCTTTAAAACTATTTAGACAATTCAAGGTAATTAGATTTTTAACTGGAAAAAAATATAATACTAAAATTTAACAGGTTTTTCTTAGACCGCACGTCTAGATTTAATTTATATATAGGTGGGTTATATACAAGACACAAATAATTATTTTTTCATTTATTCATAAAACAATAGAAATTAAAATATTTTGTTGGAAGAAGAAGTAATTGAAAAGGAGAATTAAGAAAAAGAAACATACACTGTTGTTATTGTTATTGTAATTAGCATAATATCTCTGTATTTGATAAGGTGATTAACTAAATAAGAAAGCATAATTGAGTATATGATGATGCTAATTGCTGAAGAAATGTGTAAGTTTTTAGCACTATAATTATTTTTGTACCGAATAAAGGATGGAGAAGAAGAGTGTGAACGTATAAAGAAAGTCTGTCACATGTGACAATGAATGAGTTGGTTTTGGTGATTTATTATATTCTTGGAAGGAAACTGCTAGTTTAGGCAGATCATAATCATATCTTCGTAGGTTGAAATCACATGATTCTGTCAAATCATTCAATCTACATGAAGCTAATAAATTACTGCAACAACTTTGTTAACTTTGTTTAGTGGTCCTTCTATGTTGATTAGGGTTACGTTGCCCGACAAAATTGAATACCTCAAACATCTATTTCACAGAAATATAAATAATTAAAAGAAATGATTGAAGATATTATTCTATCAAGAGTTCTGTTATTAATCATCTTCAAACCTTATGTTTTTTATTCGTTTTGCTTTTTTAGGTTGATGGGCCCATAACTTTGATGGGCTTATGCCGGTAAAAGTTATGGTCTATAATATGTGAGCCCTGACCCAATTACCCAAACATTGGTAGGCCTGGACCCAAAAACTTCCATGAAAAATCCCCAAAAACCTCACGCTAAACCCTAAATCATCGTTTTTGCTGTTAACGTCTGAACAAGAGCTATTAAGTAGAGAGAAACTTGAAGCCTTTGGTTGAAATTCTGTTTTGTCCATTGGCCTACGAGGAAGAAAGATGGCTCGTGTTCGAAGTGTGAGTAAATGAAATTTTGTTCTGTGCTTTGTTTAACCTTTACCTTCTGTTTGGTCGCCGAGAAAGTCAGGGATTATTTTATGTTACCGAAGAATCCGATTTTTAATGTCTTTTGCATAATTGATTGCTGTTATTTTGTGTAAACAGAAGAAGAGGAAGATTTACGTGAAACCGATTGTGAAAAAGAATCAGGGAAATGTAGATCATATCACAGGTGAAAAAATCCCGAAGAGCTTTGTGTTTTCTAGAGGGAAGTTGCCCGGTCCGCTCAAGCAACTTCAGATGGACCTAAGAAAGCTTATGCTTCCGTACACAGCCCTTCACCTTAAGGTAAAAGCTTAACTTCTTTTTCACTTTACCTGTTCATTTATGCAAATCAAACTGTTTGTTTGCTATTGATTATCCAACTTTTTGCCTTTTGTTCTGCAGGAGAAGAAGAGAAATAATCTTAAAGATTTTTTGAACGTTGCAGGGCCTATGGGTGTCACGCATTTTCTTATACTGTCAAAAACTGAAACTGCACCCTATCTGAGGGTGGCAAAGACTCCACAAGGCCCAACTCTTACATTTAAAATACAAGAGTATTCATCGGCACTTGATGTTGCTCAGTCTCAATTGCGCCCTAGATGCCCTCAAGACCTTTTCAAAAATCCTCCATTGGTATAACTTTTTCTCTGAAGTTTGAGTTGCAAAAGCAAATGTATGCTTTCAATTTCCTCTTGTTACCTATTCCCCTTTGCTCTATGCTTGTCTTATTTTCTCAGAGATTGAAAGATTGAAAGAGATAAGGGGCTCTTGTATCTTTTTCTCCCATTTCTCTTGTATTTTTTTCTACCATTACTTGCATTGTCATCTCAAGAGTACTTGGGTTTAGCAACAGCAATTCAGTTATGCCTTTTTTTATGAGATCAAAATCTAATGACTTGTGAACTATAAAACAGCTATTTTAACTTGTCATCCAAGTGAAACTTTTCATGGCATAACTTTTTTTTTGTTTCAACAAGAATGGCAGATGCTATGGTTTGATGATTGACAAAATGAAAAAATTTTCATCCAGAAGATTTTACAGATGTAGCCCTGTGATGGTGGCCATAGTCGCTCCAAGCCTAGTTCTCATTCTTATGAATTTTTTTTTTTTTTAATCTGCATATTTGCAGATGTTGCATATGGGTGATTGAAATCTTGATTTTGTTATTTAGCTGAATTTAACTCCAAAAATATGGAATCTTTTTTTGGTAGATTGTTCTTTCCGGATTTGGGTCAGGAGAACAGCATCTGAAACTCACAGCTATAATGTTTCAGAACATCTTTCCAGCAATTGATATTAACACTGTAAGTGCTTCAACAGTTATATTTCAATCCAAATATCTGTTAGACTTGGTCCCTCTTAATGTACTTTATGGGATGTTTCAGGTCAAACTTTCATCTTGCCAGAGAATTGTGTTACTTAACTACAACAAAGACACAAAGCTTATTGATTTTCGGCATTATTCCATTAGACTCCAACCTGTAGGTGTCTCCCGAAGACTCAGAAAGTTTGTTCAGAACCATCAAGTCCCTGATCTTAGGAGTCTCCAAGACGTGAGTGACTTTATTACAAAGTAAGGGATCTAATTCATAAAATTCATTTTGCTGTATATTTTGCTTTTCCTTAGTTGTGGCTTTAGGCTATGCATTTGTTGTTGAATTTTTGTTTTTTTAATGCTAAGTAGGGGGCCTGAGATAAAGGTGGTGGATAAAAAACAAAGGATGAAAACTGCTTAAAATTTGATGATTTTTTTTATCATAGACAGCTCTTGGTGGTTGGTTTCCATCGTTTGATTTTTTGATCTTTGAAGGGCTGGTTATGGATCAGAAAGTGAAGCAGATGAAGAAGCAGCAACAGTGACTCTGGCTAGTGATCTTGGTAGAGTTAACAGGGCTTCCACAAAATGTGCCGTGAAGCTTCAGGAAATTGGACCCAGAATGACTCTAGAACTCATCAAAGTTGAGGAAGGATTGTGTTCTGGTAGTGTCATCTTCAATGAATATGGTATGTCAATTTGTGGGTTATTTCTTATATTACAATCCGGAAGAATACATGCTAGGCTTATTATGGTACTATTTATCTCATATGCTAAGCAATTGGCTATGAGATGTTATCAGACAATTTTTGGGATGTTATCAGCTGTGCATGTTTCGATGGCTGTTATTTAGCTATCATCTCACGAGCATAATTCCTTCTAGTTTTTATTTTTGTATGTCTGTCTATATCACATCTTAATAAAATTTGATTATTCAGGAACTGTCAGTGACAAGAAAAAGCAGGAACAGGAAACTCAGAAAAATGAGGAAGAAGATGAAGAAAATGAGAACGAGGAAGATGATGAGGATCTTGAAGAGAATAAGGAAGATGGCGATGAAGACAGTGACTAGCCAACCTAGAAACTGTAACGTACAATGGGGCATAAATTACGTTATTGCTCATGCCGTGGATGACTGTGCCCAAATGTTGAGAGGATGCTTATGCATTTCCTTTTTTAGTATTTTTCAAGGTTTTAAATAGCAATAGAGCTCTTTGTATTTTTCAAGGTTTTAAATAGCAATAGAGCTGTGATAGTAGATCAATTTTTAAATTTGGTTATATGCATTACATGTTACAGAGATTATTTCCATGAAATGAAAATAGAATCCAATGGCCTCCATATCTTTTTTTTTTTTTTCTCTTTATTGCCATGGAGGTTTGTGAACTGGGCTAGCCTACTTTTATAACTTAAAATTCCCGAAGAGACAATAGTATCAGTAGCACATTTTCCTATTATCTTTATAATTGACAGAAATTGACAGGTATATCATGTATGTCAGAAGTAAAATTGTGATACAATGTGGAATCAACCAAGTATAAGAGCGATCCCTTTCTAGTGCTTGGGATTAATATTTGAGAATGACCAATCACATTTTTTTATGATGCAACTAAAATGCAGATTATGAAGAACGGAGAACGAGAGTGCCTCATGGAATTGACAGGGAAAGGAGCTCGCAGCCAAACATAAAATTGTCTATATTCGTCAATTTTAATAGAGACTTCCATAGCAGAGAATCTATAGTGTTCTAAAAGCTAAACTCCGTCTTTCTCCTTCCTTTCTGTCTGAGCATCCGAGTAAAAAGAGCTTGCGTAAATAGGAAAAAAATCCAATAACGAGAGCAAAATCTCCACTTGTAAGAGAAATCAAACAAAACCAATTCCATAGATAGCAAAAGAAGAAGGGCATCTTGCAGTTTAGCAGACAGTTCGGCCTTTGAGTTTTTAGACATACATATCAGAAGCAACTGAATGTAAAACTCTTATGACAAGGACAATTTATTTTAGTTGATATTGGCATAAAAAGGAAGCACAGAAAAAAAAAAGTTATCCGAGTAATTGATGGGACCTGAATAACTTAGAACAGGATAATCTTTCACAAGGGGCTCCTAACAGTTTAAAATCCAGTCTAAAGCCAGTGCACAAATTCATATCACTGAAGTTCCACATTCCTTTCCTTACACAAATTTCCGAAGATTCTCTTCAGATGGAACTTCAAGTGTTGCTCCAGCATGGTGATTATCAAGCTTCATCTCTGCAGAAATAAGTATTGGCATACACAATACTGTTAGGTTACATTGAATTCCTACTCATGAATTCATTATAGTCTGTAAAAAGGGCAATTTAACAAGCAAGTGGTGTGCGTGAGAAGACAAGTGATTAAGCAAGACAAACATTGCCATAACAACGCGTAAGAAATAAAAGATTGATAATGAGAATAACATTACCATAGCCGCCTCGTTCGTTGAGCTCAGCTTGAACGATCATGGTAGAGATGAAATGGGAGGCTTCACGTGCTTCTTCGAGGAGCCTTTGAATCTCAGTCTGGGAAGTCACGTGACGATTCTCCTCGAATTTCTTCCTCACCTCAGAGGCTGATGCGTTCAGCATCACCGAGTCGCCTGCGAAAGATTTCCGAGTTGCTCGTAGTAGCGCTCTGTACGCGATCAATGCTTCTCCACTCGCCATCTCTCTCCTCTTCGATCTCTGATTGCCGGCGACCGCGGGGATTTCTCGCTCATTGGCTTATATTAAATTAAATGACATTCGAAAACGCCGCTGTTGGAATTGGTTTTTCTTTTTTCTTTTCTCTTGTTTTTTTTTTTTTTTTTCCAAAACCACGGTGAATCTCAGTCGTGGAGGAACGTCACGACGTGCACTGCGATTCTCCCTCGAATTATCTTCCCTCACCGCAGAGGCTGATGCGTTCAGCATCACCGAGTCGCCTGCGAAAGATTTCCGAGTGCCTCGGTTAGTAGCGCTCTGTACGCGCGATAATTCTTCTTCCACTCGCCACTCTCTCCTCATTCGATCTCTGATTGCCGGCGACCGCTGGGGATTTCTCGCTTCATTGGCTTATATTAAAATTAACAGTGACATTCGGAAAACGCCGCAGTGACATTGGTTTTCTTTTTACTTTCGTCTTGTTTTTTTTTTTTTTTTCAATTTTTTTTTTTTTTTTTTTCCAAAACCACGTCGTTTTAACTTGTACAGAACGACAAGAACACCACATTAGACTCGCCCTATTCCATATAGTATGCCAAAGGATTTGAAACGAATACATGCATTTAGCACCCACTATGAAGTTAGTTACTGTTAAAGATTATTTTTAGTTTAGCTATTAGTTCAGTTATTTAAGAATTTGTCAAAATTACTAGGCACCTGTCCCCCTTCCATACACTAGAGATACATGAAAAAAAGAAGCTAATTGTGGATATATTTGAAAATGTTTACTAAGTCAAAATTTTTAAATGGCTACCAAATGAATTAGAGAAAATTCTTATTTCTGCATTTTTGTTTTATATATACAATGTGCATCAGTTCTCATCGCAATAAATGAAAAGTTGGTGCAACAAGAGCACTTCATCCAGTCCATTCAATTCAAGATGAGCTTCACATATTATGTTAGTCACCAACAAAGTCAACAGATACACAAGTATAATTAGTTTACAGTTATACAACACAATACTTTCTCATCATAGTAATACAATGTTGTTTAATGTAATGCACGTCCAGAAGCCTTCATCCGTATGACGGCACCAAAATGGCCAATCCCGGCAGAGGGAAGTGAATGCCACAGGCAAGCAATGCATAAAATCCCATATTACTTTTACCATTATCAAAAACACCCGGGGCAAATATATCAATGCAACTAAAATCCCACTATTAGCTTTTACCATTTATTCAAAAAAAACACAACGGTGGCAATATATACATATATATATATATAATAATATATACTGATATATATAAAAGGGCTTCCCTGAGGGCAAAAATAAGCAACTTCAACACACAATATAGTCATTCTCAGTGAAATCAACCCATTCGACTATCAGCTCTCTTTTTTTTTATTTTCTTGTAATTTGCTTGTTATTTATTTAGTTTGTTACGGCGACACCTGTCAATGGGGCCTTTTGCGATCTAGAGATATGTTTCTTCTACCTACCATTCTCCATCTTAAGATATTCATACCTGGCACATTGAAGGGGCATAACGGTAAAATCGCAGTCAAAATTTCAATCAGTTGAGGAGTAAAAAAAATAATTATAAACAAAACAAGCCTCTGTAAACCATATTCAAAGCTTTTCTTAGCTTGGCAGAAACATTTATTCCATTTTCTCAATTTTTAATAGAAATTTCTGGAAGCCTACATCCCAAAATCTTTTCTTATACAATTTAGAATCGTACATGGAAAAAGGTTTCAAAATCATAGCTGGGACTAAGAAACATTCCTCGAAAACCAAGTTTTGCCAACACTAGCTTACCTTCGATAGGTAAATGCAGTTCTTTTCCATTTGAAATGAAATAGACAGTAGAGATAAAAAACTTGGAACAAGAAGAGAATGCGTTCCTCCTGATCATAAACACTCCCGTTCAATTCCGTATTCTAAATCTCCATTTTCAATTTATCTAGTTCCTTAATCTTCTTTATGACGAAACCATATTCCAATTGCGTTCGACGGAAAATCATTGGGAATAGATTCTTGGTATATGAAATATTCTATTTAAACAAAGAAATCATAAGAACAAGACCAGACAATGACCCTTGAAAACCAGCTATAAACTAGAAGGCATTGAAAAATGCCCACGAACTGGCAACAAAAACCAGCTGATGAAAATAGTTATGAAAAAATCTACCTGTGTTTTCAGAAAATTTCATCGTTACTCCAAAATTTTACCATTGTTAGTCTTTCTATATATATATATAAAAGGGGCTCCCTGAGGGCAAAAATAGCAACTTCAACACACAATTAGTCATCTCAGTGAATCAACCATTCGACTATCATGCTTCTTGCGGCGACACCTGTAATGGGCCTTTTGATCTGAGAATGTGTTCTCTCCTACCATCTCCATCTTAGAATTCATACCTGGCACATTGAAGGGGCATAACAGTAAGAATCGCAGTCAAAATTTCAATAGTTTGAGAGAAAAAAAAATAATAATAAAAAACAGCTTAAACCATTCAACTTTAGCTTGGCAGAAACATTATTTTCCATTTTTCAATTTTAAAGAAATTCTGGAAGCTACATTCCAAACTTTTCTTATACATTTAGATGACTGGAAAAGGTTTTCAAAATCTACTGGGACTAGAAAACATTCTCGAACAAGTTTTCCAACACTAGCTACCTTCGATAGGTAAATGCATCTTTTCCATGAAAATGAAATAGACAGTAGAGATAAAAAATTGGAAAAGAAAATGGTTCCTCTGACATAAACACTCCCGTCAGATTCCTCTAAATCTCCATTCAATTATCTAGTTCCTTAATTTCTTTATGAGAACCATTTCCATGTGACGGAAAATTGGGAATAGATTCCTGATATCGAAATATTCATTTAAACAAAGAATATAAGAACAGACAGACATGACCTGAAACAGCTATAACTTAGAGGCATTGACAAATGCAGACTGGCAACAAAACCAGCTGAGGAGAAATAGTATGAAAAATCTACCTGTGTTTTCATGAAATTTCATGTTACTCAAATTTCCATTGCTAGTCTTTCACCAAAACAAGGTGCTAGGGTCCAACTTATACAACAAGGCGCTAGGGTCCAACATCGAAAGGAGGCATGTAGTAGAACAGCATTCAATAATTTGGGGACCATAACAACATTCATACCAAAACATGGGCAGAAGACGCACAAAAACTTTTTCCGTTTTTTATAAAAATGTACTCAACAGCAAATATTAATTTACAACACCCAGTTTTTTGTGCAATATGCAATTCTGAAAAATAAATTTACCATATGTTCTTGCTTTTAAAAGATTGTTTTAAGAAAACAATAATGTCTCACATTACGGCCACTGCTGCTGTCCCATTCCCACTCCGTCCAACCACTACAAACACTCATAGAGCATGCAAGTCTTTATGACCCTCCAGACTTTGTAAGGCAATGCCTTAGGCACCCATCAAGATATTTCCATCCATATTAAGTTCAAACTATTCAGCTTATCAGAAACCCTAAACATGAAGATGATATCCTCCACCTTGATAAAAGGAAAAATTTAGGGGAAAACTGCCAGACTGTTGCCACAGCATTCTAAATAACAAAGGGGTAAAAGAAGAGTTTTCACAAGTAAGGTACGAGATAACTAGTTTATTCGTCAGCCCAAAATAGAGAACCTTAGTGTTCTATGGCTGTTGCATGAAATGTCCAGAGAGCCAGAATGTAATCATTCACTATCAACTACCAACAGGCAGCCATTCCACAGGCTTTACTAATGTCAAAATCCAGGTGGAGCAGTGGCTCGCTCTTTCAGCTCAAGGTTTTAATGTGAAAAAATTAAAATGAACTAAACCCACTGAGACGAACTCTTTCTCAAAAGAAATGTTTAACAGTTCAAATAAGTAGCCTATTTTGTAGAACTGACACTGTAATAATTTGCTTTTTATTAATAAAACACCAACTGCTCAGGCAGTTGTGATAAAGTAGCAGTCACTATATTTATCTAAAGAGAGCAGATGCCTACTAATCTAGCATCCACAGATATAAATGGGAGGAACAGAAAGCAATAAACTAAGCTAAAGAAGTACCTCCAAATTGGTCGCCCCAAAACAGCAACCTGGCATCTTCCTCCTCCTCATCAACCTCATCCTCATAACCAAACTCCGCATCTCCTCTATATCCTGGTTCGCTCCCATATCCAGATTCATTCCCTTGAGAATCAAAATTCCCAAATTGACCAAACCCACCACCAACACCCAAATTCTCTTTCTCCTCCCTATCCCTCTCTCTCTCCCTCCTTGATGAATTCTTCGCTTCGCTCACATCCGATGCCCAATTAGCTTCCCCATTCCCAAAAAGCTCACCACTAGAATCAGTCCCCACCGCCACCGGAAAATCCGAGCAGGTACCGTGAGCAGCCGACGCCCCAACTGAACAACACCGTCGAGTTCCACTTCGATCAGAACTCCGACCAGATACAGACCGAGAACCTCGCCGCCGTCGTTTACGAGCAATCAGCCGTAAGGTCCCTCGCTTAAAAGGACTAGCAGCGGCACCGATGGTCTTGTCGTCATCAATTAGTGAGAGCTTAGAGATGTCGATAGAATCAATGGTAAATGAAGTGGTACGATCAGAGAGACAAGGGCGTTTAGTGAGGGTATGAGAGTGGAGAACGTTGGTGGGGTATGGGGGCTTAGGAGGATCGGAGTCTAGTGTTTGGAAGTGGAAAGGTCGCCAAGAATGAAGCTGGAAGGTGCAGGAGTCAATGGAGTGGCGCGAATCCAGGGTTCTGTGCGACATTAAATCGGAGATAGAAAATAAGAGAGATTTTGAATAGGATTTATATATCTGATTCTCCAATTTTTATTAGATATGTCGTGGAGGAGGAAGAAAACTGGCGGACACAGAACCGGAAGCGGGCTGACTTGGTAGGAGAGAAGCAGGGAAGCTTCGATGGTAGCTGTGATATTTTTCGTCTACAGAATCCATGCACCAAGCCATTAGGGAATTTTCAGCCGCTTGGCCCACTCATTGTCGGTCCATAGATCCATAGGTCAGGTCATCCCGCGAAGTTATTTTTTTATTTTTTGAGAAAGACCCCTACGATATTCTTGTTCACGCGAAAGCTATTTATTTATTTACTATGTATATAGTATGGAATAAAATAATATTATGAATCATACCGGTGGTTCATCTTTAATTTTTTTTTAGTTTATAAATTAATGAAATTTTTATAAATTATAGTGCTTAAATCGAAATTTTTCACCTTCCACGTAAGTTAATTAATATATTTAACACATTACATTTTTAATCATAGACCATCTTTTTTATTTTAGATAAATAGTTCATTGTTAAAATTATTAAAATTTATTTTAAATTTTTGATTCAAATAAATATCATATAATATATTTATAAGGCATATTCACAATATAAATTCAAATATTTTGTTAAAATAAGAGCAATCAATTTTATTTGATTAAAACTATAAAAACTGCCCTTCTTTCCTACCTCAAAATATTTTATATTTGTTTTATTTCGTTCCTCATTTGGACGGTATAAAAATTCTCTACAACCCAATAAATATTCAGAAGTTAATTTTGCAAATAATTATACTTTGATAGGGAGTTCAAACAATAAAAAAAAAATTTGACGATGCACTAAATTGGTTTCTTACAAGCGCAGGTCCTTTCCAGGCACAAAAAACAGCCATCAATCATACTAAAATCTGTACTAGTTTGATATTGTTATTGCTAAAATAATAGTTCACTGGCCAAAAGTCAGAAATTGTTATTTTGTACCAATGAAGCTACATATGTTTGATTTTTATAGATCTAAATTTGTTGCAATATAACTTTTTATAGATCTAAATTTGATTTTGAAGCTACATATGTTTTTGAAATTTGTTTCCAAAATAAGTTTTAAGCCTATAAAACCCAAATTAAAGAAGACTATCAATTAGCCCCAAAAAATTGTTCCAACTTATTACTGATCCAAAAAAATTTTTTTATTAGCAATAAGGACATTAACCAGACCTGCACCGCATATCGGGTTATAAGGGCATGATTATGAACAAAAGCAAATTTAGGATAACTAATAGTGATTATATGCTCGTATTCTATCATTCATAAATTCGTGATGTCCACAAATAGCATACTTGCAAAAATTTAAGATCTTTTCTATAAGGTTTCAAACGCTCTCATGAATGTATATGCACAGCTTTTCTAGCAGTCAAAACCAATCTGCTAAAAGCAATGTGGTTTTCCTCTCAGCTGAAAATCAGTAAGGTCAGACGAAATATGTAAAACTAAACCAGAACCAGTACTTGGTAATACCATCATCGTACACTCATGTACTCGAAGTCAAGCACATTAGTCTCTGATATTTACAATCTAATTTCAAAACAAAGCAGCTGAAGTCCTCTATGTACATCCATTAATATCATTCAGACATTTGCGAAGTGCGGCTGCATAGTCATCAAACTGAATGTCAGTAGGTGGTTGAAAGTCAAAAACGTATGAGATAGCCTTTGAGGCCAGCACTGGCTTCCTAGTTGTGGTTGTATCTTGCAACTCCCCTAAACTTGCTTCATCAAATGGAAAAGATTCTCTGAGGAAAAAGAAGCTTTCTCTGCCTAACTTTTCCACCTAGAATAAAAGATTGCCACACAAATTCAAGGAAAATATGCTATTAAATGAGCATACAATAAAATAACACTGACAGAAGGAACACACAAATGCACCATGTAGGATTGGTTAGCAGTACAAATTTTCTTTCCGTAAATCTGGTTAGCAATTTAAGCATTGAAAGTAGCAGAAAAAGATATGATCTGTTAAAAAGAAATTACCTGTAACAGTGAAAATCTGATATTGTTCATGGTGATGATAACTCGAAGTTCATATAAGGAGTCAGCTATAATTCTGATGGATAAATACTCAAAGAAATTTTGTATATGAAGTTTCTGCTTCTCCAAATTTTCAGCATCGCTATTTAAATTAGGGAACCACAGAATGCACTTAATTTCACTCCATGGAATGGGATTCTTTGCTGCTTTGGAAATGATAGTCTGGTATGGGTGACTGAGACCCCACAGAACTCGGACATCCCTCAATGACGGATCAACTATGGAGCTGCCAGACGTACATGTAGTACATATTATTTTGGACGGATCATAGTGGCGAGCAAGAATCGAGGAGAAATGCATGTCAGTATCATCCAGTAAAAGGATGCAACCATCCGAAGATGCTGGAAACAATTGTAGAAAGGTGGCAGCATTGACATCATCATCTTCCGGCAGGCACGGAATAGGGTTAACTGATGATATTGATGAACCCAGATCATGGGAGAAGTGACAGGACTCTCCATTTCGACAACCCTGCATATCCCACTTTCACAACCTTAACATATCATGCAAAACTTTGAAATTGGCATCAGATTAAGCAACAGTTAGAAACCTAAGCAGAACTTCCCAAAAAGAGATTTGTACACCCCCAATACAACACTATCAAGGGGCCCTAACTAACAGTTGAGGCACATATGAAGATCCACAGCGCTTCTACTCAGGATGTTTTATTCTAAACCATATGAACCTAAGCTTTTTTAGTAAATCTCAAGTTCATTGTCATCCAGCCAAACAAGTCTATGCCAATAAAATCATTGTAAGTCAATTAATTGTTACTATTTAACCCCATTTTTCAATAAAAAATAAGAGCTGATTTTAGTCAGAATTCAATGGCAAAGACAAGTTCACTTGGTTAGTTATCAAAGAAAAAGCTTCAATCATAATTAGCAAATATTCCAATTTTATGGATTAGAATGCAACAAGCACCAATCAAATTTGAAATTGGAATTGCAATTGCAGAATGATTATATACAATACAAACTCCCAACAGAATATAGTTAATTTTACTATCAACTCAACGCTACTAAGAGTTACTCCTAAACTAGGTCAGCGTCAGCTTGCATGAATTCATTTCCTTCACCTTATCTTACTTCATAAAAAGCTCTTCATTTCAAACTAAAAGCTTTCTGCAATTTTTTTACCTCACTGTTTCTTGTTCCTATGAACCCTTTCAGTATATGGAAGATAATTCTGCACGATCCAGCCTTTTTAATCAATGTTTTCAAATACAATGAAAATAATAAAAATTGCACCAGAAACCTTTGGATGGTAGGCAACTTAGCAAATTACAAAAGCCAGAGTTAAAAGCTGCCCAATAAAATATAGTATGAGGTACAAATAATTTTAAAGCAAAATAGAATATAAAAGGTGTAGAAGCCAAATACCTGTAAAGAGAAAAAAAAATTGCAAGCAGGTCTTTTCGCATCAAGTGAATGAGAAAATCTGCATTCACTGCCCTTGTTGCAGGATCCATCAAGAAAATATACACATGAGGGAGCATTCTCATTGACATGAGATACATCATTGTAAGTATAGCTCCCAAGATTACGAGTTCCATCCTGTGTTAATTGAGCTCTTACCTGATAAATGTAACAAGAAGATGAAGTACCAATTAGCCTGTCAACAATAATCTAAATTTAAGCCCAACAATAAGCCTATTTACCTCTTTGACAATAGCTGAAAAATTTTGAGCCACGTTAATAGTCTGAAAGTGAACAGAAGAAACAAAAGGTACAGCACAACATTTTTTTGTTTCACAAGATAGCTCATTGTGCTCATCATCTGCAGCAACAGCAACTGTATCTCCATCTGGCTGATATTGCAGAAAGCACACATGGCCAAATTCATATGGATCATAGTAGGTTGGTAGGCCATCACATTTACCCAGAAATCTGGGTCGAAACTGGTGTAGTGAATTTAGTATGTCTTCATCTGAAATAAAAGCACATAAAATGTGGCACTAAGCTCGGAATAATTTTTCTAGAGGAGATAAAAAAAGTGCAAAAAAGCACATAAAATACGGCAACTTGGAATTTTTTTTTTTTATTATTTTTTTAATTTTTTTACAAGAAAGAAAAAAATAGCAAAGAGAAAAAGATAGTTGAAGATTAACATATGTTTCTGGACCTAAAAAGAGTAAGGTCATATTTGAGTAAAAGAAAAGATACAAAAACTATAATGCTAAAAAAATCCTTACACATATCGGACACTTGATGTAGTGATGATTGTATAAGATTATGGAACAAGCACCATTCCTCTTCAATCTTTGGAAGCAGTGATGATGCAGCTTTCATTTCACTAAACGTAGAAAGTCCTTTCAGGTGTTCCAGCCGGTGCTTATCCTGTGTAGGAAGTCATAAAGCTCAAATTTTATATTAAAGCTCTATTCTAACAAAGCCCACTTGCAAAATGTTTACCTTAAATACACGTTGCCAAAACTGATATGCATTCAAGTTTCCAATTAATATCATCTCCTTTCGTCCAATTTTTACAATGTTGTTACAATCACCACCAAAGTAGCGGCAAGCATACTGTGTAAACTGAAGTACAGTACAATAAACTTATAAGACAAAACTGATCAAACCATAAATTTACAAAATAAGTTCACTTATTAGGCAATACCAAAGGTTCTTCTCCAAAAGGGTGAAGAATTGGTAGAGGCTGTAAATCCATCAATATACCCATCAGAATGCCTTCACGCAAGAGTCCAATATCTCCAAACTTCAGTAGAAGAACAGAGGCATCAAAGGATAATGAGAAGCTAGCAAGCAGACGTCCGTAAAATGTAGGATCATACCGGCCCCGTGCAGATGTTCTGGCCAATGCATTTATTTGAACAAGCAAGTTTAATGCATCTTCAATAACCTGAGGATCTGGAGGATCCAGAGCCTTCTGCAACAAAACTAAATCGAAGTTTCATAAATTAAATTAGGATCCTATTCAATTTTCAGCATATTCATCCTAAAATATTAAAAGAGCAGTTCAAATACATTCACTTACAATTACAACCAATTTACACTACTGCTGACAACCACAAACTTACCAACACGTTTCAAAACTACAGATAAAACAAGATCAACATTATAGATAATGTATTCATTCTATTTGAACTATCCCCTTCCACCTGAGAAAGAGTGAGAGACAGAGACAGAGACAGAGACAGAGACAGAAACTAAATAAGATTATCAATTATAAAAATCAGGTCCGAAATTAGAGCAAAAAGCCAGTTAAATTTCAGCACACTTGTGTTTAATATGACAGTGCAGAAGTTACACTAACCTAGAGCAGGTTTATGGAGAGTACAAAACTCAAAATGCAGCTCCAGCATATAGAGTTAAGCGACAAGATCTGAGATAACTAGCAGCATGATTCTGTAGTTTGAATTTTGCTATTACTTGAAAACAAACAAATAGGTTCACATGTGATCTGTGGAGCTAGTTCAAACAAGAAAAAGAAGAAGAAGCTAACACAGATGGTATCATGAATCATGATAAGCAAGGTGAACAAACGCCAATGAAGGAGTGGAATTCCAAACAAATCGAGTTGAAATGTGATTTTCAAACATTTTAAGGATTCTTCACTTCATGCTTTTCCCAGAATTATGAAGAAGATGCAATATACCCATTTCCCAAGCCTGGGATCTGTGGAGGTGATTAACAGTGTGTGTAATGAAAAGTATATACTAGTCAGTCTGTTAAGCAGCACTCTAAGCTGTATGATTTCCAACTTTGAATCAACAATACCTTTGGGATCATTAATGGCTTTAGATTCAGCACAGCAAATCAGAAGTACTTGTTGCCGTAATGACAGCTTAAGTATAGCTGGAGACTCATGCTCCTGAAGCTTGTTGAAAAACGATCCTGTGACCAACCGATAAATATGGCCATCACAAGTTCTTCCAGTTCTCCCCTTACGCTGGTTAGCCTAAAGCATGATTTGAAATTTATAAAAGAATAAAATGATGAAACTTCAAAATCACCTTAAAATTCCTTAATACCTGAGACTTAGAAACCCACACAAGCTCTGCAGAATCCATTTTCTTTGCTGTGTCCCAAAAGACTTGCAAAGACCGGCATGAATCAATGACATATGCTACTTTGGGTATTGTCACGGAAGATTCTGCAATGTTTGTGGCCAATATCACCTATGCACAAGAACTTTCAAGTCAACAACTAGAACAAGGATATGATATGGAATTGTCACACTTGAGTACAAAATTTATGGGTATATCCATTCGTGAATGAAGAAAACTGAAGATTTACGCTCTATTCCACATAAAAGAATAACAACAACTATTGCCTTAGCCCCAAAATAATTGGGTCAACTATATGAATCCTTTGTTTCTAATATCCACTCTAATCAAATTAATAGCAAGGCAAAGCAAAATACAAGTTGAAAAAAATTTTAAAATACTTTTTTTGTAGAAAAACTTTTTGAATGGGAATTTTAAAATCATTTGATATATTAACAAATAGAATAAGCATAAGAGGGTCCGCTATATGAATTTTTTGTCTCCATTCTATTATGTTCATAGCTATATCCTCAATAATATCCAAAGATCGTAGATCCTTCGCGACAAACTTCCCTCCGAGCAGTTCTAGGTCGAACTAGTTAAACTAATTAAATTGACAGTATCTTGCATATGGACGCATCTAACGGAAAATCATCTAAGTTAATGCTTATCATGCTACTTCCACCAAAAAAGGGGCATGGAAATTAAAAGAAAAGGGAGTAAAAAAACGCAAAAGTCATTTTTCAATATTTAATAATGAACAGAAAGTGCAAGTAGCAAAATGTAAAAGCCTATACAAGATGGAATCAATTGTAGTCATACCTTACGATGCGATTTCCAGATTTTCATAGCCATGAGAGCTTGTTGAGTTTCAATGCTTCCATGTAAAATGTGAACTTTAAAACAGGAAATAAGAGGCTTCAGAAGGTACCACTGCTGCTCCAAGTCACGGTATGTAGGAAGGAAAACCAAAATACTCTTTTCGATGTCTGGTTCATTTTCATGAATGTGCATGATCAAATCATAAATAAGTTTGTGCACTTCTTCTTTAATATCAGCAGCTGCCATAGAAGGGCTTGGTCCTGAACAATATCTTGTAGCCAGTAAATCCGAAGTTATTCCAAGAAATTCAGTTATCTGTTCAGAGAACAATGAATCATAAATTACAAAGAAGTATCAGATAGTGAGTAGTGACATTGACAGCTTAAGGTCACATGTATCAAAGAAGAGACAACTATCGTGGCACTCATTTTTTACAGTAAATCCAAGATCCTGTCTAACAATTTCATATCAATTGGCCAAATAGTCTCAAATAGTGACATGATAAGCCCTTTTTCCATAAAATGCATGTGCAGTGAGCCAGTAAGTAACAAATGATTTATTCCTACAACATGTTCTGACAAAATTTTGTGAATTCAGGTTTGAAGGATGCCACATAATTATTTCAAATCCTACAAGTTTAACACTGTATGAAACCCACTATAACTATGTAAATGGTAAAAATAATTGAGTTAGGGCACTCCATCCCATATAGTTATGTCATCCAAAACAAAGCAGAAGAGAAGACATACATATAGCAGCAGTTTGATACATCCAATCAATTTTGAGCAATTCCACAAAAAAAAAAAAAAGAAGGGAAAGGGGCGGGGAAGGAGAGTATTGCGTGATGGTTGGAGCAAGGGAAACCTCAAGAAAATGGAAAGAAAGGAAATGATTGCCTGTTCAAGATATGAAACTTTTCTCTGAAAAAGGGCTTGCTGGTTAGAGCTAGGGATTGCAAGCACTTCAACCCGTTCACCTCTGCCAAGATCTTTGAAGAAATCTCGGTATCTTCCAAAATCAGCAGTTGCAGACATCAATACCACTCTGGACAAATCAAAAGTTCATCAGACCCTCAGGTAACATAACCAGAGAGAACTGACCACGGACATAACAAGAGATAATGTCTATTCTTATAGATATTAGCTGAAAATGCTGAGTTTACAGAAAATAGTGAATGCACATGCCAAGAACCAAAAAAGCTTTGAATTCAATTGCTTAGGATTGGCATGATGAAATTAAATTATATGGTTCAACTTCACATATGTAAAAGTGATACATCCACCTCAGATCATTGTTCTTTAACAGAAACTGCTTCACACAGACAAGAACAAGATCGGACTCAACAGATCTTTCATGCACTTCATCAAGAATAATAACTTTGTATTTAAGCGCTTTCAACCCTTTTTCTCTCATTTCTTCTAATAAAACTCCAGCAGTTTTGAAGATAATCTTTGATCTGCAAGATAACATAAAGAAAGTTTGTGTAGAGGCAACAGGAAATTTATAAATGCATTTCTTGGAGAAAAAAAAAAAAGGAATTGTCAAAGAGTAACTAGTAAAAACTGACGTCAAAATATGGCAAATGTCTCTACATCCTAAGACTTTGGCCTCAATGGCAAACTGGAAACATAACCAGAGAGAACTGGACCACGGACATTTAACAAAAGATAATGTCTATCTTTATAGATATAGCGAAAATGCTGAGTACAGAAAATAGGACATGCACATGCAAGAACCAAAAAAGCTTTGAAGTTCAATTGCTTAGGATTGGCATGATGAAATTAAATTATAGTGGTTCAACTTCACATAGTAAAAGTGATACATTTCCAGCCTCAGATCATTGTTCTTTAACAGAAAACTGCTTCACACAGACAAAGAACACAGATCGGACTCAACAGATCTTTCCATGCACTTTCATGCAAGAAAATAACTTGTATATTAAGCCGCGTTTCAAACCCTTTTTACCTCTCATTTCTTCTAATTAAAACTCCAGCAGTTTTGAAAGATAATCTTTGCAATTCTGCAAGATAACATAAAGAAAGTTTGTTTGTAGAGGCAACAGGAAAATTTATAAATGCATTTCTTGGGAGAAAAAAAAAAAAGGAAGATGTCAAAGAGTAACTAGTTAAAAACTGACGTCAAATATGCCAAAAATGTCTCTACACCTAAAGACTTGGCCTCAATGGCAAACTGGAGGGGGGGGGGGGGGGGGGGGAAGGGTTGGAGGTTGGAGAGAATGAACAGTACAGAAATTAAAGGCATATATTCAGTTATTTATAAGCTTCACATCACGTGATCCCCTCATTGAACCAAGTTATCTTCAACTCAAAACAAAAGTACCTTGCTGATAAGAGCTTTGAATGACCTATATGATATCCAACCTCTCCTCCTAGCTCGCAGTTTCGAGCCTGTGCTACCATTTTAGCAACAGCAACAACAGCAAATCTCCTGGGTTGTGTACACAGAATCGGTTCCATGTTTTCTTCCAAAAGAAACTGTGGGATTTGAGAGCTCTTTCCTTGAACATAGAATTGGAAGACAAGTATGAATATCATATTATAGTAAGTCGTAAATTCATAATGACATTTAAAGCAATTTCATGTGATTCGACAGTTAACAACACAAATTAATCCTATATTCATCACAAATTCCACTAGTTTAGATAATTGAAGGAAATGAAGATGATAAGAAACCATATACTTGTATCCGTTTTTTCATAATATTTAATTTTCCTGGAATGATAGTAATGATAACATATACAAATTCTTATTACTCCAACGAGGCGTCTCGTTTTCAAAAATAATAATAATAATAACCAGGCGTCTCAAATAGAAACTAGTGGTTTCATCTACATCTTCCAATAGAAGGAGTGGCCATGTAAAATCAGAGACAATTTTTCATTATCATCTTTTAAAACTCGAACTCAAGTAACCAAAATCAAAATTAATAAACCAATAAATAGAAACCTTGCATTCTTGCCATTTCAGTTCCATGAAGTTGAATAATATGTATTTCAGCTCTCCAATTTACAAGGCGTAAATAGAAATTCGAATAGTCCCATCCAGTGTTACCTCCTTCCTTTTAGTGTTTCTCAGAAAACAGTAGGACGTTACTAACAAAATTGCAAACGTAGATCAAGAATCATTTATCTTTAGTTTATTCTTCAAAATATTTGTCTGATTAAGAAGATAAACCAGTTACAAACCTTTTTCTATTTTTCTTTGTCGACCACTTAAATAACAAAATGCAACCAGATTTCTATTTTACAGTCAAAAAGGAAAGAGAAACAGCTCAACACCAGAGAAAAAAGAACACTAAAACAGAGTGATCACAACTTAAAAGGGATTTTAGGAAAATACCACAGCCAGCCTCGCCAACAATGAGAGTGACACGATTTTCCTTGATTTTCTCTACGATTTTCTCTCTGAGCGAAATCACTGGAAGAGACGAGAACTTTGGTTGTATAAATGGAGAAGAACGCGTAGAGCTAACCGAAGACGTTGGAGACGACGGGGCGTCCATTTTTAAAATCCTCTGCTCTCTTTGTGTTACTATCTGTTTCTCTGCTCTTCTCTTGTAAATTAAAGGGCGGAAATGGAAAGAGACCGTATAAGGCAATGGAAAGTATGCTACGAGTTTGCTCTCTGTCTCGCGCCACGAACCTTAGTCCGTTTCGAAGGAAATGATCAGGGAAGGTTAGTTTCATGCGAGCTCAAATAGAGTTATGCACGTTATTGGCTTCTATTTGCTTTCTGTTTTTCACCGATTCGGGAATGGCCATCAAATTGTAGGCTTACGACTGCGTTAGATAGGCGCTGAGCATGTAAGAAGAGCCGATCTCCTTCCTTGGCACGTCAACAGGCCGTGGGCCCACGTCAAATCCGTGGGAATATTTTTTTGCGGGTCCGACATTACTGTTGAATCTTGACGACTCACGACGACTCTTGTGGATGGCCGAGATCTTATTTCCGCACGGATAATTTCCTCAGCATACTGCGTCATTTACTTTGTGTTCAAGGAGACTTTTACTTTTGAAAAATAAAGCAAATTATAGTGTAAATAATGGTGATAATTGCATAATTAGTTTTCATAGCCTTTTTTGTATTAATTGGTTTTCTAATAGAAATATGATATCAATTGCTATTTTTTTTTAGGTTATTGTTAAAATCATTTATTGGTATAATTAAGGTTTTTCTTATTTTCACTTTTAAAATATATTGCAACATTATTATATTTCCTCTTTTTTTTATAAAAATATTCTTTCTTAGAAAAATGAATTTTTAGGGAGCATTTAAAAGACTTCCAAAACCATGAACGCAGATATAAATATTAATCTTTTATTATTATAATATCAAATCTAATATCTATATTTTTGGAAGTTAAAAAATATGATATTATATCCATCAAAATGCGATAACGATAGCAATTATTCAAAACATTCAAAAAAAAAAAGAATTTTTCATGGAAATAATTGAAGCATTTATGTAAAATTAATTTTAACACAAAAAATATGTTTTTAAATCCGAATGGAATAATTCAGTGGCAAATAACACTTACAGGGTTGATCATCATGACCTACGTCATGAATTCGATCATTCGCAATGTAAATTCCCCTAGGTTGATCCATTTTTCTCTAAAAATATGGGCCTGGATACCTCATGCAATTATTAAAACAATAATTTGATATCAAAGATATTCGAGAGATAAATAAGCTATCATTGGCCATAAACATGTTGGACTCGGATAAATTAATAGGTAACTCATCCGTGGTTCCATAATATTAGTTGTTTTAATAATGATCGATTTTATTATTTTATTAAATATATTAGTAAATATGTAATTTTTAAAATTATACTATTTAGTATTTGCATTATAATTCTATTATATTATAAGATCCAACAATTAATTTTTTTCATTAATTTGTCGTGAATATGAAAAACGCCTTGAAGGATATTTTCTATATAAGGTTTAGACAATGTGAAATTATGAAAATTGAGGTCATTATTAATGTATTTTACCAAATATAGGCAGTATATAACAATTATTTTTACGAATATTTTTGACATTTCAGAGTTACTTAATGGGAGTATTAGTGATTAAACCTTATAGTGTAACAAAATTATAACGTAGGTACCAAATATTGTATTTTTAAAAACTAAAGTCTTTAGTAGTACTTTAAGTAAAACCTACTGGGTATATACTAAACACTGTTGTCAAATAGGACTATCAAAATTATTCTAATAACGTCTTATTATATATTCTCTATATATAAACACTAATATAAAATAATCCGACTATTAAACAATATAAATAAAAGAGATAATGTTTGATATTTTTACTATTGTCAAAATACTAAACATTGCCTTGAAGAATAATTGTCGAAGAAGGGCTAATGACCACCTATAAACCCTAATGACTTAAAAGAAGTAAGATTCACATATCAATCTGCATAAAAATTTGACTTCATAAAAAATATGGAAGAATAGAATCTACAAACTACTTTGCCAAAAATCAAATTGCAATGCTTAAATCAATTGGATCGATAAAAATGATTATTATACTCAAAAACTAAATTGCTATAACGCCTGCTTATATCTCTTTTGATATCTACAAAAAGGGCCCAAACTTCAGCACCTAAAAATAGTAGGTTTACCAATAATCCAATTGAAATCAAATTTCCTTTACCATTTTTACTAATGGCTATTGTGAGTGGAGGACTCGATTGGCCTATAATAAGAATATGAGGGTCTTATTAACCTATATAAAAAAAAAAAAGGACTCAATAGACTAAGTGATAAAGTTCAGGGGGCAAAATGGGTAATCTCCCCAACTGGAACTACCAAACTGCATTTTCACCTCAGTCATCGTCTAGCCGAGAAAACTGAACCATAAGCATCGATTGTTCGATACTATCGGCGAAACCTTAATAGCTAGAGCGAGTTAGAAATGGCGTCTGGGTGGGGGATCACAGGAAACAAAGGCAGATGCTACGATTTCTGGATTGACTTTAGCGAATGCATGTCTCGTTGCAGGGAGCCTAAGGACTGCGCTCTCCTCCGCGAAGACTACCTTGAGTGCCTTCATCACTCTAAAGAGGTTTTTCCTTACTCTTTTTTCACTCGCTATTCAATTGCTTTACTCGCATTTAAAATTGCATTAATTTTAGACTTATTTTTGGATTTCTTCAAAAATTTTTCGATTGTTTGGTTTTGCTTACCACTCTTTTTTTTTTTGAATATGTCCTTGTTTGTCCAGTGATATTATTTGACTACGCTGTGGTGATTTTCATTTTTATGTAAGTGTCGATGTATTTGGATCTCGTGCATCTATAACAATTTAAAAACCCTAGTTTTTTGGAGCGAAAAGGATCAATCTGTTTGACTTTTGGTTAGGGACTTCGGGTTTTTTCCTCTCCCACACAAGTGAACTTCAAAATCATGATAGGTTATTAGATAGTAATTCAGAAGTTTCTGTCATCTTTTTTATAATTTGACCAGTTATTATATGCACGGAGGCGAAGATGAAAAATATTGATTTTGTTACTTCACAGTCATGGCAATGCAATTCTATTCAATCATCCTAAGTATTTTATTAGGAAAATCTTAAATGGCTATGCTGCTTTCTCAGACAGGGGTTTCAGATACAAATCCATTCCGAATAAGAATGCACTGGATTAGCGGATTCTTGTTAATTTTGCTTGTTTTTGGAGGATTGCAAATTTGTAGAAAGTGCATATGCCCAATTTCTAAGTGTGATATGTCTGCTATTCATGCATTTTTTTTGGCTAAAATGAAGAGTTTGAGCGACAGATATAGATAGTAGAAGGATCCCAATGATGCTTTTCCACTCTTTCCCTAACTTGGTTGTCTTGATTTCCCAATAATACTATGTTGCAACTTTATGCATGCATCTCAACCTATTCTTTGCTGTTTAATATGATTGATTAATGTTATCATTCCTGTAGGATGTATACTTCTCATATTCTGATGTGTATTTTTTTTCAGCTTGATGCCTTATTTGCGCATTACTATTTAGTGAAGGGAGGAACAGTTGTGTTACTAATGTTCAATTCTTGGTTTCTTAACTTCAAACTCATACCATATGCAACAGTGGTTATGCACACAACAAACGGACCCTGGGTGAATATGTTTCCCTTGATTTATCCAGAGTGGGAATTTTATCTGAGAAGGCAAATCACAGCAAGGATATTCCTAGATTATCTCTCGTTATGGAACTTTAGGCTGGACTGTTATTGATGGTCAATCTTAGGAATCCCCTGGCATCAAATTAACTATAGGCTGAAGTAGATCTTTTCCATTGCTAATGCTAAGGCATAACTTCTGCTCTAGCTTTTTCCGTTTCTTTGAGTGGAAACTTTGAACTCCTAACAAATTATCATGGTTTATTTCAGTTTGCCCTTCTACTTTCTCTAATAACATCATTATTATTCTTTCTTTTTTTCAAATTAGTAATTGTTTAAATAATTACTTCTTTTTTGGTTGGTTTTCTTTTTTTTTTTTTGGGGGGTAAATAATTACTTTTCTTTTTTGGTTGGTTTTCTTTTTTTTTTTTAGGGGGGGGGGGGTGGTGGTGGTTTTGGGGGGGGGGGGGTGGTGGTGGTTATACTTGAGAAATCTTCAAAATACATACAAAGCTGCTTCCAAGTAATTTACAAATGATACAATGTCTGTGACGACAATGATACCTTTTCATGCCTATTATATGCACCTAGATGCTTATACATATTCTGCTATCTTTCATCACTTGGGTGAACCTGTCTCTATTTTTTTAAGTAATACTTGTTGTGCAAGATTAATTGTTAATCTCTAGAAGGCACCTGCAAGTATCAGACTTGCTAAAATGATTTATTGGGTAATCTGGATCTCTATGTTATTCTTCTGGATAATTAAGCTATAACTGGGGTCTCTTTATATTTAATGATGTAGAATTCTGCTCATGCACTTTAGTATTAACAACTATTTCCTATAACCTGTATTTTTTTTTTTTTGTCTACATGCCCATTCAATGGCTTCTAAGAGGCTCGTATGACATTGTACTGTGATTCTATGAAGTGCTATTCATATCTATTATTTAGCATGAAAATCTATTTTCCATTATATTTTCTCTGTCATAGAATCACACTCCGTGATACCTTGTCGGTCTTAATGCGTTAGGCATGTGAATTGGCAATAAGATAGAAATTGGTTGCATGCATATGCTGTTATTTGGCCTCTTGCTTCTAATTGTATGTATTGATTCTTTCTACTGTCAATGCCAATGTTTCTTGCAGTTTCAACGAAGAAATCGCATTTACAAGGAGGAGCAGCGTAAACTACGAGCAGCAAAGCGAAAGGCCGAGGGTGGAGACAATGTTGTTAATCATCATGCCTAGCAATAATTGATCATCTGTTGAACTTCAAGTAATAAAGAATGTGCGGAGATGTTGTATTTTTCATGCATCTGAAATTCTAACTTTGTTCAAGTAATTTTGTTTTTGTTTATTCTAGAATGGAGATGGGTTGTTTTGATTTGAAAAATAACATGAAATGCAGTACTTCATGACACTGATTTGCCAGTTAAATAGATACGGTACTTGAGCAAAATGGGTTTCAAACACAAAAATGCGAACTGCAATTTTATTATGGAATTCTGAATCTCATTATCGTGTCATTCTTTTACCCCGGTATCCAACACTAGTTTACAGATAATTAGCTTCTTGTATGTCCAGGACTCAGATGGAATTGCTTAAACTTGCAGATTGATGATGTCACAATTATTTTACAGAAACCTCGAGTTTTTACATGAATTAATTTCTATTCCAATTAGATGGACATGCATGATAGACATATATACGCTGCCTGATAAACAGGGAAAGACAATCAGCGGCAACACGTAGATCTCGGAACCAAGTTGAGCGTTCTTGTTTTTCTGGTTAGGTATTATACCTGTTTTGATTTCTAACTCCTGATGCTCTGTCAAAAGCTAATTCTCGATCCTGTGCTGCCTACAAGAAATGGGGTTTAGGGACGAATTGTATGGAAGGGCTTCTTACTCTCTGTTATGGGTGGTTACAGTGAAGTCTAGAGAATTTGATTGGTCTTACGTCTCAGGTTGAATCTCTACCTGATCACCTACTGACATATTATTTCTATGCTTAATCCTTAATGGGTTGGAATGTTCTTTAAATGTAATTTTTAACTATAGTAGTATAGTCCATTTAAATTGCAGTACCGTAACAATATACTTTTGTTTTTAAGAAAAAATAAATAAATATCCAATGTGAATTTGGTATCCTTAATACTCAATGCTCCTATAAACATTTACAAATCCTCACAAATTACTAATTAGTGATTAGGGTATGGCTGATTTTATTTTAATTTTGGGAATATTCTTTTCAATAATTAAGATAAGAAAACCAAATCTCATATTCTCTTTCAATATTTTTTTTCATATATATATATATAAAATAAAATTATATTCTATAATATCGTACATTGAATTTCGCATTATGTAATGTATTAAGTTCAATTTTTTCTACACAAGAAAATGGAAGTGGAATCGTGTTTTTTTTTTTTTTTTTTTTTTTTTTTGGAAGTGGAAATCGTGTTTTTTTTTTTTTTTTTTTTTTTTCTGCTAAGATATATTATGGCACAAGAATATATCTTCATAATGTTGGTTTTTTTTTTTTTTTTTTTTTTTCTGCTAGATATATTATGGCACAAGAATATATCTTATAATGTTGCAATTTCAGTGGATTCGCATTTGAAATATCATAAATTGTGTACTTAGTACTGCAGAATTGTCTTTCATAGTGCTAGAAAACAATTACAATATTTTTCTGGAAATCACAGCTATTAATTAAATTTAAAATTTACCTTTAAAAAAAATTAAATTTAAAATTTGAAATTTAAGACGAGCCGTCTCGACGTATGCTAGCGGGTGGTCCCATAAGTAGGGAAACAAAACAAAAAACAGAGTCAGATCCCCAGTTTTAAGCCACTTGATTTTTCCACACTATAATATAAAATCGTACACGACGCAACACACTGTCTTTTACCAAATTATATTTACTACTCGCCCAATTCAAAACCCTAACCGGGGCTGTTGTCTTTCTCACCGAGCATTGTGCATCTATTCCATCGAAAAGGTTGGTTCTTATACATCTATCTATTTATCTATCTACCAAATCTCCATGACAAGACCTAAACGATCAGCTAGTTAACCGGCGTTTGATTTGCTGTAAATCGCAGCCCAAAAAAAAAAAAAAAATCAAATTTTCGTTGTTTTTGTTTCTTTTGTGCATTGACTTTTGCAATGGCAGAGCTAAATTTGTTTACGATTCAGTTGAACGCTGATTACATAAATAACAGATAATTTAGTAGATTTTGTGAGTGAATGCCGTTGATTTGGTTTGATTGTTGAGTTTTAGGGTTTAATTTGTGAAAATTTTGGATGGGTTAGGGAAAATGAGTAGCCGAGCGAGCAGGACTCTCTATGTTGGGAATCTTCCTGGTGATATTCGCGAGAGAGAAGTAGAAGATTTGTTTTACAAGGTAAGACAGCTTGTCGTTTGAATTCAATTTTTGAACAGGGCATGGCTTCTGGCTTCCTCGTTACCCTGCATGTTATTTCAATTGTGTATACCTTTTCGTTCTGGTCCCTGAGTTTATGTATTTTGCGAGCATGTTCACTATATGGTCAACAATATGACCTTCCGCTTGTTTTAGAACTCTGTAAAATTAGTGACTTAATGTAACTTATGTATAAGTGCCGTTAGAGCATGACTTGATTAACTAAGTGGAAAAGCGTGTTTAGATAATAGAACAAGTTTACAAAGTGAGTGTACTCTCTGCCTAAAACCTGCATCTTCATGTCTGTAATTGATTTTTTTTCCCATTAGAGGATGGTGAACTACTAGGGTATTTAAAAGTGTGAAAGATGCGGAGCTACTATGATTGTTATGGGTGTATTTTGTAGGGTTGGTATATTAAAAGTTCTCGCCTGTGGCAATCAGGCTCTTCTTAACATCAGAAAAAAAAGAGAAATATTAGAGAATGATATGCAGGACATATTGATTATTTTTAACCAATTTGTGCTTTATATATATAATTCATCATCTGGAATTTTTGAATTTTGCTTTATATATATAATTCATCATCTGGAATTTTTGAATTTTTCTTTCCATTTGCAGTATGGACCTATTGCTCACATTGATCTCAAGATCCCACCAAGGCCGCCCGGTTATGCATTTGTTGAGGTGAATTATGAATGCTTTTTCGTCCCATCCCTATTATAATATGTGCTTTCACTTTATATTATGTTTGATTTTTTTGATTTTTTATTTTTGCAGTTTGAAGAGGCTCGAGATGCTGAGGATGCAATTCGTGGTCGTGATGGCTATGATTTTGATGGGCATCGTTTACGGGTTAGTTTAGACCCTTTTTTTTTAACCTTTAGGTATGGCTGTCTATTGGAACTCATATTTCATGCGTATAAAACAGGTGGAGCTTGCACATGGTGGCCGCGGACATTCTTCCTCTGATCGTCACAGTAGTTACAGTGGTGGTCGTGGACGAGGAGTCTCTAGGCGTTCTGAATATCGTGGTATGTAGAACATGTAATGAATTGTTCCATTCAACATTTTGAATTGTTCTATTCAACATTTTGTTAACGAGTAGGCACAAGTTATTTTGTTTATCTTAATCCAACTTGAAATCGTCTGTCATGCAGTTTTGGTCACTGGCTTACCCTCTTCTGCTTCATGGCAAGATCTTAAGGTCGATAGAACTGCTTTCCCCTCATTCACCATAGAAAATTGGCCATCATTGCTTATTTTAGTATTTCCTTTACCTTTACTTCTGTCTATGCCTTCGTTCTTGCTGATACACGCATGTTGATCTATTGTTTTTACATTTGTATCTGAAGCTAATTGGCATCTAATCATTACTTGTTCACCTCCAGGATCACATGCGCCAAGCAGGTGATGTCTGTTTCTCTCAAGTTTTCCGCGATGGTGGTGGTAAGATACTCTGTTTTATTCTTATTATATAGAACTTTTTTTTTTTTTTTTTTTTTTCTCTCAAATTTTCCGCGATGGTGGTGGTAAGATACCTCTGTTTTTATTCTATTATATAGAACTTTTTTTTTTTTTTTTTTTGTGGACTTCCTAAACTTTTAATTTGGCTTGGATAGTTTTTAGAAAGTTGTGCCTTTATGTCCAAGGTTTTTTTGTTTGTAACTTTAGGCTAAAATTTTTGATGCAATTCTTTTTTCGGTTAAATTTTGTTTTGAATTGACAAAGCAGAAGGTTTGGTCAAATCTAGAATTGACATTTTGTAAATAATATAATGAACAATATTATTGGTTGGCTATAAAGGCACCACAGGGATTGTGGAACTAACCACAAACTATTGAAGACATGAAAAACAGGCGGTGAGTTATAAGTTTCTTCTCCCCTTTTTATTGAATGACTTTTATTTTTTTTTTTTTTTTTTTTGTGGACTTCCTAACTTTATTTGCTTGGATAGTTTTTAGAGTTGTGCCTATGTCCAAGGTTTTTTGTACTTTAGGCTAAAATTTTGATGCAATTCTTTTTTCGGTTAAATTTTGTTTTGAATTGACAAGCAGAGTTGGTCAAATCTAGATTGACATTTTGTATAATATAATGACAATATTATTGTTGGCTATAGGCACCACAGGGATTGTGGACTACACAAACTATGAAGACATGAAACAAGCGGTGAGTTATAAGTTTCTTCTCCCCTTTTTATTGAATGACTTTTAATCAAATTTCCTTTGCCTGGTAATTCTATACATTTATTTTTCAGATCAAGAAACTTGATGACTCTGAATTTCGGAATGCATTTTCCCGGGCATATGTTCGTGTATGATTCTCTCTCTCTCACACACGCGCGCGCGCGCATTTACACTGTTGTGCACATGCACAGATTCTTGTGCACATATGCATACATATATTTGTTGCATTATTTAATAATTGGTTGACCTATAGGTGAAGGAATATGATTCCAAGCGAGACTCTAGGAGTCCTAGTCGTGGTCGGTCTCGTTCAAGAGGCCGTAGTGACAGCCGTAGTCGCAGCCGCAGCCGCGGCCGAAGTTCTAGCCGGAGTAGGAGCCGGAGGTATGTATCATTTTACTTTCTGCAGTAATTGGTAGTAGAGATGTGAATGCTTATTAATATTGTCATAAATGCAGCAAATCTCCCAAAACTAAGTCTACGCGTCGCTTGCCTGCGAGGTCAAGATCAAGGTCTGCTTCTCGTTCTCGTTCTGGATCAAAGCCACATTCTCTGTCAAGGTATTCTTTCATGTCTATTTAATTTCCACATTTGTATGAAGAAATTACATTTTAATATTGATATCAGTGATATGTTTCCTATTCCTTTTATGTATATGTATGCCATCTTCTTGTATCCCGGAATTGCCAACTGTAAATAAAAAAAAATATTTTATAATACACTGAACAACTTATATAAAAGATTATCTCGTAAAATCAATTATATTATATGCACACTAAAAGCATATTATTGGAGCTGGGAAAACTAATTACGAGTTGGAGATTACCTGTCTGGTTTTGTCAGCAATAAGCAGGCCGTTGCTGATATGTGAGAAAGTCATGTTATAAATTGCTTAGAGTTAGTTTACCAGATGGTTTGAATTGGAAGACAAACACTTCTGCTACTGGTCTAACATTGATATCTTCTGATCCTCTTTCTGTTATCAATTGATTTTGTTAGTCATAAAAGTTTATTCACCTCTACTGTAACTGGAATACACCCAGTGCTTGCTGGCAGTAATGCTATCAAGTTAATTTACATTATGATATTTATAGAGGTAATGTATTAATAATTTGATTTTTGAATTATGTTGGAGCAGGGATTGTATTTCATTTTTATTGATGATAACTGGTCAATTGTTTTGAGATTCAAATTGCTTCCTTAGATTGTCATATGAATGAGAGTCTGCCTTATACTTGCATTGTTTCTTTGATTTCAAGGATGGGGTAATTGAAAAAGCATTTTCGGACTGTCAAAACATTCACTCTCTTTTTTTTTGTTGTATGAAAATTGCCTTGTTTGATACATGCAGTGAACTGGGGATTGGATAATAGGATCTTGATGGGATATGGTTCAGTTTCTGCATCTTTTTTGGTTGTTGGAGGTATGCTGTTTTTCGGATGGGCAGCTTTGGAAACCTTCATGGTGTCTCTTATCTAATGTATTTAGCATTATAAATGTCCATGGGTGCTAGATGGGGACAATGGAGATTATGGATTGCAGTAGTACAGCTGGATTTCAGTGAACTAACTGCTAGTGGATCTGGAAGTCACCAGCAATGTGCGGTAGAAACTATGTCATTTTCATTTTCTACTCCAACAATTGCCAAGCTAATAGGATCTGCTAGATGGACTCACTGTGGATTTTGTGGTACAGTAGGGAAGCATGATTCTTTTCTGTCCAGCTGGGTCTTAAAAACACATTATGATTCTTTAGTTGAGATTTTCTTTTTTTAAAAAAAGTTAGGTGTTCTATTGGGGCGGGAATTTTATGAAATGGGCGTGATATATATTTTTTTGGTTTTCTCTTGAGTTGCTAAACATTTATGGCTTTTCTTTTTATCTTTTTTGAATTTGGTAACTCTGACGTGGAAGAGGCATCAAGGCTCTTGGATGAGAGTTGTTAAAAGGAACGTGTGGATTTTAAATTTGGGTTGTTTCTGGAACTTTTGCAGATCGCGTTCAAGATCAAGATCTCCAATTCCATCTGTAAGTTGTTTCTCAGTATATTTGGCAATTCTTCAGTTGTCATGGAACCCATTATCTGTTAGATCCTGGCCAGTTGTTATGGCCATTATGGATAAAACAATGCAGCCAAATGATAAATTAAGCCCAGGAAATTAAAAGTAGATTGAGCTCTTATATTTTTGATAATCTAACATATTTAAGCTTTTGAATGCACACGAGTAAGAGGACCAATGTTTCTTCGTTTTGCTCTTCTTTCAAGTTTACAAGTAATATGTTTTGTAGTTTTTATTCCCGTATGGCTTGCTGGCAAGTAGACTCTTTCTTCCAGCCAAGGCCTGTCTAAAGTTTTATACTTTGGAGTTAAGGCCTGCCATGCATGGTACATATGATGTTTTTGTTAATAATATGCTCTGCAGCGTCAGAAACGCACAAGTAAGAGTCCGAAAAAACGGAGTGCTAGCCGAAGTCCAAGTGGGAGCAGAAGCAGGAGCAAGAGCTTATCCAGGTCTCATTTCTGCGCACAATTGTCTTAGTTGCTTGTAGTTTTTTTTCTTCAATTTATGTAGTTTTTCAATTTGTAGGTAAGATCTTATTGGTTTCTAATTGCTACATGCTGTAATGTATTTCTAGGTCTGACTTCTAATTTGTTTGACAGGTGACGTGATCGTGGCTGATCACTGGAGACCGGAAGCTTAAAATGAGCATGATTTTAAAACATCAAATGACAAATAGTTGAAATTGATGATTGCTTGAGGCAGTCAAGTTCTGGGCAACACTTACTTATTTTCCAAGACTGTTGGGATTCTTGTGGCTTTAATATTTGTAGGCTTGATTTGGTTTGTGTTAAACTCGATAAATTATTATTTTGATGGATATACACTCCATAAAAAGAGGCCGCCGCTTTTGATTCGTGATGCTATTTTTGGCCTAAATTTTGTGAGCTGCGTACATCATTTCGAATGTCATTGTCCAATCTAGGCCTGTTGGGGGTGAGTTTTGTTTTTCCTTTAAATTTTTTGAAGCGGCTTTAAAAATAATAATAATAATAACAATAATAATAGGCAGATATTTTTATTGAGTTAATTTAGAAAAATCAAGGAAAAAATATTATAATTTTTTGTTTTTTTTTCTGTTAGATGATACTTTACTATTTTGAAAACATTTCGATTTTAGGCTTATTTAGTTTTCTACACGAAATCAATTAAATTTTGAACCAAACATTTGGCCGATGAATTGTTGAAAATCTTTATTTATTTATTTTCAAAACTAGGGTTTTGTTTTTGAATTTTCAGGGGTTATCTTTAACATAAGTTGCACTTACCAAATCATCATAATTATTTTTAGCCAACTTCTTTAGATGAAGTTGGTGGGTTATCTTGGTGAAGTGTGAAAGGAAGTTAATCTTTGTGGTTGTGGCCAGGGACGTAATATCTAAATCAGTCGTGCCGGGGGACAAAAGCGATAAGGGCGCATGAAAACCAACCCCATGTGTTGAGTATAAAGCTTAAACTCAGAGGTGTCCTCATGTGGTGATGGTGAGGCCACGGTCCATTCACTAAACAGCCAAAACCTAAAATGTTGCGTGTTTGCGGAAGCGGCCCATTAGCTTCCTTTAACGTTGAGTGGTAGAATTCTTTTCAAAAAAAAAAAAACGTTGAGTGGTAGAATAGTCTATTTTCGGCCTAACTAAATAGTCTGATAGCAAACTTGTGAATTATTAAGCCGAGTTAGGCTTATGCATCATTAAGTGGTAAAATAGTCTCCATTTCCTTTGACAGGGAAAAAAAAAAAAAGGCTTATGCATCAACGCCGACGGTGTGCAGATTCTCACAAATCTCTCTCTTCTCTCAGTGGCTCTCTCTTCTCTCCCCTGATAGCCACTCATCCCAATCTCCGTTGGACCGTCGCTGGCACTTGGTGTGATATCTGATTTTCCAAATTCTAATCCCTCAGCTAACCATTTAGAAAACGATTCATTCTTAAACTTCACTTTCCATAAGTTAAAAGATTTGTATATCCAGAACAAAAATGTCGGATACGAGCTTGTTCTCAAAGCTATCAGACGATATCCTTCTCAGCATCTTCTTCAAGCTCGAAAATGATCCCCGCAACTGGGCTCGTCTCGCTTGTGTCTGTACCAAGTTCTCCGCTATCATACGCAACATTTGCTGGAAGGATAAATGCAACAAAACCATTCCTTCCTTTGTCTCCGATCTCCTCTCCTCTTCTGATCCTTCGATTCCCGGTGGCTGGTCCGCCCTTTTCAAGCTCTCCGTTTGCTGCCCTGGACTTCTCCATGCCGGTGTTCTTCTTGAACACTCTGATTTCGGTCTAGAACGTGAACTCGGCCCCGATGATAATTACCAAAAAATAGAGTCTTTTACCTCCAAAAGGAAACCGCAACCGCAACCGCAACCGCAACCATCCTCTTCTACCGTTTCTAATGGTAATTCAGAAAACTGTGATTGCTCTTGGTCCCTATTCGATGATCTGTATTTCGACACCGTTTATGATGTATCTGAAGCACAAGGTGGGTCCGCCGATGCAGGTGCAGCTGTTAACGACGACAAAACTGTTGGTAAGGCCGATGGAAATTTCTCTATTTGCAAGAGAAGGAAAATCTCTAGATCTTTGAGGTCCCATTTAGCGTCTGGGGTGTGGAATTTGACTCGTGAACAAGGGAATAAGCTATTAGCTAGCCGCTTCCGAGACGATTGCTTGTACATATGTGATTGGCCTGGTTGTGTTCACATCGAAGAGAAACGGAATTACATGCTATTCAGGGGAGTTTTCAAGAATTTTAAGCGGTCAAGGGTCTGGAGGACGGTTAATGATGCAGATAGGAGCAAGATTAATCTCAATTGTGCGTTCTGTGGTTGCAAGGAGACCTGGGATCTGCTCGCTGCCTTTTGTTTAAGGAGGGCTTATGGCTACCATGAGGATGGCGAGCCAGTTGTTCGAGCCTATGTCTGCGAGAATGGGCATGTCTCTGGGGCTTGGACTGATTTGCCGCTGTATACTTGATGATGCCACTTCTTATGGGTATAGAAACAGCTTCACTCCGTTCGTAATTGGTGATTTTATGTTTGGATTGGTAGTGATTTATCATTTATATGTATTGGTAATTGTTTTTGTGTTTCTTCCATTCTTTTCTATGGTATCGTTGTCTCTGTTGCTGTTGCAACTTTAGTCACTAGCCTGTTTGATATCTTTGCAGTTTTAATATAATTGTTATTTGAGTATGGAATGTCCAATTTTACAAGTTCAAAAATGCATGCATTACTGTGCTAGAAGTGGTTGTGACGGAAGTTCCTGAACTGTGGATTGTGAGCTTGTAAAGATAATGACTGATTGAGCTGCAAATGTCAGTGGATATAGATTAAGTACCATTCCACATGCTGATGCCTGCCGTTACAGTTTGAATAGTTAACTTTGGGAACCTAACATCAAAATCAAGGTTTGTGGAACTTCACCGATTGTACAATAACAGTACCAGAGCTTCCTGACTCTTTTAGCTTCTTGTCCATTAGATTAAAACCTTCTGATAAAAGAAAGATTTGATGGATGTCAAACTACATTAGAGTTCTTTGGTCATGTTCTATGTAGACTCTTATGCGTCTCAGTTCATAATTGACACATGCAGTCTTAAAAAAACCTACTACTTCTTACTAGTGCGGATTTAGCTATGATTAGAGTGGAAAAAAAAGGGGCAAAGGATGCATATACCACAACTAATTTTGGGTTAAGGTTTAATAGTGGCTATTGTGCAGTAGTGAATCTTGGAAGTATAAAAAGAATGAGACTAAACCTTGGTGCTAATCTTTCTAGTGTTAATTATTATTGGAGATTGACTTCCTATTTTGGGGACCTTAGAGTAAGAGGAGCTAAGCTCTGATGCTTGGTAAGTGGTAATGGAATTGATCACATTGTATTCTATTACGGATGATTGCATTACATCTCATTACAATTTACCAGACATACTAAGGGTTTTCTCAGGATTATCACATATAAAGTGTTATAACTGCAAGATGAGCTTGCACTGTGCAATTGCATATCATTTTGTAAATGATCAATTCTTCTACTTACTGATGCTGTGATCTATCAGATAATTTGAAAGTCGTTTGTCTTTAGTTTTCGGGCAAATATTTGGAATAATAAGTATGATCTAATCCTTGTATAAAGTCCCTTTTATCTTGCATGATTTTAATGGGATGCTGTGACAAATTATTTGCCACGTGGAGTTGAATTTCTGATTTTCAATACAGGTATTACAGGAGACAAGTAGTGTTTCTTGTGAACAGTATGCTATACTCGTTGACAAGCATATAGTAGTTACAACGTAGCAAGCATTATGCTTATACGACTTTATAGTCATCTCCTGAAATCAAATGAAATCTAGCTGTGTGCTTACTTTGAAGTTGGAAATTAATTATACTCCGACATGTTTCGAGGACATTTTCTTCCATTGCAGATTTTATGTATTGTTAACAGATATGAGAGGAATTCTATTTTTCAGAATTTATGTTGGGAATTCATTGTAAGTTGTAATGCAGTTGCTTTTATGGAATCCTATAAGCTGGTGAGTTGGTTTTGTTGTGGTAGTTTTTTCTGATTATTATGAATGCTTGGTAATAAGTGATTCTCTAAAATGGGAATTTGTCTTCGCAACTGATTCAATTTTCAATATCTGGACTAAGATGTCTCTCTGAGCTATTGAATTGAAAGATTAGCAAAGCATATGCAGACAACAATATGCAGGCCTAGCTCAAAAGCACTAAAACAAAGGGAAAGGAAAAAAAAACTTTTTTCCATGCCTATCGTTTCTTTACGTGCTTCTGCTTAACTTATAGAACGACAAGCCAACATGTCGTCTTAAAAAGCAAAAGCCTACTTTCTCGTGCTTATACAGAGGCCACATCGATCGATGAATTTGAGTTGCCTCCATTTCTTTTCAGTTTCAAGTAGTGCCTAAAACTAACAACGGGTCGTTTTCACCTCATCTAAAAGCCATCGGCGACCGGCCCGGCCGAAATGAATGAGACGATGACTACTTCGATTGAAAGAATCACAAAATTGGAGTATAAAGCAGTCCCCACTTCCTGTGGCCAGTGAACGACAGCCACTCACGAAGACCAGTAAGTTTGTCGTTTTTTAGTTTCATGCGCGTGTTCGTGGGCCTTAGCTTCGACTCTGTCTTCCCATGGTTTGGGCTAGTTCGGAATTGTGTCCATCCACATCAAACGAGCCTTAATTCTCAATTAAAATCACCCAATCGAACAACAGACATGGATCTTCAAAATCAAGCATCCAAAATCAGGTCCAAAACGGACTTCTCTAATTTTCCAGATCAATCCAAACTGTTCTAGACATTACTGGGCTCTTCGTCACTCTCTTCCCTTTGCTTTTTTCGAAGCTTCTCATATTTCACTCTGTTATCCATTATGATCATTTGTCTGAAACCAAAACAATAATTAAGATAAGTAAGCTAAGAGAAGACACGCTTGCTCTTCTTTTCTTCGGGAGGGAAAAGAAACACAGAAGAGAAAAGAAATGTTCGGCGTTGTATTTCCCAACCGGAGCTTCCCGATGGACATCTCGGCATTCTCTCAAATCGACACCTTTCACTGGGTCCTAGATATGAACACTTTTGTAGGTAAACCTTCCTCTATTTGCTTGCATTTGTTATATTCAAAGCTCTATCTTACTATTAGCTGATTGATTCTAACATGCGCAGGTGAGGCGTATGATCAAGTCCGTGAAATGTGCATATTTCTATTAAATAACTTCACTCTCCCACCGGAGAAAGCCCTAGCCGTCTACATTCAGTCCCCTGGTTCACCCTTTCAATTCTGTGGCGCCGTCACTATAGCTCGCCCCTCCGCCGTTCTCTCCCTCAATTGGCCGGACCCTGGCGGCCAATTGCAACTAACAGCAACGGATTCTGCTCCTCTTTCGGCTAAAATAGGGGTTTCGGTCGAGGACTTAGCATCGCTTCCGTCCTTGGATGTGGCTGCGGAGAAAAGGATCGAGCGGCTTGCTATGAAAGTTGGAGAGAATTTGTTTAATTACATGCAGTCTTTTTGTGGAGTTGATGGGAGCAAGTTGATTGTCCCTATGGATATTTTGGACCGCTGGTTTAAGAAGTTTCAAGAGAGGGCTAAGCGTGACCCTGAGTATTTGAAAGGCTTCGATTTGTAATCTTTAAAATTTCAAGGTATTTTTCCCAATTTTCTCTTTTAAATGCCCTTTAAATTAGGGTTTCTTTTAGCCAAGATTGTGCCCTTTTTTTTTTTTTTTTTTTTTTTTTTTTTTTTTGTGGAGTTGATGAAGCAAGTTGATTGTCCCTATGGATATTTTGGACCGCTGGTTTAAGACGTTTCAAGAGAGGGCTAAGCGTGACCCTGAGTATTTGAAAGGCTTCGATTTGTTAATCTTTAAAATTTCAAAGGTTTTTTTCCCAATTTTCTCTTTTAAATGCCCTTTAAAATTAGGGTTTCCTTTTAGCCAAGATTTGTGCCCTTTTTTTTTTTTTTTTTTTTTTTTTTTTTTTCATTTTTTTTTTTTTTTTTTTTTTTTTTTTCAATTTAATGAGTAAGAATTTATAATTTCCATATTTTTCCGTTTTGTTGTTAATGCTCTCTCTTTCCCCCTTATTATTTTTGTTGGGTAATGTTTGGGGAAATGCAGTTACTTTCTGATGTTGTTGTTAGACTTGAGCTGCATCAAAGTACATGTAATTTTCTATTGGAAAATTATTGATACAACGCCCTTTTTTTTTGTATTCAGATGGATGTTTTAAATGCTGAAACCTAACCCTTCTGCAACCTGAAGCCTTTGAACATTTTGTTACGCATTGAACTCATATAAAAGAAAGGGATCATTGCAAGCTCAACTAGTGTGGGCTTCACTTTATATTCTTTCCCATGTAGAGGTGTATCTTGTAGGCTAAGATGAACCTACTGTTAGCTTCTTTGATAATGCATAATGGATGTGGACGGTACTGTTTTATGGCTGTCTGTTTACACAGGCCGCCTTCTCTCTCATAATTTGATATTCTTATCTTAGCTCAAGTATAGAATTGAACTTCATGATCCTACTTTTAGGCATTGAAACTTGATGCAACTAAATCTTAAAACCAAAGTAGTTAGCATCAAAAGATGTTATTTTTCCTTCTCTCCCTTGGTTCAAGGATATATCTCTAAAAAGTTTTAGTGTTACTAAGTTCTTTTTCATCTAAATGTCATTCTCGGCCTGCCCCAGAGCTTCCTCACTCTTACAACTTTGATATAGTTGAGCTTCTATATCAACTATCTATTCATTTGTCAGTCTTTGATGGATGTTTGATCTTTATCAGCTGCTCGTGACTCAAATGGAGTAAAGGAATAACACATGCTCAATGTCAATTGCACTAGCAGATTCAAAGAACATAAAATAATTAAGGTGCTATTCTGATGTTTATTAATAAGCTAATGCTAAGTTTAGGATAAAAACAAAGAAATACCATGTTTTACAGTTTGTGCACCAGATCTAACTTCATTGATTTACTAAGGATGTGTATTTTTTATTGGAAATGTCAAAAGAATGATTATTTTTTTTTAATATATATATGAATTATAATGTTTCTCAAAAGCTAAACCATCTTTTAGAAGATAATTATGTGGTATTCTACATGTTAATATGTCTCTGAATAACTTCAGCGATTAGCTGCTCACTTATTTCCAGAATGTTGACTTTATAACTCAAAAATTAATTGAGCAAGACTGCAATATCGGGTTTTTTTAAACAATGGATTCTTTTCTTCTTTCCTATTAGATCAAAACCTGCTGCTATAAATGTATATCAAGAAGTGAGCTAAGTCTATATTAGGGAGACAATTCTAAAGCAAAGCTGGCTATTGATCTGGCAAAAAAATGGACTGGAACTCGTCTGGCAATCTGGTTTTGAGCTGGACTGTGAACTGAAACCACCAGTTCATTGAACTGGAACATCTGATTCAGTGAATTGGCCGGCTTTATTCTGAAGCTGTCACTTGTAAATTTAACTTATAAAATACTGGAACTCTACAGTTTAGTTGAAGAGAATTGGATTTTGTTTCCATGAAACCAAGGTGGTGAAACATCGAGAGAAGTCTTATGTGAATTTTCCGTGAATGTGATTCTTCACTGCTGAATAAAGAAGGGATCTTGATTAAGCCTTGAACAGGAGTTGAAATGGCATTTGGATGTTTGATTAATAATATTTTGAGTAGGTTATATTTTCTGATTTGTTGGGAACTGGGAAATTCCTTCTACAACATGTCTTGTTCCCTCCTTCGATGTGTTGCCTCTCATTCTGGTAGGGGTAGCATAAGCATGTCTTGTAAGTTACCCCATTTTTCTTCTCTTAGCTCACAATTTTGCTGTTCGAGTAGAAAGTTACAGCGGAGATTTTTTTTTTTTCCAGCTCGGGATGAATTTTATTTCAGAAATTCTTGACTTGATGGAAGGAGTACATGAACGTAACGGAGATTTTATTAAAGGTGGCAAATGTCGGTGGAGGTTTGAACTGTGAACCTGGACGTTGTTTCTTATTTGTTCACAAAACTTTTATTTTATTAATGAGAAAAGACCAATAATTTTCAGGCACTCTTTAAAATCTGATGTGATGCGACCCTCAACTACGGCATACGTCTCAGGTCTCAATCGTTAAAGCTCTGAATAACGATAATGCTCTTTGTTCTACGGAAAACAGATTTGAAATTTCGCAATTTCAATTTTTAATTTTATTTGAAAATTATATGAAAATAAATTTATTTTTTAATCTTTGAATTTCGTAAATTCATAGACGTCACATTCTTAAATCAACTCCGGCATAGAAAAGTAAGGCTTATATGATATTCAGACCTGGACCTGCCTGTACATGTTGGGCTGTACTATGGTTGCTCCAAAAGTTTTCTCAAGTAAGGTTTTCTCCTGTGGAATTTAAATTAATTTGTAAAACCAACAGTATTTGCCTCCCCAAATTTTCTAAAAATAATTATTGTATTTTATAAGTTCTAGATTATAGAAATCTATACACAATAATCACCTCACTATATGCGTACGAACGTAATTTGGGTCGACTAAAAACCATTAAATCTAATTTATAGCACACTGAATTAACAATAGATTCATATTTGAATATCTCAATCTTAAAAAAAAAAAAAAAGCTTTCAAAAAGATAAAATTGCCAAGTGTAATTTTTTTTTAAAAAAAAAACCTCTCATTTTCGTATATATAAGCTCATTTTCCTTTTTTTGTTTGTCTCAAAAATATAGCGTTACTTCTTTATTTAAAAGATTATTTATTATTTGATTTCTTAATATTTTCTTATTTAATGTATATTTACATTTTCAATTGAATATATATCATTTAATATTAGTCTTTGGGTATTTCAAAAAAACTAAACAAAATATACAGTTTAATTATATTAATTAATTTTTTTAATATATGTGAAAAGTTAAATTATGCCAATCGAGACTGGATGGGGAGAGTAATTATAATAATAAAGAATAAAAAAAATTAATATTGGCATGGCAAGTGAAACCATTAGAAGAACCTTCCTGTTAAGTGACATGATAAGAATGACCAAAAAGCACTGGCATTTGTGGCTGAGCCTCGAGCATGAGGCACTGTTCTCTTATGGTTATCAAATAAGAGGGCTCCTCTGTTTCTGCATAAAAAATATAATCGTGACAATACGTGACTCCTTTGAGACTAGGAAATAGAAATGCTGAGGTTTTGTTGCTTGCTATATTTAGCAGTATCAGTGTTTTGCAGCATTGAGAAATATAGCAGAAAGGACTTCCCTCCTGGTTTTATTTTTGGTTCTGGCACTTCTGCTTACCAGGTTTCTTTTTTGTTTTTTATTCACTTGCTGCTTCTGAATATTTAGGATAGTTATTGAACAGGGAAAGACTTATTTATTTCACAACATATATTTGGAACTTTGGAAGGTTGAAGGAGCTGCTAGTGAGGATGGAAGAAGTCCAAGTGTTTGGGATACATTTGCTCATCAGGGTCAGTATATTAACCCTAAATGTTTATATATTAAATTTATTCTTGTTTTCATTTTTTGGGTCCCATTTTTTTCTTTTTTTCTTTTTTTTAAAAATTGAGGTAAGTGCAATTCATATGTGTGATTGCAATTTGGGCTGACTAAAACATTTTTTACTGAAATGTTAGGATTTGCTAATGGTGCCACTGGAGATGTAGCAGCTGATCAGTATCACAAATACAAGGTGAATGATAAAACTGCTGTTAAATGGATAATCGCTACTTCTAACCAGAAGTATAAGAAGCCTTATTTTGTTGAAATATGGGCCAATTTGTGATTAGTTTCATGTGTAATCTCAATCTTTTGCAGGAAGATGTTAAACTGATGGTCAAAACTGGGTTAGATGCATACAGATTTTCTATCTCATGGTCAAGACTCATCCCAAGTATGATTTTTATATATATAGTGCAATTTTTGAATTGTAATTTATTGATCATTTTAATATATGGACTATATTTGGGTCACAATTGAATCTTTATATGTTGTTCCCTGTCAGATGGAAGAGGATCTATCAATCCAAAGGGCTTGCAGTATTACAACAATCTCATAAATGAGCTTATTAGCCATGGTTACTGTCAAAACTCAAAACTTTCCAAATAAACTAAGTTTTCATGGTTTTCCTATTTTGATAGATGGATTTTTGTTTTCCTGGTTGAATTATATAAAACAGGCATCCAGCCACATGTCACACTGTACCATTATGATCATCCACAAGTACTTGAAGATGAGTATGGTGGATGGGTTAGTCGAAAGATAGTGTAGGTGCTCAACTAGTGATGGTATTATTTTTCTTCTATTTATTGATTGAGTTGCATAATTGGGTTACCTATCTTTTTGATTAATTTCAGTCACGGCGAGATTTAAATCTTGGATATTTCAGCTCTTTACTACAATTAATTTGCTTCTTTATGCTTTTGGGGTTGGGATAAATTGCCTGTCCTTTTAGCAAAGAGGATGATCTAACACAGTATGTAACACTATCAAATCGGTATGTGGATGCAGGGAAGATTTCACATATTATGCAGATGTGTGTTTTAGAGAATTTGGTGATAGAGTTGCATACTGGACCACTTTGAATGAGCCTAATGTCCTTTTAATAGCTGGTTATGACACAGGCAGTCTGCCACCCAAGCATTGCTCTCCCCAGTTTGGATTCAACTGCACCAAAGGCAACTCCTCAACAGAGCCATACTTGGTTGCTCATCATTCATTGTTGGCCCATGCATCAGCTTTTAGATTGTATTGGGAGAAGTATCCAATTATGCACTAATACATAAAAATATATAGCCAAAAAAAAAAAAATGAATCTTCATGCTAGTGCCTAGTGCATTCATATTTTAAGTTAAATTTTTTTAAGTACCATCTTAATTGCTAATTTGTTATTGTGAAACAATAATGACCACAGTATGGAAAACCCTGAATCTTAAGAAAGAACAAACTATGTAAGTAAAGAAATGCCCATGATTTGTTTGGGATAACACATGATGGTGCAGGACAAGCAACATGGATTTATTGGGATCAATGTTTTTATATATTGGCTTATTCCTCTAACAAACTCAACGAAGGATGTGATTGCTACTCAAAGAGCTCAAGATTTTATGCTTGGCTTGTAAGTTGATACTCTCCACTAAATGCTTCTCTAGGTTTTCTTTGTTCGTTGGCTGGAGTAGCTTTAATACTTTATTTAACCTATTTAAATCTGTGTTTCCATTGTGTGGTTGTAGCAGAATAGTTAATCCTCTGGTGTTTGGAGACTATCCTGATATAGCAAAGAAAAATGTAGGACTAAGACTACCAACCTTCACAGGATATGAATCCAAACAGGTTAAGGGTTCATTTGACTTCCTTGGACTGAATCACTATGCCTCAGTTTATGTCAAAGACAACTCCAACTCTTTGAAATTGGAAAATAGAGATTATTGGGCGGATATGGCAGTGGAACTTATCTGTAAGCTCATCAGTTATCATCCAATTATCTTTAATTAGGATTAAAACACTTTTATGTGCAGTTACTTATGACATTGCTCAGCATATGGTTTATAATTGTTTAGCTTCCTATATATTTATACTTATGGAATACCTTATTGACATCATTCTCAAATTAACTAAGAAAGAATTGGAATAGCTGATTGAGTGGCCTTTTATTTTCTACTTTTTCGTTTTGTTTCATGGCAGATGATCAGGTGATAAATTCATTGGCTCACATAAGGTAAGCAAGCCATGTAACTATGTAAGGTTTTCATTTCTGACTAACTATGCTGTGTTTTGTTCCAGCCATTCATGAAGCCTTGGGGTCTGCAAGCAGCATTGGAGTACGTAAAGCAAGTTTATGGCAATCCTCCTATCTACATTCATGAAAATGGTCTCTCTCACTCTCTCCACCTCTCCTATCAGCTGATACTGTAGAAGCAAGATAGAATTTTGTACAACATATAAATTCTTTGTTGGTAATTATGCAGTTGTGCCTTTTGTGAGTATTAGTATTGCCTTTATTGACAGGTCTGAAGACAGTGCGAAATTCATCACTGGAAGACATTTCAAGGGTGAAATATTTGCATTCATACATTGGGAGTCTGCTTGATGCTGTCAGGTATAATATGCCTTCCCTCTTTCTCAAATTCTGGGCAGCAATTTTGACATTTTGTGCAGTTGAGCCTAATTTCATCCATTATTCCTCGACTTATAAATAGTGCACATTAACATGTCTAGTTTTTAATATTAATTTTTACAATAACAAAAACACTAGTATCAAATTTTGCAAATTTTTATTGGTGAAAGATTATGAAGGTGACACATGAGATTAAAATTTTCTTTCCTCTCTCAATATTCCCTAACTGGAAAGATATATATTTGATTAAAGAGAAAATGACTAAAGAAAAAGAGAGAAAAATTAGGCGAGAGAGTTAATACCGATAGGAGAGCCGCTACATGACTTCTTAAAAAAAAAAAAAAAAATAATCAATATTCCCTAACTGGAAAGATATATATTTGATTTAAAGAGAAAATGATAAAGAAAAAAGAAGGAGAAAAATTTAGGCGAGAGAGTAATACCGATGGGAGCCGCTACATGATTCTTTAAAAAAAAAAATATATATATATATATATATATATTATATATATTAAAATCTCATTACGTCCTCCGTTTCATCTTTCCGTCATTTAAATCTGTAAAATCTTGGAATTAGGGTTTTTTACTGTTATGTTTACAAATTTGGAAATTCTAGGAACATGTTAATGTGTATTATTATATATTAAAATCTCATACGTCCTCCGTTTCATCTTTCCGTCATTGAAATCTGTAAAATCTGGAATTAGGGTTTTTACTGTTATGTTACAAATTGAAATCTAGACATGTTAATGTGTATATTAGCAACAAATTACAATCGTTCTAATTTCATTCTGTGTCTCCAAATCTGAAAGGAATGGATCAAATGCAAGAGGGTATTTTACATGGTCCTTTTTGGATTTATTTGAGCTATTGGATGGCTACGATTCAAGCTACGGCTTATATTATGTTGATCTGGATGACCCAGAATTGAAAAGATACCCAAAGCTATCAGCATATTGGTATTCTCATTTTCTGAAGGGAGGAAGTGCAACTTCACCAGATAAAACTATTCAACTTGGCAAAAAGTTTTCATTTTTGTCACAGAATCTCTTATTTCAATAGATCAAATAATGCAGAACATGTAGTCGTTCTGAAAGTCTCTTTAGCCCTTCTGTTATTATGGGTTTCTTGTAAAGCTTACAGCCTTCGACTCGCTTGTTCTTGTAATTTTGGACTTTGAAATTTATTGTAATCTGATAAACTCCCATTTCTTAAAACAAAGAATGGAAAATTTTCACTTGTATGATTGTCGTTAATGATAATTAAAAGCAGAACATCATTTGCACCGCAAGTTTAGTGTTCTTTAATTCTGTCGAATGCCTATGGACTATGCATCAGAACAAGAGAGAATGTCCAAATTGTGCTTTTAACTGTATGGACGGAATAAATTTTGGGAATGATTTACTTCGATTAAACTAATCAACTACCTAACAATTATTAAAATTTTTTTCCGTGATTTTCTTCTATAAAAATAGGCTTATTTCATACAAATTAAAAGAATTAAAGTATTACGAAAATCAGAAGTCATGGATCTCATGGTTTGTATAATTTTGGAACTAATTTCTCGGTCATCTGATAATTAAGAGACTATTTTAGTTAAAATGTTTAAAATGTTAACAGAATCATAGTTAGGGGTCTTATAATTAATTTCTGAAAATACAGATCCTCATGTATTAATTGACAAAAATTTAGGGACTTCGTTTAACTTTTTCGTATAAAAATCTAAAAAAGCTGTTGTTATCTTCCTTGTCTTGGCCTTGACCTCACATCACCATAATCGAAAATCTTTTTTAAACAGTTTATTCACAATCGTAAGAAATAAAAAAAGTAATTACAAGTTTTCTTCTTTAAGACCAAAAGAACCTGATTTGAAAACATAGAACAGCTGTTGGTTTTCGCTTTCGCGGTTTAAAAATATTACGTTAAGACGCTAAACTGGTTAACTCAACCAAAAAGGAAGCAGCAAAGGGTTGCCTCCTCTCTCTCCTACTGCTCTATTTTCTATCAGATTAAAGAATTGCGGCCAGGATTTTACAAGTGATAATGCTGTTGAGGGTATTTTATCTGCTACTTGTTCTGCTAAATTTAGCGGCAGCAATATTTTCTGCTGATAGATATAGCAGAAAGGACTTTCCTTCTGACTTTATTTTTGGTTCTGGTACCTCTGCTTATCAGGTTTGTTTCTTTCTGAATTTTTCGCTTGCATTATCTACTTGAAATTCGAAAGAGAAAATAAATTATTTTAACAATTGAAATATTTGAAAGGTGGAAGGAGCAGCAGATGAGGATGGGAGGACTCCAAGCATTTGGGACACATATGCCCATGCGGGTCAGATTCTTGTTCATTTTCTTCTTGTTCTTGAATTAATTAGTATCACTGGTTAGTTTTTTATTCTGAATTTTGTATCTGAAATTCCAGGAAATATGGGTGGAGCAACTGGAGATGTGTCAGTTGACCAGTATCACAAATACAAGGTGAATAAAATAAATAAATTATCAATCACAGGAAGTGAAATTTGTGTTCTTATAAACATTTTTCCTTTTATTGCAGGAAGATGTAAAACTAATGGCTGAAACTGGGTTAGATGCCTATAGATTTTCCATTTCATGGTCAAGACTTATTCCAAGTATGGTATTTCTTAAATAAAATTATTTCTGGTCTTGAATATGTAAAGTATATATTTATATATATATACATACAAAAGACACATCTTGATTTCTTTCAGATGGAAGAGGACCTGTTAATCCAAAAGGTTTACTGTATTACAATAACCTCATCGATGAACTTGTTAGCCATGGTAACTGCTAAACCCTTTCAAAATGCACAAATTTGTTCATATATTGTTTTGCAATTTGATTGATACATTAATTCTTTTATTAATTTTCCTCTCTCACAGGAATCCAGCCACACGTTACATTGTACCATTATGATCATCCGCAGGCGCTTGAAGATGAATATGGGGGATGGATTAGCCGAAAGATTGTGTACAAAATTTATCTGCATCAAGATTGAAACTGCTTTTTTGAAAAAATATATTTGTCTTAATAACTAATCATATTTGTGGATGTAGGAAGGACTTCACAGCTTATGCAGAAGTGTGTTTTAGAGAGTTTGGTGATAGAGTCAAGCATTGGACTACATTGAATGAGCCTAATATTTTTCTAATTTTTAGTTACGATCTTGGAATGTTGCCGCCTAATAGATGCTCTCCTCCATTTGGATTCAATTGCTCTCAAGGCAATTCTACATCTGAGCCGTACTTAGTTGCTCATCATCTCCTTTTGTCACATGCTTCCGCTGCCAGATTGTACAAGGAAAAATATCAGGTCTTACCCTTTCCTTTCCTTCTTTGTTTTTTTTTTTTAAAATCAATTTATGTTTCTTATTTCTAATTGTTAGTAAAAGTAATTAATCCTTTTGTTTCTAATTAATCATGGTCATAGTGGTGCAGAGCAAGCAACTTGGATTAATTGGGATTAACGTTTATGGGTTTGGGATTGTTCCTCTAACAAACTCAACTGAGGATCTTCTTGCGACTCAGAGAGCAAATGATTTTTATCTTGGCTTGTAAGTTTGAAGCTAAAAAGTTCTATACTTTTGTTTTTTTGTCCAGCATGTTTGGTTTGTCATGGAAATGAAATGAATATAGAATTCAATGGTTTTTTTTTTTTTTTTTTAAATTATCTTGCCAAATATCATTTTATTACAAATTCATGTTGTTTAAATATGAATATCCAAGCAAGGAATTTAGATTATATTCCAAATATTTCATTTCATTTCCATTTAGATTCAGACCAGACCAAACATGTCCTTACTTAAGTATCTTGGATCAGCTTTGACATTCTATTAATGCTTTTGGCTAAATCTTTGCTTGTTCCAGGATAGCGGATCCTGTGGTGTTTGGAGACTATCCTGAATCAGTAAAGAGAAATGCAGGATCAAGATTACCAGTCTTCACTGAACACGAATCCAATCAGGTTAAGGGTTCATTTGATTTCCTTGGGCTGAATTACTATGTCGAAGTACAGGTCAAAGATAACTCCGCCAGCCTCAAGTCAGAGCATAGAGATTTAATGGCAGACACGGCAATAGAAATGATATGTAAGATCTAATCATCATTGTGCATTGTTCTGGTTTAATTGAAAGTTTCAATTAACCAATTAAATTTGGTTCTCAATTCCGTTGGCTAAATTATGAAATTAGCTACTTGTAGAATTTAATGTTTATTACTAAAAAAATTATACATAGTATATATATATATATATTTTATTAATAGTCAAAATAACTGAACTAAAATATTTAAATTCAATAATGGTTAGGTTTTTCTAGAGGTTTTTGTTTCAATTAATGCTCGCTTTTATCAGAAGCTGTAGTTGAACTGTTTATGCATTAAGTTAACCGCATGTTTATATATATTCTATAGCTTATTGATTTATTTGAAATTTATTTATTGCTGCAGTTAATGGTGATTTTCAAAAGGATGAGGTAAGAAAAGTTGAAACATATATATATTAATCACTGAATTAAATTATAAGCAGTCAATTAAGAATAAGTTTATATATTCCCTAACCATGCTTTTTTTTTTTTTTTTTTTTTTTTTTTAAGTTTTATATCATTACCCTAACCATGCTTTTTTTTTTTTTTTTTTTTTTTTTTTTTTCCTCTGTAAATTATCAAACTCATCAGTATCCTATAGATCCAAGGGGTCTGCAAGCAGTGCTGGAGTACTTCAAGCAATTTTATGGCAACCCTCCTGTTTACATTCATGAAAATGGTCTCTCTCTCCCTCTCTCTTATAAAAACCATTCATGAAAAATATATATACATTTTTTTTTTTCCGTTTTTGCATTGCAGGGCAGAGGAATCAGCGCACTTCATCCTTGGAAGACACTTCGAGGGTGAAATATATGCAAGCAAATATTGGAAGTGTGCTTGATTGTATCAGGTATATGTATATGGATATTGTGAAAATGATATTAGCAGTTACTATCTATGTTTGCTTAATTTAATATTGTGCATGCAACCTCAAACATATGGAAGGAATGGATCGAACACGAGAGGGTATTTCACATGGTCGTTCTTAGATGTTTTTGAGTTGCTTGGTGGCTATGAAGTATGCTTTGGCCTTTATTATGTTGACATAGATGATCCTCTTTTGGAAAGACATCCTAAGCTCTCTGCACATTGGTTCTCTCAATTTTTGAAGGGATCAACCGTTGTTGAAGATGGAATTATTCAGCTCCCCACAACACAAAATTTCTCGCCACTTGATCCTCTAAATACTCCTTAAAGAACATAATTAATGTATTTTAAATGGCTACTTATGTATGTGTTAATTTTAATTTGATGTTAGTACTATAATTTAAGGATTGAGATTATAAATTTTCGTTTTATAACTGTCAAAGTGACAATTTTGTCTTACATGGTCAAAAAAGAAAAATGAAATTCAATGGTATGTTGATTCTGAAATTGAGTTATATTAGTTGATAGTTTTTGTTTTCGATGGCTCCTTTCTTCAAGATTCTTTAACTTGTGTTTGTAATTGTAATTCATGCCCCTATGGGTTGGGTTGTCTCTTTATGTAATTTTCTTTTTTGAAATTTATTATAATTGTGTAAATTTACTTTAATTGCGGAGGGTTGTTGTTTTGTCTTTAAGTATAAATCTTGATGAAAATATTAATATGTACAGCTTCTGTTTTATAATATAATAAATTATTGAATAAATAAATTATATTATATAAACCATTCAATTAAATTAATAATTATTATTCATATATAAAAGGTAAATATGGAAAAATGAATTTATTATTTTTTGAAACTACAAATGTGACAAGTATTTTGGAACAATCTATTTTCTCAAATGTAATAAGTATTATGGAACAAAAGTAGTAATTAATAATATTTTTTAACTTTATCCTTGTTTGTGTTGCCTCAAATTTGTAAACATTTGTCATGTTTGAGAAATTATTATGTTTTAAATATTTATTACATTTGTGGTTTCAAAAAGTAATAATTTTACTCTTTGTATATGACTAACAATCCTAAAGAATTTGGCGTTTGAATTTATTAAATTAAGGGTAATTCAATTGATTTATTTAATAATTTATTATATCTTAAATACATTTAATAGTCTTTTAAATAAGAAGAATTTCAAATGTGACAAGTATTTAAGAGAGAATGATCTCTATAATTTTTTAAAGAGTAATTTATTTAAATTAATAAACCTTTATTATAACTTATGATAATTAATTACTTTTTATTCTCTTTAACACGAGTTATATTTGTGGATTGAAGTAGTATTTAACGAAAAAAGAAAAAGAAAAAAACGAAAAAGCCTGAAAAAGCAGAGACAAAAACCAAAGGAAAACAAAATCATACTGTCAGAGTTTACGTATACGTTGTTTAATATTCTGAAATATAGGAAAGCAGCAAAACCACAAACTGGCAAATGGTTTGACCAAATAGGGGCCAAGTTTGTCCAGAAGCCACATGTCCTTCCAGCAATTTATCAAAGTGAAAGCAACTCTTTGTCTCTTCGTGAGCGTCTTCTCTCTCTCGATCTGCTAAGAATCTTGAAAATATTCCATTGTGTTTTGTCTTCTTAGGATTTTTTTGCATTAAATTAGTTTCGTCTGCTGTGTGAAACCGCCAACTAATTAAATTATTTTTCTTTTAGTCCTTCAGATTTAAATATAATTACAATTTCAACCTCTTTTTGATATTTAATTTCGTAGAACTATTCAATACTTTTATTCAAAAAACATTACTTTAGAAATTAAATATTTCATAGTATTTGATTTTTGAATCATTCAAATCTCATATTTATTAGTATTAATATTATTTTTTAGTCTCTCGCTTAGTTATAAAATTAATACTTTTTGAATGAAGACTTAAATAATTTAACGTAATTAAATTTTAAAAATTAATTAATATATTTACCAAATAACAGTGATGCACCTATAGTTATAGCCCAAATAGAGGATTAAATATTTAGTTACACCATCATTTATTATGAGAGGGAGTAATGTCAAAATGAAAATTTTCATCACTTTTGTTATGAATTGAAGATTTAACTTATTTAGACAGGTCATGGCATGAATGAAATCAATAAAAATAATTTGGTATTTTTGATTATATACTAAAAAAATAAAATTATAATTTAAAAAAAATGTAATTTTTATTGATTTGGTCGCTTTTAGACAAGATTACATGGTTAAACTATGGATAAGGTGCATAAATTCGGTATAAATATCCTAAATATACGATTAAAAATGGAAGGTTTGCCATCATTCGTGACAAGAGTGTGATTTGACGATGATAAAGCTTTATTATTGGCTAATTATTGTGCTGAATTTAGCAGCAGCTCTCTGTTCTGCTGGTAAATATAGCAGGGAGGACTTCCCTCCTGGCTTCGTTTTTGGTGCTGCTACCTCTGCGTATCAGGTTTGAACGTCAAATCTTTTTCACTTTTTGATGTTTCACTTAAAGTGAGAGATAAGAGTTTCATGGGTGTTTGTATACTTTCTATACTTCAAAAGGTTGAAGGAGCAGCAAAAGAGGATGGGAGAACTCCTAGCGTTTGGGATACCTTTTCTAATGGAGGTTAACGTCTTCTGTATAACTTATTTAACTTCTTTTCTTTATTAATTTGTGCTGTTTTTGTTATCATCAATTAAGCGATTAATGTAATTAATATTCCAGGTGGAGATGTGGCAGTTGATCAGTACCACAAATACAAGGTTAAGTTTGATATGAATTGTTTTGATTAACACTAATTATCTCTAATTTGAATCACCAGGTAGCCAATTTTGTTGTACTAGGGACTATTTTATTATTGGGTTTCATTGAAATCTTGCAGGAAGATGTCAAACTTATGGCAGAAACTGGATTAGAGGGTTATAGATTTTCCATCTCATGGTCAAGACTCATTCCAAGTATGAATCCTTCATAAATAATTAAATAAAGCAATTTCTAGTTTATTTGATATTACACCTTTATGTGTTATCTTGTCAGATGGAAGAGGACCTGTCAATCCAAAGGGCTTACAGTATTACAACAATCTCATCAATGAACTTATTAGCCATGGTTAGATCCAAATGATTAAACAAGTTTTTTTCTGTGTTCTTTTATTTTATATTTTTTCAACTTTTAGATAGTAATAAAAGGGTGTTTCCTGTGTATTCTCATATGAAGTTTATCTTTTCATTTTGTTACATCTTTTTATGATGAATCAGGCATCCAAGCGCATGTTACTTTGTTAAATTATGATCATCCACAGGCACTTGAAGATGAATACGGAGGATGGATTAGCAGAAAAATGGTGTATGATTCTTTTCTGAGTCCTGCTCTTAGTTTGTATTTTTGTGCTGTGGTCAGTTACAGAAAGTGATAAAAAAAGGACCAAATTTCTGTATGTGGATGCAGGAAAGACTTCACAAATTATGCAGATGTGTGCTTCAGAGAATTTGGAGACAGGGTTTCAACTTGGACTACCATAAATGAGCCAAATATCTTTGCAGTTGGAGGCTATGACCAAGGAATAACAGCACCCGGACGATGTTCTTTTCCATTTGGATTCAACTGCTCAAAAGGCAACTCCTCCTATGAGCCATATTTAGCAGGTCATCATATGCTGTTGGCTCATGCATCAACTGTAAGATTGTACCGGAAAAAATATCAGGTACCCATCTCATTAGTCTTTTCCATTTATCTTTCTGAATAAATATTTTGTATTTTTCAAAAAACAAATCCATATGCAGAGAAAGCAAGATGGAACTATAGGAGTGAACCTCTATGCCTTTTGGCTTCTCCCTCTAACTAATTCAACAGAGGATGTTACTGCTACACAAAGAGCCATAGACTTCTACTTTGGTTGGTAAGTCAATTAGGAACAGTAGCTAGCTAGTTCTTTTTGAACTGGGTTTTTGAAGCCATTGACTATGTTTTTGCAGGTTTCTAGATCCATTAGTGTTTGGAGACTATCCGGAAATAATGAAGAAAAATGTAGACTCAAGACTTCCAGTTTTGACCAAGCAAGAATCCAAATTGGTTAAGGGAGCATTTGATTTTGTAGGCCTTATACATTACACTACAGTTTATGCCAAGGATAATCCCGATAGTCTGAAATTCGAATACAGAGATTTCGGTACAGATATGGCAGTAACTCAGCTTTGTATGCTCTTGACTATCCATTACCTGTAGTAACTTTTTATGCATGCATATGGAACTGAAATTAACTGATTGATGTTACGGTTGTGGCAGTGGATGCGGATAATCCATATTCAATATTTCCAGAGAAAGTAAGCTGATAGTCATGTAAGTGCTACTAGCTATTTCATTCCATTACTAACCACATCTGTTTTTTTTTTTTTTTTTTTTTTTTTTTTACATCGTGTTTTTTTTTTTTTTTTTTTTTTTTTTTTTGACTTTAGCTTTTTTTTTTTTTTTTTTTTTTTTTTTTTGACTTAGCTTCCAATAAGGCCTTGGGGTCTGCAAGGAGTTTTGGAGTACATTAAACAAACTTATGGCAATCCTGCTGTTTACATTCATGAAAATGGTCTTACTCTCCTCCTCTCTCTTTACAAAAAAGTTCTCTACTTCAAAGGAAAATTGATGTTGATTGATTTGCAGGTCAAGTGACTCCACATAATTTTTCATTGGAAGACACACCAAGGGTGGAATATTTACAAGCATACATTGGAGGTGTACTGGATGCAATCAGGTTTCTTTTCTCTATTTTTTGTTTTTATTTTGCCTGTTTGAGTATGTGACCAGTAAAATGAGTTTTTTATTTAATAAAAGATTGATTTGGCCTTTTTCTTTTTCGGTTCACATTCGAAATTGTGAAGGAATGGATCGGACACAAGGGGATATTTTGTATGGTCATTCTTAGATGTATTTGAGTTGTTAGGGAATGGCTTCGGATCAAGCTATGGCCTGTATTTTGTAGATGTGGAGGATCCGGATTTGAGAAGAGAAGCCAAGCAATCTGCACATTGGTATTCCAACTTTTTGAAAGGAAATGTTCAAGTTGATAGAGAAAATATTTCCAGTATAGCACAAGGACACTCCTTCGTAGGTTAATGTTGCTGTTACGGTTACTGTTAGTACATTGCTCGAAAGCTCAAAGAATATACAGGCTAATAAAATTTGAGGTTAAAATTCTCTCTACTTGTGAATTTGTCAAAAGGAAAATGTAGCATTACATTAGCGTTTTTGTAAAAATCTCTGTTATGTTTGAAAGTTCTAATAAATATATTACAAATTAATTTATTTTCATATTTGTATGAGCTTTGGTGTTTCCTTTATGAACGTCTTTTTCGTTTGTCGTGCCTTGCTTCGGTTAGCTACTGGGACACTTTTGTCTTTTCACAAATTATTCTCATTAATTAATGCGTGAAAGCGCCCAGAATCAGCCAAAATTATTAAGCCAATTATTACAAAATAAATGTGGATAAATAAGCGCGCGCTCATGTAATGTGATTAGCTAAACGGCATGCGTTTTAGTTATCAACCACAGACACCGACACGTGGCGATTGTCTACTTGTCCTCGGTCATCCTTCATTCATTATCTCTTTTCCTGATCCCTCTCTTCGTCTCAGCAAAACAACGTCGTCGTCCTGTGAATAACAATTCCACGTGGAACTCTCTCCAGGACAAACAAATATCTTCATTGAGCGACGTTTCCTTTCGACAGAGCTTACTAAAGTTTAACAATTGAGAGTGAATGAGTGGTAAGGCACCGCCGAAGACGTGAAATTAACCCTAACCTGTAACGAGATTAGATTACAGGATTGATCTTGTAAGCAAAGCGAGTATGAATATTCCTGGGAGAAAAACAAAGCGTACTGAAGTTTAAATTAGGTTATTGTCTTGTGTTTATGATTTTCAAGGTTAATTTTTGCTGATTAGAGCAAACCTAGATTAGCGGATGGTTCTTCATATTAGAATGTAAAATGTTTTCTTTTATTATGGCTATGAGAAATATGATTTTTGAAAATGATGAGATTAAGCAGCGGAAATGCTGGAGGAGGTGGGTTGGGTTTGTTTTCCATAATTGATGTCTCTGCATTTAAGCTTCTGGATCTTCTTAGTTCACACAACAGAGTCATGCAAAGACATGCGCTTTTTTGTTATGGGGGTAAAGAAATTTCAACCTTTAATTTGACCGAAGAGACCAAAAAAAAAAAAAAAAAACCAAAAAAAAAAAAAAAAAAGAAGAAGGAAGAGAGAAAACATGAAAAAAAAAAAAAAAAAAGAAGAAGAAGAAGAAGACAAACATGTATTAGGGACCATTTAATTACTTTATGGAGCTTGCCCTGTATTTAGCCAAAGCTCTTCTAGTTTCTGTAAATAAGCTACGTCACTCGTTTCTGGCAAGAAATAGAGATGCATGATTTAAAGGGAAAAGAATTGTAAATCATAATCAACTACTCCCTTTCTTTTTGAACTATAGGCTTGTGGCCGAGGATGATGAGGCTTTATTACTTGCTAATTCTTTTCCTACATTTAGCAGTAACAGGCTTTTGTGCTGATAAATATAGCAGAAAGGACTTTCCTCCTGGATTTGTTTTTGGTGCTGCTTCCTTTGCTTATCAGGTCAGTGCATCAAACCTTTCTTTCCTGCTTTTTACTTCTAAATGGTTCACTTAAGTGGAGGATAGAAAACGAAAGGTTTTTCTTTATGAGAACGAGAAAGAAAATGGTTTCATGCGTATGTCATTCCTGAAAGGTGGAAGGAGCAGCTCATGTGGATGGGAGAACTCCTAGCGTTTCCTAGCGTTTGGGACACCTTTTCTAATGGAGGACAGTGTCTTTTTCTACATTTAATTGAATTTGCTCTTAATATGATTTATAGTAGCGTGTATGAGTTATTTTTGGCTTAGTCACCAATCAAGAGTAGTTAGTCTTCAGGGTGTTAGAATGATGAAATTGTGATTATAAGCAATTAATTTCTACTTAATATTCCAGGTGGAGATGTTGCAGTTGATCAGTCTCACAGGTACGAGGTAAAGTACGCTATAAATTGTCTGTTAGCATTAAGTACATGTGATTACTTTGAAATGCAAAAGGCCATATTTTCTTGGAGTACCGAAGATTTGATGTTCATATATATATATATATATATATATATATATCTGTCACAGAAAGATGTCAAGCTTATGACTGAAACTAGTTTAGAGGCCTATAAATTTTCCATCTCATGGTCAAGACTTATCCCAAGTATGCTTTCTTTAATGCAATACAACTCATATGAAGCAATAAACAGAAAGCAAGTTCCAGTTTATTTGATCTTAAACTTTTTCTGTTAGACGGAAGGGGACCTGTAAATCCAAAGGGATTAGAGTATTACAACAACCTTATCAATAAGCTTATTAGCCATGGTGAGAAACAAAAGTTAAATAAGTTCTATGGTTCTTTTGTGAGTGCTTTTATCACTTTTTTCCAGTAAAAATTGCAAACTTTTTTTAGTATTCCTTAGTGTATAAAGTTCCTTTCCTTTTGCTCTAATGGATCCTTTTTTGAAAGCGCAGGCATCGAAGCACACGTTTCTTTGTTCAATTATGATCATCCGCAATCACTTGAAGATGAATATGGAGGATGGGTTAGCAGAAAGATTGTGTATGATACTCTCAATTTGCTTTCTTGTGGTACTTTCCCCTGCATCAGAGACAAATAGGAGGTGCTCAAAGCACCAAATTTTTGCATGTGTATGCAGGAGAGATTTCACAGCTTATGCAGATGTTTGCTTCTGAGAATTTGGTGATAGGGTTTCATCTTGGAGTACTATAAATGAGCCGAACGTCTTTTCTGTGGGAGTCATTGCCATAAAGGCAACTCCTCCTCTGGGCCATATTTAGCAGCTTATCACATGTTGTTGGCTCATGCCTCAACTGTAAGGCTGTACAAGAACAAGTATTAGGTACTGATCTTGTTATTTTCTATTTTATCTTCCCCAGGAAATATTTCTTATCTTTGATTTCAAATAACAGGACAAGCAACATGGAGTTATAGGGGTCACCTTCTTTGCCGCTTGGTTGATTCCCCTAACTAATTCCACAGATGATGTAGCAGCCACGGAAAGAGCTAAAGACTTCTTTGGTTGGTAAGTGATCAAGGGATTACTGGGTTTGGAAACGTTTTTTGAAAAACCAAATTTTATGATTTATATCAAATAATCTAATTTATATTAAATAATATTTTCTTATTGCTAAAGTCTTCAGGTGGAAAATTAATCGACCAGAGATTTTGTGCATCTTTTCCCAGTTAGTCATCAACTGTATTTGTCTTAAATTTCATGCAGGTTTTTAAATCCCTGGTGTTCGGAGATTATCCGGAAATGATGAAGAAAATTGTAGGCTCAAGACTTCCACCCTTGACCAAACAAGAATCGAAATTGGTTAAGGGAGCATTTGACTTCATAGGACTTATACATTACACTACAGTTTATATCCAGGATAACTCCAGAAGTCTTGAATTAGAAACCAGAGATTTCACTGCAGATGTAGCGGTAAATCTGTTATGTAAGTTCTTGACTAGACGTGTTCATATGCTGGTACCCTTTTTGAAACCGAAACCAACTCATTGATTTTATGGTTCTTGCAGCGGACAAAGATAATCCATATGCAGTATTCCCAGAAGAGGTAAGCCCAGAGTCGAGTAAAACATCTAAACTAAACAAAGTAGTGTTGTTATTGGTTCTACTAACCAGTTGATTCAGTTTCTATTAAGGCCTTGGGGTCTGCAAGGCCTATTGGAGTATCTTAAGCAAACTTATGGCAATCCTCCTGTTTATATCCACGAAAATGGTCTGCCTTTCTCTCTGTTTATTACGTCCAGTTACACACTGATCCATCATATTTGCTCCCTTTTTTAGAAAGTTATTGTTGTAAATCCTGTTTTACATTCTGAAAATTACTTAAATTTCAAGAGAAAAATTGGTTTTTATTCATTTGGCAGGTCAAGTCACTCCACATAATTCATCCTTGGAGGACACATCGAGGGTTGAATATCTGAATGCATACATTGGGAGCTTGCTAGATGCAATCAGTTTCTTGATTTTGCTTCATTCTTTATTTTATAATAAGTAAAATGAGCCCTTGCTAAAATATTGAAGATTGATTTGGGTTTCTTGAAGAATATTGTTTTTTGATTTATGAATTTGACTATTTACGTCTAATCTCATTTTTCTTTTCATCCATAAATTTGTGATAGGAATGGATCAGATACGAGAGGATATTTTGTGTGGTCCTTTTTAGATTCATTTGAGTTACTGGGTTATGGATTCCAAACAAGCTATGGCTTGTATTTTGTAGATGTGGAGGATCCAGGCTTGAAAAGAAAACCGAAGCAATCTGCACATTGGTACTCCAGCTTTTTGAAAGGAAACATTCAACTTGAGAGAGAAAATATGTCCAGTCCTGCTGAGAAACACTTGTTTCAATAGGTTAATGATGTGTGTTCTTCAGTTGGATGGATTATCAACACATTGCTTGTAAGCAAATCAATATGTAACGGTGCACTGACGATAATTAGTACCAACACAATTTATCTTGTTAATATATTGTAGAGAGAGTAATGAATTGTTTATCCAACAATCTCTCTCTTTTGGAAGTTCAACAATATCCAGATTGTAAAACAGAGGAAATGAAATTTTCCAAAATAATGAATTGATTGAGAAAGTTACTTCACAGTCCAGAAAGCCATATGATGGTGTAAATTACAAGAATGGACTGGATTTTCAATGTATTTCATGCTGGTAAATTGTCGGAGACTGGGCTCATATGAGTGGCTAGAGACAGTCTTTCTGTTCGTTTATAGTGAATCTAACAGAACAATCTCACTCTCCTATGGTCGTTGAAAGTTCAACTAAAAGTGCAACTTAATGCATTTATTACGTCTTTGTATTATGCATGTCTTTTTCTTTTGCTATACGGTTAGAACCACGCATTTTGCTTCTCTTGTGCAAAACTACAGCTGTTGATATATTTGTCTTTTAATAAATTATTCTCATTTATTAAAACAAATAAATACAAATAAATTAATGTCCCTTGTAGATGTGGGCCCGTTATATTTTATTACTGACATTTTTCAGTAACTAAACCACGTATCCTTTCAGTTATTTACCGCGACGACGACTCCTCTGAGCCGTCTGAGCCGTCGACCTCCATAATCCATTATCCGTTACCGATATTCCGTTATCTCTTTCCCTGTTCCCTCTCTTCCTCCCGGCAGCAACCAATAAATATCTCAAACCCTATAAACCCAAAAACCTGTTCAAACGTCTTTCGAGCACCGCGATCTTCATTGTTGGCAATATTTCTTTTTGGGCATACTATAAGTTTAAGTTTGTCTTGTTTTTATGATTTTGAAGGTTTGATGTGAAGTGGCACTGGAGTTCAAGAAGTGGAGAGGTAAATTTTTTTTTATCTACTGCTTTGATTTTTACTATTTTTGAAATAATGGATATTTCTTGATATTATAACGTAAAATGTTTTCTTTTATTGTGCATAATGAGAGAAAATTATGATTTCGAAAATGAGATCAATGGTGCAGGAGGAGGGTTGGAGATGGGGGCAAGGAATTTTGAACCTTTAATTTGACACAAGAGACTGAAAAAAGAAAGACAAACATGTATGGGGACTATTTAAATTACATTTATAGACCTGGTCCTGCATTTAGTCAAAAGCTCATGTAGTGTTTTAATTCCAGAGAAGCTAGCGTCACTCATTTCGTGGCAAGAAATAGACATATGCATCAATTTTCTATAAATGCATGCTTTAAAGAGAGGAGAAATATACACCACTTTTCTCTCTACTTTGAACCTTAAGCTTGTGGATAAGGATGATGAAGTTTTGCTACTTGCTAATTCTGTTGCTAAATGTGGCAGTGACTGTCTTTTGTGCTGATAAATATAGCAGGAAGGACTTTCCTCCTGGCTTTGTTTTTGGTGCCGGTACCTTTGCTTATCAGGTCTGCTTCATGAAATCTTTCTTGCCTGTTTTTTAACTTTTAAATGTTTCACTTTCACTTAACTGGATGATAAAAGGGAAACGTTTTTTGTGTATGAGAGAGAAAAAGAGAGATAGAGAAAACTGTTTCACGGGTACATTATATTTTTGAAAGGTGGAAGGAGCAGCACATGAGGATGGGAGGACTCCGAGCGTCTGGGACACCTTTTCTAATGGAGGTCAGTGTCTTTTTCTATAACCTAATTGAATTTGCTCTTAATTGATTCGTAGTAGTGTTTATGAGTTATTTATGGCATAGTCACCAATCAAGAGTAGATGGCGTACAATGGGTGTTAGAATGATGAAATTTATGATTTTAAGCAATTAATTTTCTACTTAATATTCCAGGTGGAGATGTCGCAGTTGATCAGTATCACAGATACAAGGTAAAGTATGCTGTAAATTGTTCGTTAGCATTAAGTACATATGATTAATTTGAATTGCAAAAGGCCATATTTCTTGGAGTACAAAAGATTTGGTGTTCATATATCTGTTGCAGGAAGATGTCAAGCTCATGGCTGAAACTGGGCTGGAGGCCTACAAATTTTCCATCTCATGGTCAAGACTTATCCCAAGTATGCTTTCTTAAATGCAGTGCAACTCATACCAAGCAATAAACAGAAAGAAATTTCTAGTTTATTTGATCTTAAATTTTTCTGTCAGATGGAAGGGGACATGTAAATCCAAAGGGCTTAGAGTATTACAACAACCTCATCAATGAGCTTATAAGCCATGGTGCGACCTGAAAGCTAAATAAGTTCTATGGTTTTTTTGTTTGAGAGTGCTGTATCACTTTTGTCTAGTGAAAAATGCAACTTTTGTTAGTATTCCTGTGTATATAAAGTTCTTTTCCTTTTCCTTTAATAGATCCTTTTTTATCCCCTTCTTGATGGAGCAGGTATCGAAGCACACGTTTCTTTGTTCAATTATGATCATCCACAATCACTTGAAGATGAATATGGAGGATGGATTAGCCGAAAGATTGTGTATGATACTTTTAAGTTTTGCTGCTCTTTCTTGTGGCCGGGGTACTTTCCCCTTCGTCAGAGATGAAAAGAAAGTGCTGAAAGGACTAAATTTTTGCATGTGGATACAGGAGAGACTTCACAGCCTATGCCGATGTGTGCTTCAGAGAATTTGGTGATAGGGTTTCATCTTGGATTACTATAAATGAGCCGAATGTCTTTGCTCAGGGAGGCTATGACCTGGGAATAACACCACCAGGACGATGTTCTCCTCCATTTGGAATCGGTCATTGCTATAAAGGCAACTCCTCCTATGAGCCATACTTGGCAGCTTATCATATGTTGTTGGCTCATGCCTCAACTGTAAGACTGTACAGGAACAAATATCAGGTACCAATCATCTTATTTTATATATTTTTCCAAGGAAATGTTTCTTATGTTTGATTTCAAATAATCAGGATAAGCAACATGGAGTTATAGGGGTCACCTTCTTTGCCATTTGGCTTGTTCCCCTAACTAATTCAACAGAGGATGCAGCAGCTACAGAAAGAGCTAAAGACTTCTTCTTTGGTTGGTGAGTGAATGAGGGATTAACTCGGTTTGTAAACTTTCTCGAAGTCATCAACTGTATTCTCTTTGTTGTCGTGCAGGTTTTTAAATCCCCTGGTGTTTGGAGATTATCCGGAAATGATGAAGAAAATTGTAGGCACAAGGCTTCCAGCCTTGACCAAACAAGAATCCGAATTGGTTAAGGGAGCATTTGACTTCATAGGACTCATACATTACACTACAATTTATGTCCAGGAAAACTCTGAAAGTCTTAAATTAGAAACCAGAGATTTCACTGCAGATGCAGCAGTAAATATGTTTTGTAAGTTCTTGAGTAACTTGTTTGTATGCTCTACTCTTTTTGAAAGTGAAACCAACTCATTGATTTTATGGTTCTTGCAGTGGACAAAGACGATCCATTTGTAATAATCCCAGAAGAGGTGAGCTGAGGGTGTAGTAAAGCATGTAAAAAAAGAAGTGCTGGTAGCTTTGTTGTTGTTTTTTTTCTTTTTTTGGTATTACTAACCAGTTCTGTCTGATTCAGTTTCCATTAAGGCCTTGGGGTCTGCAAGCATTATTGGAGTATATTAAGCAAACTTATGGCAATCCTCCTGTTTACATCCACGAAAATGGTCTGCTTGTTTCCCTGTTTAAGTGCTTACACTCGCATCCTTTATATTTGCTCACTTGTTTATAATTCTATTAATATAGCTATCGTCGCAAAACTCTATAACATTCTGAAAATTAGTTCACTTTCAAGAGAAAAATTGGTATTTATTCATTTGGCAGGTCAAGTCAGTCCGCATAATTCTTCATTGGAAGACACATCGAGGGTTAAATATCTGAATGCATACATTGGGAGCTTGCTAGATGCAATAAGGTTCTTGATTTTTACATCAATCTTGATTGTATAACGAGTGAAATGATCCTTACCATAAATTTTGAAGATTGATTTGGGTTTGTTTCTTGATTTACGAATTCGACTATTTTATATCCCGTCTAACCTCTTCCTTTTTTTTTTTTTTTTTTTCCATTCACAAATTTTTGTTAGGAATGGGTCAAATACAAGGGGGTATTTTGTATGGTCTTTTTTAGATGCATATGAGATACTGGGTAATGGATTCGAAATGAGCTTCGGCCTGTATTTCGTAGATGTGGAGGATCCAGGCTTGAAAAGAAAACCAAAGCAATCTGCACATTGGTACTCCAACTTTTTGAAAGGAAATATTCAAATTGAGAGAGAAAATCTGTCCAATCCTGCTCGACAACACTTGTCTCAATAGGTTAATGATGTCTGTTAACTCATTGCTTGTAAGCAAATTAATATGTAACGGTACACGAACAGTAATTAGCGCCAACATAATTTCTTCTGTTAATGTATTACAGAATGTGTAATAAAACCATTTCTGTTGTGTTCTTGAGAGTTCCACAAGGGGTTTTTGTTTTATGAGTGGTTAGAGCCGGGTCCTTCTTTCTTTCTGTTTCTTGAAAAGCTATTGGCTGGCAAAATTAAAAGGAAGGAAAGGGATAAGGAAAGGGATACTCTGTAAGACCATAACCAAGCACGTGTGAAAAACTACAAAATAACAGGTGGGCGGAATTTGTCTTGTGACAATTAATTAGCATTAAGTAAAGTATGATTCTACAAGAACCTCCTTTTTGTTTTGTTCTCTCTTTTCTTTCTTTTTGTCTTATGTGGAAAATTTTCAGATTGGAGCTTTTGGATTTATTTTTCTTTGCTAATCTATCAATTCCTTCGTTGATTTTAAGTGTGTTTAAGCTGTTTTTTCTCTTTGTCGTACAATTCATTTATAACTATTTTTCACTAAAATAGGGATTGATTAATAATAATGTTTTTAAAATTTTTATATAATTATTTTAAACCTAAATGACAATATAGTAGAAAAAAGGAGTAGTTCTTTATTCATGAAAACAAACGCGTGTCGGTCGGTCCTAGTCAGATATATATAAAGAACGACATGCCATTCAGATTCAAAAATTAACAGATACAGATACTGATGAAGAGAGAACGACAAGGACAATGACAATGACCTGTTTGCCCTCCGTCGTCCTCTATCTCTCTCCCTGCTTTCTCTCCTCCAGCCTTGCTTTTGCCTCTCGAACACAAAAACTCTATTCAAGTATCTTTCAAGCACCACGATCTCCATTGTCAAAGCTTAATAAAAAGTTAGGTGTATTACATGATGATGGGTAGTTCTTGATTGTAGAAAGCAAAAGGATTTCTGTTATTAGTATTACTGTTAATGATAAATTTTGCAGTTTTAGTGGCCACATTTGGATGAAATTGTAATTACAAATTCTGTAAAAAAAGCAATAATAAATAAATATTAAAAAAATAAATTAAAAATATTATTTAAAAAAGACATGAACGGAAAGTGGGTTGCTTGACAATTGACTAATGAGGTCTCTCATCTCTGCATTTTGTACCGGCATCCCAATAGCCTATTTATTAGGCAAAAGAGGGAGCTTTTCTATTTATGTCACTAGTAAAATACAGAATGACAATACTATTGTTGATCCAGTATCTTGTCAATGATCATGTGGAAATTTATCCTGAAGGCCAAAGATTTACAGAGAAGCCATGTTCATAACTCCTTTTCGTGGCTAGAAATAGCATGTTTTTTTTTTTTTAATTTAGAAATAGCATGTTCATAACTCTTTTTCGTGGCTAGAAATAGACATACTGTATGAAAGGGAAATATTTTAACTTTGGAAAAGAATCACAGAGCATAATCAAATACACCATCCATCACTTCCTTACTTTGTCTCCATTATAAGCTTCCGGTTATTGATTAACGATGCCGAGGCTTTATTACTTCCTAACTCTGTTGCTAAATTTAGCGGTAACAGTCTTTTGTGCTGACAAATATAGCAGGGAGGACTTCCCTCCTGGCTTTGTTTTTGGTGCTGCTACCTCTGCTTATCAGGTATGCATTACTGTATGTCAAATACTTTTGCAAAGCTTTTATCTTTTTGAGAAAGAGAATAATTGAGTCTGATGGGTATGCATATATTCTCGAAATTAAGGTGGAAGGAGCAGCAAATGAAGATGGGAGGACTCCTAGCGTCTGGGATACCTTTACTCATGGGGGTCAGTATCTTCTAAAAATAACTTAAATTTAATTTGTACTTCATTGATTTATAGTGTTTAAAAGTCATGGGAAGCAGGTGAAATTATGGTTTTAAGCGAGTAATTGTCCAATTAATATTCCAGGTGCAGATGTTGCAGCTGATCAGTATCACAGATACAAGGTAAAGAATGATGCAAATTGTTAGATAGAACTGAGTGTATGTAGTTGATTTGTATCAAAAAAAAAAAAAAAAAACCCTTAAAAAAAAAAAAAAAAAAAACCTTTGTTTTCTTGGAGCACAGGATATTTTGTGATATGTATATATATTGCAGGAAGACGTGAAACTTATGGCAGAAACTGGGTTAGAGGGTTATAGATTTTCCATCTCATGGTCTAGACTTATTCCAAGTATGATACCCTACATAAATAATTAAATAGAGCAATTTCTGGTTCATTTGATCTAAAGTCTTTATGTATTATCTCTGTCAGATGGAAGAGGGCCTGTCAATCCAAAGGGCGTACAGTATTACAACAATCTCATCAATGAACTTCTAAGCCATGGTGAGATCCAAAAAATAAAACAAGTTTTTAAAATAAAACAAGTTTTTAATGTTTTTTTTTTAAAAAAAAAAAAAGAACTTCTAGCTAGTAAAAAGTGTATTTCCGGTACATTCCTAGATGAAGTTTGTCTTTTCATTTGATTACATCTTTTTGAATCCCCTTTATGATGAAGCAGGCATCCAAGCACATGTTTCTTTGTTCAATTATGATCATCCACAGTCGCTTGAAGATGAATATGGAGGATGGATTAGCAGAAAAATGGTGTATGATACTTTTTTGAGCCTTGCTGTTAATTTGTTCCTTTGTGCTATGGGCACATTCCCTACATCAGTTACAAAATTTGACCAAAAAAAAAGCCAAATTTCTGTATGTGGATGCAGGAAAGACTTCACAAATTATGCAGATGTCTGCTTCAGAGAATTTGGAGATAGGGTTTCAACTTGGTCTACTATAAATGAGCCAAATATTTTTTCAGTAGCCGGCTATGGGCAGGGAGTAACACCACCTGGACGATGTTCTCCTCCATTTGGATTATTCAATTGCTCCAAAGGAAACTCTTCCTATGAGCCATACTTGGCAGCTTACCATATATTGTTGGCTCATGCATCAACTGTAAGACTGTACAAGAACAAGTATCAGGTATCAATCATTTCATCTTCTGTATTTACCTTCCTGATGAATTATTTTTCATGTTGGATTTCATATAATCAGGACAAGCAACACGGACACATAGGGATCAGCCTCTTTACCTTTTGGCTTCTCCCACTAACTAATTCCACAGAGGATCTAGCGGCTACAGAAAGAGCCAAAGACTTCTTTTTCGGTTGGTAAGTTAAAAAGGGGAGTGAAAATGTATGGCAATTTCTTTTCAAAAAGTCATCTACTGTGTCTCTCTTTATTATGTTGCAGGTTTATGAATCCCTTAGCTTTTGGAGATTATCCAGAAACGATGAAGAAATGTGTAGGCTTAAGACTTCCAGTTTTGACCAAGGAAGAATCCAAATTGGTTAAGGGAGCATTTGACTTCCTAGGAGTTATACATTACACTACAGTTTATGTCCAGGATAACTCCCAAAGTGTTAAATTGGAAACCGGAGATTTCTATACTGACATGGCAGTAAATATATTTTGTATGTGCTTGGCAGCAAACAAATGTGTATATATATTGCCAACCTTCTTGAAACTAAAATTGACTCGTTTATTTTACGATTCTTGCAGTGGGTGAGGATGATCCATATGCCATATTCCTAAAAGAAGTGAGCCATTTTGAAAATATGTTGAGCCTCAGTAGCTAGTGTCCCATTGCATTACTAACTATTTCTGTTGTTTTGACTTAGCTTCCAATAAGGCCTTGGGGTCTGCAAGGAGTTCTGGAGCACATTAAGCAAACTTATGGCAATCCTCCTGTTTACATCCATGAAAATGGTTTCGCTCTCCTCCCTTTGCACGAAGAAAATGTTTGAAAAATTTTGATTGATGTAATTATTTGTTGTTGCAAACTTAGTGTTATACTCTAAATTTGAAGGAAAAATTGTTGGTTGATCATTTTGCAGGTCAAGTGACTCCACATAATTCCTCATTGGAAGACACAACAAGAGTGGAATATCTGCATGCATATATTGGGAGTTTGTTAGATGCAATAAGGTTCTTTATTTTGCCTGTATATTTGATTTATATGCAATCAGTAAAATGAGGCTTGTTATACATTCAAGATTGACTTGGTTTTCTTTTTTCTTTTTTCTTTTTATCCTTAAAATTGTCTAGGAATGGATCGGATACAAGAGGGTATTTTGTGTGGTCCTTTTTAGATTTATTCGAAATAGTTGGTCATGGCTTCGAATCAACTTATGGCCTGTATTTCGTAGATGTGGAAGATTCAAACTTAACAAGAAAACCCAAGCAATCTGCACATTGGTACTCCAACTTCTTGAAAGACTCAAATGCCAGTTCTGATAAAACTATCCAACTTGACAGAGAAATTTTACCGAGTTCTCATCAGGAACACTAGGTTGTAGGTTTTCAGCAAGCTTTTTATCGAGCTATCAGGGTTCCAATAAGCTTTTGAATTGTAAGGTCTTTCTTCATTTCTTATAAGAACATTGAAGTGTAATGACATGAACAGTAGTGCAAAATTTCAGTCTTGTTGATGAATAATCCAAACAATCTATTTTATTCTTGGAAGTTCAACATGATTTAGGATATATGTTTACAGCTTTGAGCTTTGAAAAAAGAAATTGGGCTCTTTCTATTAAATCTTTCTTCCCCTAAATACTTGTTAAAAGATCAAGTGTCACGTGGAACTCTCCTACTGTGTACCGAGCAATCTCTCAATGCTCTTGAAAGTTCAACTATGGTTTAAACTAAAAACAACAGAAGTGAAAAGTTTTCCAAAATAATGAACTAAATAGACTCCTCATACAGTCACATGATTCAGAAAATAACTTTACAGTTTCAGAAAACCACGTGATGATGCAAATTTCATCAAATTTACAAAAATGAGAACAGTTCCGATTGTGACATAACTTTGTTTGTCATTTGATTGCATATAATTAATGTTTCCAATAAATGGGATAAATTCCATAATAAGCTTCTGCAACCACACTCAACATCAGTTCCTCTGCGATCAGTGCCTATGCCAAAAGCTGCTAGATCTGTTGCCTGGATTGGGACCGCCATTGCTCTGATGAAATGATCCCCAACCCGAGTCCCTATCAGATGACACGTGTTGTAGATGAGGTAACTGCTCTCTTTCCCATGCATGAAAATGATTTTCTGGTTCTTGTAGATTCTGGCCTGATGAACTTGGAGGAATAATTAAGAAGCCACTATGATCATGTTGAGGGGGTGCTGGCACTACTGTGTGCAAGCCCCTCGGACCATCAAATCTCCTGACACCATGAACAATGGGTGGTGGAATACCAGGTGGACTGCCAGAATGTTGACGGTGTTGAAAAGCATGGGCAATCTGGATCCTTTCATGGGTCCTAGCACCGCTGCCTGGATGCCGAGGAAAAATAGACGATACAAATGAGCTGCCAGCTGAAGAACCAGACCTATTAAGAGTAGATGCAGACAGCATCATTAGTCTTATGCACTCTTGATGACAAAATAAGGTCGACAAAACATGCATTATTTCACTTCTGTAATCATTTATTGTAACATATTCATTCACTTGCTGGATGTCAAAACAGGCACCATTGAAAAATGTTTGGCAATGGACGACAGACTGACAATTGAGAATGTTAATGAAGTAACCATGTATTTCTTAAAATAAAAGAAACCAACTCTTATTTTGGACAAGGGAAAGGAAATATCACAATTAATATCAGACACTGCTTACCCATGACCAAATGGAATTGGATGTGGAAAAGATGTGGGTCGCATTCTTGTATCTGATTCACCATTAGAAGCTCTGAACGTCAGAGGAACAGAAGCAGGGTCAACACCATTTGCGTGGCTACTAGATACAGAGAAAGGAGGGGAACGGCGGCCCCAACTCTGGTATTGAATATTGATGGCAGGAAAAGCATGGGCACTGAAGATCTCGTGACGTCCAGATAAGCCATTCCAGTGATGATTGAAGTTAGGATCATCAATGCTACCATTAGACCTTGATGAGTTGGGAGGAATTGGTCCAACATATGCAACATAAGAATGAGCCACCGATGATGCAGCAGTGTGTTCAGCATATATCGAATGGTGGCCCCTCAAGTCATGATCTACATATGAAGAAAATTCACTCTCATCTTATACTCCCATGGGCACCTTCGGATTTTTCATAGGAAATCAATTAATAACATAAAACTTACAGTTGTTTGATGGAGATTCTACTTCCCTGGAATTACAAAAGAATTATTCATCAGCAAAGCAACAAATATGTTATTATTACAGAAACTGGCCAAGGTTTTCAGGCATAAGAAATGATAAGAACATTCTTAAGCTAAGAAAATGGTTTCATTCTCATACTACTGTTATGTTCTTATTTAGCCATCATAAAAGAGAACAAGAGACCATAGTCCACAAGAAGGCTAGAGCAATAGCCAAGAGATATGAAAATTAACCCTAAAAAAATAATAAAGCAATGAAATAATCCAATTAATAACAAACTCAGAGCAACTCCATACACAAAAACTGCTCTATATTCAAATTCCCAGTAAACAAGTTAGTCTTTTGTTGCCTGAGTGCAATACATCAGTTCTCTAAACACGAGATTTGAGAAATCTTAGCCCCTAATGAACATGGTCCAGCCTCACTCTTTCACAACCTAGTAGCATCCATAAACTGACTGCAATCCTATACATTAATACTTTTTTTTAGAAAGGAGAGGAAGGAAAATAATAACGAATTGTCGAGACTTTTTTCCATAGTTATTTTCCACCCTTGTATTTGGATACACTGAAGGAAAGAAAATCAGTTTGTGTGGAAAGGACAAAATTTTAAAAGAAAGATTTTTTTTTTTTTTTTTTTTTTTTTTTTAAGAAAAATGCATGACAATAAAAACAAGCAAGCTACCGAAATAAGTGGTGCTAATCTAGGGAGAAGATTGCAACACAAGCCATAATGAATAAGACAAAGAAAACCAGAGGGAGATTTTGTTACTTACTCAAAAGATGAACCAACTTGTGCCAATTCACCAAATGGACACCAGTGAATTCTATATGGCTGAAAGAGACAATCAGAAGATTATTAGGAGATATGAATGATTAAAATCATGCACATCTTTAGGAAGTCTTGGTATAACCAGCAACTACTTCCTCAAGCACATTTCCATCATCCATTTGTTCTATTTCGTTTCAAGCTCTCATTGATAAGGTACAATCTAAAACATACCTCAAACAACATGGCATCTAGATTATCCTTTAAGACGATGCTTGAGATACCAAATTACATTAGATATAGAGATAAATCAAAATAGGAAGTACATATCCAAAACCTCAAAAAAGTGAAAACAACAAGTTAGAGTTCATTAACAAAACCTCAAAGCTTATCACAAAATTCTAAGTTAAACCAGAGTGCTGAAAGCACTTTACCAGTTAAAAATAATGTTGAGATTCACAAGCCTGACAAGACTCAGCCTAACCCAATCTATTTTGGATTATACTCCACTAGGGACCTCAGGTATGAGACCTGGCTCAACATACATTGTTTTGTAATGAATCCAATATATATTCTACAGAATGAAATTTTTATTAATTATTGGCGAATTTTGTTGTAATGACATCTTGAAAGAAAGACAAGAAGGTCATCACCGAAATACAGGTTACTCTAAGATGCCAACTCAAACCTTGAGAAAGTTATGCAACATTCAAATTTATCATAAAGCCTTCCATCTAAGCAACACCCATGTTTCTAGTTTTCACACCATTAGTACTACGGTCAGCATGATATTTGGCTTCAAAATATAGAAAAGCAGAGAAGCTGTTGATAATTTGCTGGGGAAGAAGAGGAATGAATTCTTGATGAATAGCCTGCCCCTCATATCAGGGCTCCGGCATTTAAAATCTCCACTACAATGGCATAAAAACTTTATGTTCTTATGATTCATTGTGTTCATGATTTTTATAAAACCTTTATTCTCTTATGAGTTGTTATGTCACAAAGCTTAAGTTTTCCATTTTTTTTTCAAATTCATAGTTTTAACTTTTAAAGCCTAAGAGCAGGGCATTTTCTGCATGAAGAAGTGCAAAAATGCATAGAGCTTTTAATGTGAAAAATGGATATAATTCTCATATTCTTCCTCATATGAAAAAAGAAGGTAACATTTTAATTGCAGAAGTGCAAAACCATCATGATGCTGTAGCAATGTTCAACATATGCCTAAAGCAAATTCCTAAAACTGAACAACATGTTTTCTAAAGGACAAACTGTAAAGTACTGGAGACAATCCTACCGTTCCAGAATAACTTAGATCATAGAAGTCATCATCAGGAAACCAATCATCCATGCTCATATCATGTAAAGTACGAGTAGAACCATTTGCATAAAGCCATTGGCCTTTCTCTACTTTTCTGCAATTTGGGCATTGCATTGCCCCTTTCATATTAAAGGCTGAACCAATGCAATCTGCATTGCAAAAAAATTAGATTATAATGATGACCAAATATTTTGCATCATAATCTTGATCTTGGCATATACAATTTCTGAAGTAAATACCATAAGTGCCTGAAGAACGTAACTATTTTATGTCCTCCATATAAGCTAGCATGATAAAGACAAGCAAAGTAAGTCATTTTCATTTTCTAGAATTATAAAGTTTAACTAGTTATCAAATTTATATATCCAGCTGAGAATTGAACAGACTGGAGCATTTCTGTTTAGCTCAACACAAATTCCAAACGGGGTTAGCTCATTTGGTATACCAGAAGGCAATTATAAACGGGGTTCAATAAATAGGCCCTTCTCCAAAAAAAAAAAAAAAAAAAAAAAAAAAAAAAAAAAATTATTTAAAAAATAAGGAAAAAAACAAAAATTAGGATATACCTAGATGGAATTCATGGCCACATTGGAGCTTAGCCCTGGATCTGCCACCATTATCCGACACCGTATCAAGACAAATCGAGCAAGAAACACCAGAAGAGGAAGGCTCGTCCTCATCGGCACCACCATCATGTTGTTGGTGAAGCTGGTTATGATGATCATCGGCGTCACCGTCCATGAGTTGATGATGACGATGATGAAGAAATTGTTGTTGATGATGAGGATCAGTAGTGGCTTTTGTTGAGCCCACCATGTCCTCGTCCCTTCCCAGTATCCACCAATAAATAAAAAGGAAATTCGGAAAATTGCAATAAAGCGACAAATCTGAACAACTCTCTCTCTCTTATTTCCTGTTTTTGTGAGCGCATGGAAATCTATCTAAGCGTTCCGCCTTTTTTTTTTTTGTTTTTGTCCTTCGGTTCCTCTGTCCGACCTGTCAGATTACGTGGTTCGGACCTTTGGTACACCGTATTTCGAATTATCTTTTTTTATTTTTTATTTTTAAGATAACAAGCTCTCAGTTGCCAATAACGAACAACTACTACTAACAACTAAAGACAGTGTATTTTTAATTTCTTTCTCGAATAATAAATAAATAAAAGACGGTGTATTCGGTTTAATTATACGCATCATCTCATTCAATGCATGTGAATTTTTATTTTTTATATTTTCAGGTGACTTTATAATATTTTAGTTTTTTTAGTGCATAATAACAAAGTGTAAAAGCGTATCCAATGATTTTTTATTTTTTAGAATTTCTTTATTTCACTTTTATCTGATTTTGTTTTCTTTAGTACTTCACTGTTTCTTTTATTCAAAATGCATGTTTCTTGTAGTGATTCATCTTTATATTTAAAAAAAAAAAAAACATAATTATTATTTGCGTCAGCTTCCATAACACCATTTGTGAAGTATTAAATTTCTTGTATTCATGTAATCATGGTTCCCAAATTTTAGGTATTTATAAAATTAAAAATAATTGTTATCAAAACTATGGACTATTGTGATGAATAATTTGGAAAATATATTACGAACAGAAATTGGAAAAAAAAATTAAGTTTTAATACTAAACTAGTTAAAATCAATTACAATATATAAAATGCTTTATTTCCAAATCCATTCTGATCAAATTAATAACAATACACAAAATAAATTTTTAATAAGGTACTTAAATTCTTTTAACATTTTCTTCACGTTTACATATTACATAATCAATATTTCATTTTTTTTTTTCTTGCCTAAAAAAATTAAAAAAAAAAAAAATCTGTTCAACTACCAAACTTAAACATCACTGATAAAGAATAATCTTGAATATTGATAAATATATACACACACAATTATTAATCTGCCATTAAAACAAGTATTCGCCTTGCACTAGGAGTTTGGATTCTAACCCTCCCAACAACTTCCCTCTTTGCAAGTAATCACTCATTACCCTTTTTGACCTTTGGTTCACAAAAGATAAAAGACTCTGGGATGATCAATCTTCCTTCTCCAGCCTCCAGATAATATATATAACACAGATTCATATATATACTACATACAAGTACTTGAATGCACAAAAGAGTTGCAGAAATTATGAAATACATGATTCTGGCACGGACAGGGTGCACCATTATTTAAATTCCATGATGAATTACTGCTATGGATGATAATTAGGGAAGAAGAAAGCAATCTCAGTGTTTGATCTTAGGCTTCTTCACAATCATCACACTGCAGTGAGCATGATGAGAACAGTAGTCACTCACGCTGCCTAAAACCGCCCTGCAAGATAAATATATAATGTAAAGAGACTGACAAAGACCTAGTGTGGGATTGTACATGTTTGCCAGCATCTCATGTGACTTTTGACAATTTCAGCTGGCAATCTAATCTAGTAGCCATAAGAAATTTCTTGTGCAAATCTAAGTTAAGCATTAATAAAACAGCTTTAAAATTTGAAAATACATAAATTACATATTACACCAAGCATATTAGAACGCTTTCCATATCTACAACTTATAAATGCAGAGATTGGATAGTACCTTTTGATAGCGCCATAACCATGACTACCCACAGCCAGTATAGAAGCATGGTGTTTTTCTACAGCCTCACAGAGGACGTTCCTAGCATCACCTTCTCCAACTTCATATATGACATCATTCACCTGCAAAGAAGCTGAAATAATCAGGAAAGATATTGCCAAGTACAGCTGATTGAGACAAGACATGTACAAAACTACAAAGTCAAAATTCATACTTGGATATCTCCAGATGAAAAAAATCAATGCAACGAGAAGCATGAACAGATGCTTCCTCCATGTCCTGAGTTAGTTACTGTCCTCTTGGCAAACATAATTGTAAACCTTATCTGGAGCGGATAATCAGGATCCGAGCACTTTTAAGATAATTTTCTATTTCTAAACCCTAGATGATAAACTTAAATATGTGGTTTCGATGTAATGACTAATGACCAAATACATGCCAATCCTATTTTAGCGGATACGCTTATTTACATTTCTAATTGAAAAATTACAGCTCTGCAACATAAGTTTCATTATTAGAACGCTAGAACTTAAAAGCAACTGTCTGTATTCAAAGTTGTCAAAGTCGCAAGGTACTAATATAGGCACAAACGCAGGCAAAACAATGATTGAAATGTGCATTAAATAAAAAATATAGTGTCCATAAGCTGAATTAGTGAAATTGTAGGATTTTAATAGTATTTTCTGCCAGAAAATTAAATGCACTATGATCAGGAACTTTGAGATTATAAGTGGTTGTATTTTCATTTTGGGTGTGAAGCAAATGCACTTCGAGTCACACCACAGCTCTAAGAAGTTGCAAGTGATCTTCTATAGGTTGGACAGGTTCTTCGGTATATGATTCTCGCGCAAAGAAATTGCATATCCCTCTGTCCCATAGTCTCCAACTAGAAGAAGAAAAATCATCGGCAATTTCCTCATTTTGGAAATACTATTAAAAATGAGTTCAGCACTTAAAATTTCTATTTTGACTACAGATACATGAGCCTCAAAATTTTTGCCAAATTCAAGATAAATTCCAGCATCTCATTGCAGGATAATGGATAATTTAAGCAAGCAAAACAATAAATTACCGATTTACTGGCGCAGATTTCCTTAGCCCGCTCAATAACTCTTGCTGCTATCCTCTTCAAATCCGAATCCACATAAGGCAAAACCTCAGCAGCCCCTAAACAAATTAAAATATATCCAGTTTACAAGCTCAACCAATCCAATACACAAGCACACAAATATAAATGGAAAAATACCAGGTCCGGCGAGACCGACGGCTGAGGCGGCAGAAGGTTTGGCGTGGACTACGACGAGTTTGAAAGGAGAATTAGAACCGAAAGGAACGAAGAAATGATCCACTGTCCAGCCCAAAGCGTACATGCTATGTTCGCTATCATCGACCCCAACCACCATCACCTGCTTCTCAACGGTCGCCATTTAAGTTACGTGTACCGTGTACGGTGAACGTGTAGCGTCTCTGGTTCTGCTGCTCTCCGGATGGCGTAGAAATGGAGGAAGCAAATTTGAACTGTACTTGGCTTGTGGAGCAAGATTTAAGCAGGAGAAGCGAGGAAGGAACTAGAAATGGAATCATATACAGACAGACAGAAAGTCCCCTTTATTCGTGCGTGCAGACAGATGGAGAGAATCCAAGTGCGGAGTTATTGGTTGATTAAGATTTGATGCATATCAGGAAAGGAAGGTTTTTTTTTCAGAAGAAACGACGTCGTTGTTGGATTAATTTACGAAGAATCTGCACGCTGTTTAGAAATTAGAATCTTAATTTGTTAGGGCCATAAACTTTTGGGCCAAAGCAGTATTTGGAACATAGATTGGTGTTGGCCCAATTACCATTTTATTTCTAACGGGCCCAAGAGTGCCTAATATGGAAGCAGCGGTTCACCGTTCACATATTAAATCACACATCAAACACGTGCCGTCTAGAAACAAATAAATCCATAGCATTGGTTGGAAAGCCTAATCCGGAACCGATCTTTACAAGCTATTTCAAAACCAAAACCACAAAATCAATGGGCTAAAACCATTGTCTCTCTAAAGCTAATGATTGTCCTAAAATTGCTTGCAAGTTGCAACTCTCGTCTAACTCAACAATTGCCTTGAAATGATTGTTGTTAGAAAAAGACACACATACTCTCGATATATGGTTTAATCTGGAATATTAAACCACCTCAGAGTTAATTAATCAAGTGAGTTAAAGTTTACTTGATAATTATATATAATATTGTTAATCTATAAAGTTAATGGTGTTGAAATAAAATAGTGTCATTTTAAACAATTAGAGAAAAAGGTTAATTAATTTAATTTGAAAGGTGTTAGTTGTGCTTGAGTGGTATAACAATTCATATAAAGTGCCTCCTGCACTCAAAAAAAGTCCACTAAAAAGTGATAGCTCTGCCTCCATATATATGCTTCTCATTGATGAAATTTGAAATCGAAATAGCGTTATACACTTTCTAAATGGATTCATCTCAACCACCCATTACCTCCCCAAAATATATTATGAAGTCAAATTATTGTAATTTATACTCTATTGCAAAGTATGATTATGATTATTATTTTTTTTTAAAAAAAAAAAAGATAGCAATGTGAGCTCACGGTATGCATCATCAAGACATCAACCAATCAATAAACAGGAAAGAAAGTAAACTTATTTTACCTTTTTAGAAAAGATAAAATTTTATAGAAAAGAAAATGTTATTATGGCAATTATCCTTACTTAAAAATAATGAAGTATTTAAAAAATGTTTAAAGTTTTTTAATTAATTTGATACATTTGGATAATTTAATAAAAAAGAGTGAGATATTCTCATTTTTCTCCGCTATTGTCTTTTCAAACTATAAAGATTCAAAATACAAGGATCCGAGTGAAAAATAAATGAAATATAATTTTTTTTTCAATATTTCAAAAAATATTTTCATCCAAATAAAAATTAAACAACTTAATTAATTTTTTTTGCCTTAGGTGTAGAATTCATATGATACACATAGTTAATTATTCTATAATATAATCTACATTAGAAAAGAAAATATGGCCAATGAATGCTTTTTTCCTGAACTAGGTCAATATAGTAAGTTCCTACTAAGGAAAAAAAAATGATGATATGTATATATATATGGAAATTGGATTATTAAATGGAAGCTTGAAAAGGTGTTGGAGACGTTATTTTCGTAAACGACAAGCGAAAAAAAAAAAAAAAAAAAAAAAAAAAAAAAGAAGAAGAAGCATGAGAAGTGTCATTATGTATGTTATTTCACCATTAAATAAAATAAATAATTGAGTTTTAAATAAAGTACTGTTTATATTTTATTTAAAATTACGTTTTTTTTCTTATTGTAGATTTAATAAAACGAATAATATTGTGAATCATATTTTTTGTATAAATAAAAAAATTCAAATCATATTTAATTAATTTTAAAGTATAATTTAATAATAAAATAATTCGTTCTCATACATGATGACGTGTGTTTATATCCGCTTATAAAAAAAATAAAAAAATAAAAAAAGTAAAGAAAAGAAACTAACCTTTAACACGATTATTTCACGCACAAGCCATGTTCTTTTGGTCCTATTTGATGGAATCAATACGTCTGACGTCAAATTTCATGCTTGCTTTCCCTTTTATGAGATTGATGAAAAGAAAAAATAAAAAAGGTATTGGCATTAATGGGCTTAATGGGGACACTGAGAGTCTGAGATGTTACTTACCCTTTTAGTAATTTGAATGAATTTCGAAATATTTTTCTCCTTATAAGTGGTTTCTGGAAATTGAACTTTTAATTTTTTAAAAATAGTCCTCTAAATGTAACATATTTTATTATTTGAATTATATTTTTACCTTTTATCACTCTTCAACCCCTCTATTACTTGTAAATAAACATAGGTGAAAAACTATAATTATATTTGTAAACCCATAATTCATTATTTGCCCATTTTTTTAACGATCCCAAATGGCTCCACTTGCCAAACATTAACTTGTATTACACGTCAGATTGTGACAAGTTGACATGACTAAATGGACTAATCGGTATCTTTTGAAATAATAAGGATGAAATAATAATTTCCGTCAAATTTTAAGGACTTTGTTGTATATATCTTAAAAGGCAATAAAAAGGCATCCGACGGATACGATGTAGGAGAAAATTCCGAGACGTTAGATTGTTTCTGTAGCCACCACCCCCTGGATTTTGTCCTATATAATGTAGTCTATCAAGGAAACCCAAAACCGTTAATATTCAAGAAAGAGAGAGCAACATAATCCCTCCGTTAGCTAAGGAATATTTTTCTTTTTAGTTATTGGTTTAATTTATTATTAGATTACATAGACCTGGTTCGCTGAGGGTTAATGTTCTTGAGATTTTAATAGAATTGAAGGTAAGGGATTGATTGATTCATGAGAAAAGATGAAATTTTGCAAGAAATATCAAGAGTACATGCAAGGCCAAGAGAAAGAACTACCTGGGGTTGGTTTCAAGAAGCTTAAGAAGATTTTGAAAAAATGCAGGACAGATTTTGAATCCCATCAAGATCTTGATGGGTCTTCTCCTGATGCCCAACACTGTCCTCATCACTGTCCAGGTGCATGTCTGTCATTTTTCTTTGTTTCTTTGTTTCTTTTCTTTTTTTTTTTTTTTAAATATTGATTTGGCTTTGTTTTGCTTTGTTGATTCTTGAGCTATTCCTTTTTGTTGGATTTTTTTTATTATCAAGAACAGAGTAAAGTTTTGTTCTATGGTTTGCTTTGCTTTGCTTGAATAAAATCCTGATACTTACTCAGAAATTTCTTGTTCCACAGAAGGATTCTTGCTGATAATTTGGATAACATAATTATTGGGTTTATAGTTGAGCTCCCAATTGATGCATGTAAATGTAATTAATTCCCTGTTTGGATCAATGTAATTATTAATTAGTTTGAAGAACTTATAGAATTTCTAGAAGTATGAAATTGTAATGGTGTCAATTGACTCAATTCTATTTGGTTGGAGTTTTTTACAGTCTGTGAAAAGTAGAAGCAGAATCTTGATACTCTATAAGAAACTTTGAACTAGAACTAATGAGAAAAAAGCTTCTTATAATTAATTTCATTTATAATTGCTTAAACTTCTTTGGAAAACAGATTAATAGCATCTTTAAAGTTTTCTTGTTATATCTTCTCCTTGATTCTCTTACAATAGACTTTTGATATTTTGGTGCATTAGAATTTAGAAAAATGTTGAGGTCATCAAAAAGCTTTTGGCAAGACAAATTCCTGTCAGGATAATTCCTATTAAAAATAATGTCATGATAACTCTGAAAGCAAGCTGCATCTATGTAGTTATAATTTTTATTGTTTTTTTCATGTCTTAAATTCCTTTTTCTAATTGAGGTTCATATGCAGTGTGTGATGGAACCTTCTTCCCTTCCCTTCTCAAGGAAATGTCTGCAGTGGTTGGTTGTTTCAATGATCGAGCCCAGAAATTGCTCGAGCTGCACCTTGCTTCCGGCTTTAGAAAATACTTTATATGGTTCAAAGGAAAATTGCAGGGAAATCATGTTGCTTTGATGCAAGAAGGCAAGGATCTAGTTACCTATGCACTTATAAATGCGATTGCAGTACGAAAAATTCTAAAGAAATATGATAAGGTATATATGTTCATCTTTATGGTAAAATCCATGTCATTGTTGAATCAGGAAAAAATAAAACAACTAGATATACTGTTATTCTTTGGATTATGGTGCTTGATGTATCTATTTCTTCTTGGCTACAGGTTCATTACTCGAACCAAGGACAGGCCTTCAGGTCACAAGCCCAAAGTATGCACATTGAGATTCTTCAGTCTCCATGGCTTTGTGAGCTTATGGCTTTCCACATCAATTTAAGGGAAACTAAGGTCAAGTCAAATAATAAGGCCCCTGCCTTGTTCGAGGGGTGCTCACTAACATTTGATGATGATGGCAAACCATCACTCTCTTGCGAGCTTTTTGATTCTGTCAAACTTGATGTTGATTTGACTTGTTCAATATGCTTGGTAAGCTCCTTTGTTTCATTTTTCTAAGATATGTATTCTAATCTATGCCATGTTTATGCACTTATTACACCAAAAAAGTAACGGTGAACCACATGAAGGAACGGTGGAATTGGATTGAAGAGTTATCTGATTGTCTATAAGGAAAATTAGAAGAATTTATTGACTTCTGTTTAAAGGATAATAAATTTACGGAAAATGGTACAAATACAGACTTGCCGAGGCTGCTCCTATTCATTTAGATTGATCTTTCTTTTAACATGATTTGTCATTCTACGGTGAAGTAGGAAGAACAATAATCAATATGCAGCCAGACATGCCATATCCAGCATCAGGTCTCTTCTTTAGTAATAGATGAATAATTTCAAAACTAGAACAAAATGCATATTACTTTTGTTATTATATAGGGCCCTGAATGATTTGATCTTTCTTTTGGTGACAGGACACAGTGTTTGATCCAGTTTCTCTCACATGTGGCCATATATTCTGCTATCTGTGTGCCTGCTCCGCTGCTAAAGTGACCATAATTGACGGACTAAAGGCAGCAGAGCCTAAAGAAAAATGCCCTTTATGCCGAGAGGTTAGTTGATATTTTCTTTGCAATACTATTTTTGCTCTTATGATAAATATACGATGAATCTCTTCATATGTACACAGCTTTTAACTTAAACTGTGTTATCCTTTGTTTCTTTAATCAGAGCTATGGATAGTCGTCTTTCCTGGCTTGAAATGATTGCTTTCCCTTCCTGATTGTAGGCTAGAGTTTATGAAGGCGCTGTACACCTGGAAGAGCTTAATATTTTACTGAGCCAGAGGTATTCTTTTCTTATTATTATTAATATACTTTGATGCAAGTTTCCTTTTACTAGTTCCTGACTGTCCTGGAATGCATGCATGAACAGTTGCCCTGAATATTGGGAGGAACGGTTGCAATTGGAAAGGACAGAGAGGATTCGACAGGCAAAGGAGCACTGGGAATTTCAGTGTCGAGCATTCATGGGTGTGTAGAATAGTAAATACTTCAGCTAGAAACTAGATTAAATCTAATAACATTTTGCAGATCTTGCCATAAAATTCTCCCTCTTACTCTTTTTTACGACAGGATTGATTTAAATTGTGTGGATGTTATGCTCTTTGGCAAGGTGCTTGACTTGGCAAAAATTTTATATGTAGTTGTTTATGTATAAATGTTTAGACGCAAAAATTGGGACAGAAAATGGAATGTTGTGTTTCTGCTGCGAATACAGTTTCCAGTATCAATGAATTGAAAGACCAAAATAATAAGAATAATGATTAAAATGACACAGAAAAAAGAGGGGAAAAAAAATAAAAAGAAGATTTAACTGGGCTCATCAGAGAGAATTATATTTTACATATGCTAACTTCAATCTGAGAAAACGTACAGAACTGAAAACAAACCATCCAGGGGCTTAGAAAGTACCACATCATACATTCACAGTTCTACAAAATCATCCTGGAAACCAAATTCATCTTCAATCAAGCCAAAATCAAGGGGTTCTTATCTTTGTATGTGTGATATCTTTTGCACAATTTCTCCAGAGTTGCAACCGGATGCTGCATCACATTTAATTTTGTGTCCATGAACATAGCCTGTAAAACAAGAAAAAGGGTTAAGTTTAGTCCAACAGGCACCAGAAAAGAAATGTCGCTAATATAAAATAATACTGAAAAAGAAACCCCAAACTGGCCTGGTAGTTATCTCCATATTTCTCAACTAGCCGACCAATATGAACCCGTTGCATGGTGGTCAAAGGCTGTAGAGGAGCACTTTTACCATCCTTCCGCTTCTTCCCAAGGGCTGATTTCAGATCTGCACAGCCAAACAAACAAAACGTTTCATGTGCTTATCAAGGGATGCCCAGATTGACAGCGCAAATTTTTTTTTTTCCAACTTTCAAACACCAACATGACCATTACACCAACAAACTCCACTCTAATTTTGCATAATTAACAGAGGAGATGGTAAACAACCTACTGTTGAATGCCTATAATTTAACTGACATAGAAGAAACCAGAAAGCTGAAGGGAAATTGTTCAAAAAAAAAAAAAAAATTCCTTCAAAAAAAAAAAAAAAACAACGAAAACAAATATTTAGGTTTTGTAATACAGAATATTCTGCTGGGCAAAGCAATAAGAAAACGAGCATGTTTGAAAGTTCAGAGTTCAAATGCTGATTGCAAATGGTCCAAAAACCAAGCATATGAAAAAACTCCTACTGCTCTATCCTGCAAGTTGCTTAGATTCCATAGAACAACCAATCAACTAAATTTATAGGCCTAGAACGACTTAATTCAACGTTCTGAGTTTTTATCGTATAAGGAATTGGAAACCTCCATAGACAGACTCGCACAAAAAAAAAAAAAAAAAAACAACGAACATATTAGTTTGTAATACAAATATTCTGCTGGGCAAGCAATAAGAAAACGAGCATGTTTGAAGTTCAGAGTTCAAATGCTGATGCAAATGGTCAAAAACCAAGCATATGAAAACTCTACTGCTCTATCCTGCAGTTGCTTAGATTCCATAGAACAACAATCAACTAAATTTATAGGCCTAAACGACTTATTCACTTTCTGAGTTTTACGTATAGGAATTGAACTCCAACTAGACAGACTCGCAACAAAAGGGAAACAATAACAAAATTGAATTACCCAGTTAGAAAAATAAATCATCAATTTGATTCACAACTAAAAATTAAATTCATAGCTCAGACAAGAAGAAAGCCACCGACCATCTTCCTCGAGTTCGCTGCCAGAATCGATGGTTTCGTACTCATCTATAGCAACCTCGGACGGAGGCGGAGGCACTTGAAGCGATTCGGTCTCAATGATATGAGAAGTGCGAGATCGGACGCCAAGCAAGTTAGGGTTAGAAACGAAGCCGAACGCTTTATAGTTTTGAATAACGCTAGCCTTGTCGTCCCATTTGGAGCGATCGGCATCGGAGAGAGAACGAAGCTTTGGAGGGATATTGAACGCTGGCTTGAACACGCCTGGATTCTTCTTGGGGAGACCCACCTTAACCTTATGCCTTGATTCCTTGTATTTCCTTCTTGACCTTCCCATGTCTCCCTTGTTTGGCTGTTTGTTTTCTGTGTTTAGGGCGAATTAAAACATTTTAGGGTTTCTCAAGGGTTTTTGGTAAAGGAGGGATTCACGCTAGACAGTGCGCTGCGCTTTGGCTGTCTCGTTTCAAAACGGTGGAGCAAAGGACCGTAGAGGGGTTAAAATGCTAAACATGCCACAAAGGACCGTAGAGGGGTTAAAATGCGAAACATGCCGCAGGGAATCTTTTCCGCTGACAGAGTAAACGTTTCCATCTTCAAAAAATTTACTAGTAAACTGACTGTATTTAAAATCAGAGTATATCAATATTTAAACTATATTTGTTTGTGCGGTATATAGTGCTTTTAAACATTTAGTAAGAGCTCGCTTTGCACTCCTTTTTTGAAATTATCCGACTTGAATTCAGATTAATCGGGTTAATGAGTTTCGGATAACAAATGGTTAAGACCAAAACAAAAAATCAAATACTTAAACCATATTAGTTTGTGCTCGTTAGAATTAAGATCAAAAGACTTGGAGCAAGAATTGGAGCAAGAAATAAGGGCAGTTGAGCCAATACAATGACTCAAATCTTGTTTAAATTGTAATATCAAACCATTTAAAATTTCGTTTTAATCATGTTAATGAATGGTGAATGTTAAATGATGTAATTGAAGGTTTTTATGCTTTTAGCTAAGAAATTCTTCCAGGCAATGCAAGAAGAAGATCCAGAATAAAAAACTTATCATTGGAGGCAAATCAGAAAATCGATTTTTCTGATAGATCAGAAAGAACGAAGAGTTCCGCTCGCATATACGGTTAATAACACTAATCTTTCTTCTAAATTTCAACCATGGAATTCTTTCTATCAAGTAAAAATCTAGATACAATTTGTATTACATCGTGTAAAAGAAAGAGGCTTTTAGTTCTCTTTTTGGGTAAAATAAGAAAGCCTCTTTCTGAACTGACTAGTAGACTAATAATATCTTCTGCAAGCTGTGATCTTCATAATTATTTTTCTTTTACCAAGATTAGCAGCTGAAAATGGCTTATCATATTCCAGCTGAACGGTTGGCATACTCCTGAACTAGAGCCCCGAAAAGCGATGGCTTCTCAAGTAAACGAGACGGTTTATCAAATTCTTTCGCCCGTCCTGCATGAATAAAAGGTGATCAGCATCAGAAAAGCAATAAAAATTTTAGCTAAGTTACAGAAACAGGTAAATTTACGTACCTGCATCTATAACTAAAACTCTATCACAGTCCATGACTGTGGGTATTCTGTGAGCAATGCTGATAATTGTACAAGCTGCAAAGTCCTCTCGGATAATCTTCTGAATTACACCGTCAGTTTTTGAATCAACTGAAGCAGTTGCCTCATCCATAAACAATAGGCGGCTCCGCTTTAGCATAACTCTCCCCAGACATAAAAGCTGCCTTTGACCCACGCTCCAATTTTCTCCATTGTCAACCACTGTGAGATTCCAGTAATAATATTTCATTAGCTTTCAGTTTATATTTAAATGCTCAGGGCAAAGAAGAGAAAACTTTTAAAATACCTGGAGCATCAAGTTTTTCAGGTTTTGCAGCTACTACATCCTTGAGTTGGCAGCGTTCAAGACTCTATAAAATGAAATAGAGTTTTCAAATAAAGGAAAATTACAAAGGAAAATAATGACAAAGGAATCTAGAAGAGTAATGGGATGCTTACTTTCCATATCTCTTCATCTGAATGCTGTCCGATGGGGTCAATGTTGCTCCTAACTGTTCCTTCAAAAAGGACTGGTTCTTGAGGAATTATCCCAAACCGAGATCTTAAATCATGGAGTCCCAGCATGCAAATGTCTATGCCATCAATGATTATTTTCCCTCCTGTAGGTTCCACAAGCCTAAAGAAGACTTGGATCAAAGTTGACTTTCCACTTCCTGTACGTCCAACAACACCAATCTTCTCTCCTCCATAAATGCTGAGAGTAATACCTTTGAGAACCAGAGGAGTGTTCGGACGATATTTGACCTGTTAGCCAGAAGTTCAAAATTTGTGTTATTGGTTAGAAGAGGCTATTTAAATGAAGACACTACTTGCAATATTGTTAATGATATTCATCTGCTCTAGAATGCATGTATAATGTTCTGCAGTAATTTGTTTGCATTACTTGAAAGAAGGATTAGCAATAGACATGGTAAATGAATCCACCTCTAAGAACACAATCTGAAATGGACTAATTTTTGTTTTCAAGCTTTAATCAAAACAACTCTGACCATTTACCTGTAAGTCTCTGAGATCAACATTGCCATGGGTAGGCCAGTTTGAGGGAAGAATCCGGTCTTTTATCTCCCATGCTGCCTCAGATGGAATGTTTGTGAATTGCTTAATTCTTTCAACAGAAACCATCCGATTTTCCACGAAGCAACTCATGTATATGGCCCAAAATAGCACACCATTGAGGGACAATCCGTACGAAAGAGATAATCCAACATTCTCTACATTATTAAAAAGTCAGTTAGTCTTATTAAAAAAATTTAGAGGAACCAAATTGAAAAGAAGTTACATATTTGAAGAGCCAAATGTCTGAGAAGTGTTGCATATGTAGATACCTGGCCTTATAATACTGCTAGGTAGCACAATCAAGAACATAGCAGACATGCAGAGGATAAAGCTCCCAATAAGTTCCAGACGGAAACCCAACCACTCATTTGATCCATTGTTGTGAAAGTCCATGCGCAGGTTGGCATTAACTCTGTTAACATTTTCCTGAGCGAAACTATCTTGCTTTCTGAAAGAACGAATTGTCATGACTCCTGAGATGCTTTCTGAGAAGTGATGAATAATAGGAGCTTTGGTAATTGAGTCAAGGCGAGTTAATTCTCGAGATGTTGCAAGAAAGTATCCCTACAACACAAGAAATGAAGAAATCATCGCTAACTTGGCAAATAATTTCCAATATATATAGGACTTTGCTTTCGGTCAAATAAAGAAAATCACAAACAATTATGGTCTAGAAGATCATGTGAAGATCCACTTATTTATGAGCTATCTTTCCTTAATATGAAATAGCAGAGAAGAAATATAAACTTCATACCCTGTACCAGATGTTGAGCCAACCAAGTGGAATTAATAAGAACACCGTTGGCCAAGCATATTGACATGTAATAATGATAATGCTGAGCAGTGTTATGTACATGGCAACTGTAATGCTCAAAACGAAAGGAATGAAGAGGTCAACATTAGATTGATCAGATGATGCCTGAAAAGAAACAGAGAAAAATAGAAAAAATTGTCATCAGCCTGAGCATCTTCAACCGACAAGCAATACAAAATGAAGTACAAGGATCAAGTCTTTTTATATTTACCCGACTTAAAATTCTTCCTGATGGTGTGGTGTCAAAAAATGACATGGGAGCGTGCAAGATACTATAAAGAATACCAGTAAAGAAAATTTGGGCTGTCCTAAGCCCCATAACTGTTGTGAAAAAGGCTCTCATTGTTAACAGCACCAATGAAGCAGCTGCAATAATTGCATAGACAGAAATGAAGCGAGAAGGATTGAAAAATGAAGACCGTTCACTTGAAGTTTCATATGCCAACCAATAATCACCAGCCATTAGTGATGCTTGCCATATTAAGGACAATAACAATGCCGTTGTAACCCCCCACCATCCAAAAGCTGCGGTGCAGTATTGCTTATACACATTCAGGCCTACTCTACCAGTTTCTCTTTCTTCTTCCTCAATGAGTTTTGCTGTTCCTTTATGTGATGCAGGTTGATCTACATGTCTGTTTTCACCATTGGCTTCATGATTGAAGGGGGCTTGAGGAGACATTGGTGGCTTAGGAGAAGTTTCACCAGTCATGGTGGTACCAGCTTCTACAAGTTCCATAGCAGTTTCATGAGCAGCCACTAGTGCACCAAAATCCAAGCCAGATGCCATTAGATCATTGTACTTTCCTGACTGTACTATCATTCCATCACGCATGACCTGGCATCAAGAAACCTCTTGTCAGAAATTACAAATTCATAAATATATGTGTTTGTGTATGAAGGAGAGAAAGAGCCAAATAAAGGCACTTACCATGATAAGATCAACATTATGCAAGAAGTCAACTTGGTGCGTTACAAGCAAGATAGTCTTCCCCTTCAATGCTCCTCGGACGCATTGCTGAAAATGAAATGTATATATATATTTAGTTGCCTGTCCAATTTGCCAGCATGAATTATACAGAAACTACAAATTTCACTTCCATGGAATATTCAAACTTGAACGCAAGTAAATACACTACATATGTTACCTTAAATATATCAGACCCAGTATGTGCATCAACAGCACTGAAAACATCATCAAGAAGGTAAATATCGGAATCCTGATAAACAGCTCTGGCAAGCTGTATCCGCTGCTTCTGCCCTCCGCTGAGGTTAATACCACGCTCTCCAATCTCAGTTTGATCTCCATAATCCATCATTTCCAAGTCTTTATCCAAGCAACATACCCTGATAATTTCTTTGTATTTTTCTGTGTCCATTGGCAAACCAAATAAGATGTTCTCTTGAATTGTTCCATTTTGAATCCATGATGTTTGAGCAACATAGGCAGTTGTTCCACAAACCCTGACCTATTGAAGGAATAGAAAACAACTTCATAAAAACAAAACACGGAAGTAACTAAAAATATTCAACAGCTTCATTTAATTTCCATTACACTAATGAAGAACACCTAAACCAGAGATATAAGAAAAGGTCAAGTTTCGTGATTTTTGGCTTCGTGAACCATACCTTTCCGGATATCTTGTGCATCTCACCAAGAATTGAAGCAAGAAGAGAGGATTTCCCAGAACCGACAGTCCCAACAATAGCAGTAAGCTCCCCTTTCTTGATTTCAACATTTATATTTTTTAAAACCTCATTGTCACTTTTTTCATCATCCCAGCTAAATGCTCCATCTTTAACCTCCACAGCAATTCTACCATTACAACCCTCCACTCTTTCCACTGAATGCTCCTCCAATTCCTTACTCAACATGTACTTATCCAATCTTTCAAGAGATATCATTGCTTGGGAAAGTGAAATCAGAGATTGTGGAAAAGTCCTAATAGGTTCTTGCAAGATTTTAAAGATAGATGTGGTTGTAAATACTGTCCCTGCATCAAGTGGCACTCCTAACAAAAGTGCCACACCAAATGTGACGGTTGATATTAGTAATGGTGTGCACCACATGACAATAATGTTGCCAGAAATCGAATACATAAACTTGGAAAGCCAACTAAATTCAGATTCTCGAAAATTTTGTATTCTCTTATTGAAGTGTTCTTCCCATGCCTGAAACTTAATCACACGCATATAATTAAGCATCTCATTTGTTGCTTTCATTCTGGAATCACGGTTTATCATCAGATTGAATTGGAATCTATTGTTTCTTTTAGTTCCAAAGACAGCAAACACAATAACACCAGCAATTCCAATTAGAGCAGCAATAACTGAGATTCCAAGGGCATTATATAAGAGGACTAATGCAACAGTAACTTGCAATGGCATCAACCATATAGAATGTAACTGTAACATCATATCAGAGAGTTGCTGTGCATCAACTGCCATGTAATTCACAATCTGTCCAACTCCATGCGCTTGGCGAGCAGAACATGATAATCTTAGCCCCTTCTTGTATAAAGAAGTGACAAGAGTAGAACGAATGAGCATTCCAAGTTTTTGAGAGTTGAAGTTAAATTGATGAGTACTTAGAACCTCAACAAATTTTGCAGCAAGCAAAATAAGGACAAGGTAGCATCCTTCATAAGGGGAGCTTCTTTCGCCAGCAGTATAATCCACGAAACTTTGAATCAGAATAGGCCCAACATACATTACACACAGCCTAACGATTGCAAGAAAAGCAGTGAACGCAATTTCCCTCCAAAAACATCTCAACAATGTAGTCCTAACTGGATGCTTTGATTTTTCATGAGGTTTAGGCCAATTAGAAGCAAAAAGATTAGACATTCTTTCTGCTCTGTGTTCTGGTGAAAGAGTTGGAACATCATCTAACTTTAGAGGAGATTTATACCCTTTACTCAACAAAGGATTCATCCAAAGCCAAAAGGTCTTAGAAAATTTTGACGCTGAAGCATATCCACTTGCATTTAATTTACCCAAAGGAGCTTCATATGATTTGTCTTCGTCATCATTTAGTAGTAATGGTTCAGATTCTCCGCTTACTATAATCCCAGTTGACCCTTTAATGGCAACAGAAAAAAGGACAATGGACAAAGGAAAAGCTGCTATCGTAACAATATCATCTAATATTAGATTTGTCTCTTGAGACACTAAACGAATAATCCCAGATGACATAAAAAAACTAATTATAATAAAATTTGCAACCCAGAAAATTCTAAGAGAAAATGGATGCGTGATAGCTTGAAATCTTTTCTCATGAATTATCAAGATTGCAATTACTGCTTGAGTTATTGCTTGAACCAACCAAAAAAACCCGTTAACTAGTTTCCATGGCAATTGCGTGGTTACACCGAATGCAAGAATGCACGTAACAGTATAACCAAATGCCAAAAGTACTGTCACAACCAAACAGAGCTTAAACCAGATTGTAGTTTGAATAATATGAACCCTGTTGTGTCTAATGAGAGGCTTGTTAATGTCAGAGCTGGATTGGCCAGTAGAAGTGAATCTTGAAAGGAGCTTGTGAAGCGCGAAAACAAGAAGAACAAGCAATAACAGAAGGTCAGCTGAGGATAGTAGAACTCTTTGAGGACAAGGAGAGAGGAAAATGAATCTTAGCCATTGAAATATCAATGGAAGGTATTTTTCCCCAGAAGCTTCTACCACAGAGCTCGAGCAAGAAAGAGAGGTGATCCATGGCGGAGAAGAAGACATTTTTTATAAAAATTTAACAAAAAATCACTGTTCTTGCACTGATCAATCTCCTTCCTCGCGCTCTCTGTAAAATTTAAACCCAAAACAAATAAATAAAATATTTCTATGAACATTAATTCTGTAACGGGACGTGATAAATACTCTGATCATTAAAACGAAATGGACCACCAGGTTATAATGAAAAAGCATGGAGCCATTATAATCGTAGAAAGGAGAAAATTATAGCCTGATATTAACTCATTGATAAGATAATATCTAAAGAAAAATAAACAAAAATCCACAGAGAAAAGGGAAAAAGCACTAAACCCAACGGGATGGCGGATGGCCCCATTAAAAGGGCAAATGACAATCACATGCATATTGTGAGCAAAAAAAATGGCAGAAATAATTGAACCTTTCATTTTCAAGCATTTTCACAAGCTTTTAAACACCCGGAAATCAGGAGACAGAAAGCTATAAGAGAAAGTAATACAAAATTATTGTTCTATTAAATCTTTAAACACTCTCAAGTCACGGATTTCCACTTCCAAGAGTATTTAACATATCGATGAGCTAAAAAATATGAAAAAATTATTAAAAAGTCAATATTCTATATCATCAGGTCAACGAAATGAGTCTTTTGGGTCAACGAAAAACATGAAGTGAAAAACTATTGCAATTGCAGAGTAGGGATTGTGTATAATTTTCAAAATAAAACGAGAAAATATAAATATGAATATAAATAATCTATCTATATACATATAGAAAATCCTCTGGACCAGGGTAAGTTAGGCATATATATTGTTATTTTGTTCTAGAATTAGAGAGGCTGAAAACAACCCAGAAACTATTTCTTTAATTAACAACAGGACACAAAAAATAGGCATGTTAATTAGAGACAAAAAAAAAAAAAAAAAAAAAAAGAGTAGGGATTGTGTATAATTTTCAAAATAAAACCGAGAAAATATAAATAGAATATAATAATTCTAATCTATATACAATATAGAAAATCCTCTTGGACCAGGGTAAAGTTAGGCATATATATGTTTGATTTTGTTTCTAGAATTAGAAGAGGCTGAAAACAACCCAGAAACTATTTCTTTAATTAACAACAGGACACAAAAAATAGGCATGTTTAATTAGAGACAAAAAAAAAAAAAAAAAAAAAAGATAAACAGGCAAAATGCCTAATAAAAAAAAAAAAAAAAAAAAAGATAAACAGCAAAATGCTATAAACAGCTAAAGAAAAAAACAGAAAAAGATACCAAAACAACAAAAACGATAACAATTCTTAGAAAATGATTATACTTAAAACCAGAGAATAAGCACAGACAACTTTTGCTCGTACTGAAACATTTCTGTTCCAGTTAATATCCAGAAATAAAATAAAACAGAAAAAGAAAAAGGAAGCAGAAGCATATGCACCGCCGTTAACTTCACTTACCTCCACCGCCGGACCAATAAATACGGAAGTTTGGCTCGAAGCTAGAGAAGAGGAAGAGAGCGAGGTGCAGTATAATGGAGAGGTTAATGAAGTTTCACATGGCAGTAGATATAGGGACAGAAGAAACAGCTTTTCCTTTCTCCAGGAAGATATATATGGAGAAAAGAAAATCTTTTATGTGCCACAGAAACAAACACGGACATATATAGATAGGTACATCAATAGGATCACAAATAGAAATAAAAATTACAGAGTTGTCTGTTTTTACGTGTTCCTTCGTTTCTCGAATTATTTATTTTGAAATTTTGATTTGATTATTGTGTGTGAATTAAAAAGCTTGGCGGCTTGTCAATCAATGTCCGTAATATTGGATGAGTAATTTAATCCAACTCCCCTACAGTCTCGCGTGAGAGGCACTCGCTAGATCAAACGCATCCAACGTGTCGTGTGCATCCTACACCAAATACATTGCACTTTTAAATTTTAATAACTTAATTACACGTGTTTATTACAAATAAATCTAACTTTTTTTTATTAAACCTAATCATTTAATTTTAAAAAACAATACATTAACATTTTTTTTTCTAATTAATACCTTTTTTTTACCACCATCCCACTGTAAATATCATTTAAAATAATTATTTTATGCTGCTTCATTTGTTATTTTAAAAATTTGAAAACATAATATTTTTTTTCAATTTTGTTTCTATTGTTTGATATCTCTATTAAATAAATATTAATTATTTTAGAAATTGATGAGAAATAATTCAATTATTTATTTTTAAAACAATGTTTTTTTTCTTCTCATACAACTATAAGAAGTAAAAAAATTTAATCAATCTGTATTTGATTGGCAAGTTTTAACTTATTCAACTAATAGGAATATTCTAAGTTGATTGGTCAATGCATTGTTTGAACAAATTGATTCAATTAATGAAAGTGAAGGCAAACTTGTTAGGTTCGCGCAAAGAGACAGCTAACACGCTAATACAATTTCTGTTTAGTTAATTTTGACATTTTTAATTTTTTTTATTCCACTTAAATGAAACTTTTATAAAATTAAAATAATATTATCTCCGTCCTAAAAAATAATCTAATTTTTATTTTCACATAAATTAAAAATTACATTTAAAAGATAAATTTATTTATATAACTTTTCTATTATGCACATTTTAAATAACACATAATTATTGAAATAGTAACTAATAATTAATGAGGGATATTAAAAATAAAATAATTTAATAAGAGTATAGTAGACAATTTAAAAATTAATTACAATGAAAAAATGAAAGTGGACTATATTTTAGGACAAATAAAAAAAATGGACTATTAGCTATTTTATTTTAATTTTACAGTTATTTAGATATTTTTCACTGAATATGAATTACTTTTAATTTTCCTATAATTGATATTGTTCAATTATTTTATTGATTATTGTGAAAACTCGAAAATTATCAAAATAGATAGTAATAAGAATTTAAAAAAAAAAAAGTTTTAAAATCTTTTTTAAGAGGAGAAAAACCTAGCGCGCCTTATCGCATTGCCTAATATAGTAAGATTGAGTCCCTATATGAGTGAGATAGAGAATCGTGTAGCCGGAGTTGCCACGTCTACACCGCGGCCCCTCGCATCTTTTTTCAATAAAAATTATTATTTACCAATCTCCAGTTGACCCATAAATAATTATGAGTTTCTTTTTTTTTTTTTTTTTTTTTTTATTGGGAGGGGTTGGAGGGTGTTGAATATCACCTTCTCCTTCCTACTTAACCACATAATTTTAAAAAAGGTACAACTGTAATTTAATAGATATTTATTTCCTTCTGACAACGAATTAAGTCAAAATTCCTGCCTTTCTTTTCCTCCTTTTTTTTTTTTTTTTTTTTTGAAAACAATTATGAGTTTCTATATAATTACATAATCAAGCAATAAAAAATTTCTATACAAAAGTTTCATTTTATTTTGGTTAATATAATTCATTTCAATAAAATGTACTTCACATAAATTAATGTTGAAGTGATAAATTTTACTTGAATTTTATTGTTTAAAATAATCAAAAAAATAAATTTTGTAGTCTTATAAATTTTTTGAAATTGTTTTTTCAAACAAAACATTTTTACAAATAAATTACTATTATTTTGAAAATATTGATCTCCAAAGGAGAATATTGGAACGAAAATAAGCTGATTGACCCAATGAATGAAGGCTGTGGCTGTGAGAGACTATGGCAATACTGAGAGAAAAACATAACGCGCCGTATCATTACGTGCAATTCGACGAATTTACAACCGCCTCTGATCGTAAGACAGACTTCCCTGAGACCAAAGCTTACAACCACCGCCCCTTACATTTTATTTATTTTCCACTTGTTAATGGCTTCCGTATCTATTGAGACCAGAGCTTCCGTGATTTTTTGAAAGAAAACAAATAAACAAATGCAGATCAGCAGAATGTTTTCTCCAATTTAAAATAATCATATTTTTGTTTTTAGAATAATTTTAGTTCTTAAGATATTAAATTGATGATATGAATAAGAGAAATTATAAAATCAATCAAGTTGAGAAACATGATAGGTTAAAATGGTATTTTCATTTATTTGTTTGCTAGAATAAGTGAATCTAGTCTTGGACAAATTCATAATTTGAACTTTCAACTTGAATAGTCGGAACTTGGACAGCAAGAAAAAATAAATAAAAAGGTATTTTTATATTTCTAGTGTTGGAATTGTATGATTGTCTGTCTGTTTCCGTGGAATTATGAAATCCATTCCGTCGTAATCATTTAAAGAAAATTTTTTTTTCTTATTTTTTTTTCTTTTTTCTGAGAAAAAAAAAAAAAAAAACACAAACAAAATCCATCTTCTCAAATCACCTGCTACTCAATTATTGCATTAATATTTCCAGGTTGTAAGTTTCATTTTATGGTCGTGGTCGCTGGCCCACTGTCATTACAGTAATTTCACACTAGTAGTAGAAAAAAAAGACACGTTTCCTTGCAATAATTTTAATGTTAGAATAAATTATTAACAATCAATCAAGTAAAAACTATTACTGCCTCCGTCCCCGATTAATAAACACAATTTTCTTTTTTACTACTCTAAATTATGGTTCACTTCCTATTTCAATTAGTTAGTGAACATATCAAATATCTATTATATTTATATTTAATATTATTTGTCAAAACAATTTTTTTATTTACCAAGTTTAGTCAATTTCTTTGTTTTTGTTATTGGTGCTGTCTCCCTATTTCGAGATTTTTTTTTTTTTTTAATCTTCATTGTGGGGTTTTGATCCTTTTTTTGCAAGGTATTAAATAAAAATATGATATTTGATTTTATTTAGTTAGAGACTTTAAATATTAATTTATAAATGTAGATCTTTGATCAATACTTTACTAAGCATTGACACATAACAGCGAAAACTCATATGTATTTATCATATATTATAAATTTTTGAAAAAAACAATCAAGGTATAGAAAATTTAGAGAAATTATTATTTTAATGTTCAAATTAATTAACGAATTAATTGGTACTATAATGATTTATATTTTTTATCAAGATCATCTTCAAACAAAAATATCTATTATAATATATTTTAATTTTAATTTTGTTATTCAAAAGAATATAAATTCTTTTGGTTTATTAAAAAGTCAAAAAACTTTATTAACTACTGAAAATAAATATGAATATTTGTAATTTTTGATATTATTATTAATAGATTATATTTTTTAAAAAATTAAGTTTAATCAATGTAAAAAGTCAATAATAAATTAACGAGTATATCTCACATTAAAATAAAAGTATAATAAAAAAAATACATACACATTTACATTTCTAACTAAATAACTAATTTTGTTCTATGAAATAGAAAGAGTGTCTAAAAAACACGAACGAGGGAATATAATTTTTTTCATTTAATCACTTAGGGTTATTTGCCTAAATTTATTTAGTCTATAGATTCACTTTAAATCAAATCAATAAAAATAATTATTTAAAAAAAATAATATCATTTATTTTTTTCAGCATACGATCTGAAATAATACTTGTTCGAAAATTTTTTTTTTTCGATTTATTTACACGAGAAGTAGCTTCATCGAGCTAAGCTTTAATCTCGGTCGCCTTAAATCATACCCATAAAAAAAGAAAAGCACTTTCCAAATTTTTTTTTTTTTTTCATTCATAAAAATAGAATCTTAACCTCTTAAATAAAAATACAAGTTAAACGAATCAAAACGGGAGGACTCCGGGGTTGGGATCTCAAGGGATCATTGCCGCAGGACCAGTATTATAGTCCTTGGGCCAATGAAAAATAAACACGCCAATAAAAAAATAAATAATAAAATTTATGGATAAAAATACAAAATCCGTCACAAGTGACGTCAGCCCTTAGACTAAACTGGAATTGACCCGGAACTAACAAAGTCCAACTTTGCTTTTTGTAATTTTTAAACAAAAGGAATGCACCTAGTGGTTGTTGTTTAGCAGGAATTCCCATACATAGATTGATGGTACCCGACTTGCGGATCTCAACATTTTTAAAGCAAATAGACAATAATGCACTCCACTACAAAACCCCGAAACATCAATAAAGCGGATACCACAAAATTCTTGTCATTACTCAAATAAATGACCACTGCACTGACGGCATCACTCAAATAAATGACCACCGCACACTCCTCCGTCAAATATAATATATTAAATAATTTTATAGAATAAAATAGAATAAGATGAAGAGATGGATTTGGGTTGGGATTGTAAAATATTTTGAATTTGGGTTTTTTCTAATCAATGAGACAATTTGTTAGTGTACAAAATCTGTGAGTATGGGTAACAGCAAGAGAGCAATTCAATAAGTTTTGGAGAGTGTCATTTTCTTTCTTTGTACAATTGCTGCTAATACGTTGCGTTTTTGACTTATTGAAGTGGCTGATTCTGGTCGGCCTTGATTGGATGTAGTTAAACGTGCTTTTCGTAACCATTTGTAACGTGATTACGATTTATTTGTATAATTAAACTAAAAAGTTGGTTTGATGGAGTTTAGATTGGTAAATTATATGAATGACTATCTAATTTTTGTAATTAATTTTATTTAAGTCACCTAATTTCAATTTATCATTTTCTAATCTTTCGATTTTAATTTTTATTTTAATGGGAGGTCATTTGTTGGAATCCAATAATCAGAACAAAAATATAACACTGAAAATTACATATATCACAAAAAAAAAAAATCATGATTGAGAAGGAATGTAAAAAAATAAAAGAAAACTGCTAAAATAATATAAATTATAGAGTGAAAATATTCTCTTTTATTTTTTAAAAACTCGTTTCATAAATAAATGAAATTATTTGTTAATAAAACTAATAGGTAGATTCAAAATTAATGTATTAGGAGAAAATATGAATTTTTTAAATAAATATTTTATTTTTAGTACCATAATAATATTTTGGATGATGATATTCTAGTGAGTGACCACTCGTTGAAACAAATATCAAAGTTTAATAACTAAAAATGATAAATTAAAATTATGTGACCTTATAAAATTAAGTGCAAAGTTAGTTTACCATTAGTGTAATTTACCTGAGTTTAGAGATGAAATTTGAATAAGAAAAAATATTTTTTTTATTCATGGGAGACCGTCAATACAACAAGAAGTGTAATATTTTTTAATTAATTAAATCGACTCATAGTCAAGAAAATTTAAATTTAATGGATAATATAAATTATTAGTGTTATTAATTTCATAATTTAAAATTTTATATAAATAGTTTATATATCATTTTGGCGTCATTCATTTGGAAGTATGAAAATTAAGATATGGAAAGTAACAAAAAAAAGGTGGTGGAGAAGTGAAAGCAACAAAAAGGGTAAAGATTTGCTTAGGGCTGACAAAAATGTTACGTGAGAGATTAAAGTTGTCTTATAAGTTAGTTAGAGGTTTATGAACTATGAAAACAGATTTGGCAATAATATAATTAAAAAGGAAAAAGGAGGACTTGAATTTAATTGTAGCATTCGAAGTACCATGGCAGTTGGTGGTTGGTTCGGTTTGAAGTAATAATCAAACTAAATTTAAAGTGATGGCTTAAAAAAAAAAAATCAAAATCAATCGATATCAAAAACTTCAAAATAAATTAAACCTTTAATGGTGGTTTGAATATTTTAATGGTCGTTATCCGTTTATATAGCTAAAAAATAAAAAATAAATAAAAAAAAATGAATTAATGCAAACTACGACATGAAATGATATGATTTTAAGTAATTGTTTGCGGTCTTAAAATTAATTTTTTTTTTTACATTTATTTTAAGTATGGTCTAAAAATATTGTATATTCAATAAGACGTTAATTAAACAACTTGTATAAATATAGAATTGAAATATTGATTTTAATTCAACATTTATTACTAAAAAAAACTACAAAAATATATATGGTTTTGCTCAAGTACAAATTTGTATATAACATGTACTAATCTATTTTCCATCAGTCTTATAAGAATTTTTATAAAATAGTAATTTTATAATTACATAATTAATATGAATTATAATTTAATTCTAATCATTATGAACTAATTCCATAATTTATTATCCAATATAAACTAATCAACGCATAGAAAATTTTCATTCAAAAATTGAGTGTGTATATATATATATATATTGGTTTGGTTAGATTAAGATGATTGTAAATTTAAAATTATAAATCGAATCAAAATATTAGTTTTTAAATTTTACAAACAAAATTAAATTATTAATTTTTAAAATTGCAGTTTTAAATCAATTTAGATGGATTTAAATTGGGTCCAGATACCTTTTTTTCCGCCGACACAACTTGAATTGTCTTACTCTAATAATATCTCTTTGTTGAATTGTCAAAGATGGAGTTTCTTCATAAATTCTAATACTTGGAACTTATTGGATAAAAAATCTAACTTTTGAATAATAAACCTAATGTCTTTGTTTGCATCCGAAGAATATATATATATATATATATGCTCGAGCGCGCAATGCATAACTTAATTATAAATGTATATATGACCTGACAATATATTCAGTTTCGAATCTACTATTACTCAATACTAATATATGTATATAATTTTTTCCTAACAATTATCATTTCATCTTTTATTATAAAAATTTTGAAAATTCATTATTTTTAGTTTTGTTTTCTTTTTTGTGTGTTAGGATTTAAATGAATTATGAATCAAATCTAAAATTTTCTCATAAAAAAAAAATCTAAAATGTTAACTATTACTATAGAGGATCTTGTTTTAATTTTAGCACCTAAATGTTGATTGGATACTTGTTTGTGAATTTGGTATCTATCATATTCTATTGGTGTTTGGTGAATATTCCAAATAAAAGAATTCAGTTCTTCTCTTACCTTTCGAGATGGAAGTTTGTGAGAGAAAAGGCAGGTGAGATACTCAAACCAGTTATTGCAAACAACTTTAACATGTCTTCAAATCAAAATACAGTAAATTTTCAAATGAAAATACAGTAAACTTTGTTCTATCGTGGGAAATTTATGATCTTTTCCTTTAACCCTTGTTTGAAAATGAGAGAAAGGAAAATATCGGAGGAAAAAGAATAATAGACGAAAATGATCAGTAATTGTCAATTTGTTTTCTATAGTTACTTTTTACCATTGTGTTTGGATATAATAAAGGAAATAAAATAATTTTCCTTCTTTTAGAAATGATAAAATTTTAAAAGAAATAAAATATTATTATTGAAAATTGATAATTATGTCCTTGCTTAAATAATAAAATATTTAAAAAATGGTTAAAATTTATTAATTAATTACCGAATTTGATAATTTATTAAAACTGAGTCAAATTTTAACTTTCCTTTTTGTCTCTCCAAATTAATAAGCGCGACCAAGATGTATCACTTTTTAAAATTAAAAAAAAAAAATGGAAAAAATCAAGTTATTTATTCAATAATATATCAATTTGAATAATGATTAATAAAAATTAAGGAATTAGCCAGGGTTATTGAAAACAAAATAAAAACTTGATGAAGATATAATAAACAACCTAAAGATCAACTATAATGTAAAAAAATAAATAAAGTGTAATTAGTAGACTATATTTTTAAAACATACCAAAATAAAAAGATGAATTGTAATTGTTTTTTTAGAATGGAAGGAGTATTATTTTTCTTTTCCGAATATATATATTCAAAATGTGAAATATTTTAGAAGATACGAAAATTTAAATTATTTTGATTTTATTATATTCAGATCTATAAAATTAAACTCGTGAAATTTAAATTTTTATTTTTTTACCAAAATTAAATTAAATTTATAAATGAATTCTCTAAAATTTTATGAAATTCTTTTCTTTCAAAAAAAAAAAAAAAATTCATTTATAATAAATTAAAACACTATATATGATTGAATGCTTATTCTCATAATTTTTTTCTAAATTAATAAATAATGATAAAATTCAAACGTTTCAATTAATTAAGTTCAGGAACGTATCCAAAATAGGAATATTGGGAATAACTGTCCAATAAATTGTTTTCGCATTTTAATATATAGTTCTTTACATTTTATTATATATAATTACAGTAACTTAAATTTTCTATTTAATTATTACTATCTTTTATCCTCGCGAAACAGTAGTAATCTTTTTTTTACCTTATTCCCGCTGAATATATTCTGAATTGGTCCCCGATTGAGTTATATAATCCTAAACTTTTTTTTTTTTTTTTTTTTTTACTCACATGAAACCAACAATAAGACAATAAATAAAAATTCTGACAATTCTTTTTTCAAAAAAAAAAAAAAAAAAATTAAAAAAAAAAAAAAAAAAAAATTCTGACAATTCTGCTTACCTGAACTTCCCAGTTCCCACCAATTAAATTGGGTGCTGGCATATCATTTATTATCATTGTTTTATTGCTAATTTATTAATCATGCCATCAAAAATTTATTTATTTTCCTTGTTTTGTCATTTCTTAATTTATTTTTCCGCTTTTATCCAAAGACAGTGCACGTGAAAGCTATGATTATTATGGACCTACTCGTTCTTTACAGCAGAGTAATTTTCATTTTTTCAAAATTCACTCACTCTACTTAACGAGTACCATGGATAATATTGAATAATTAAAAAATTATTATTATTATTATATAAGAAAATATATAAAAAAGGACATCATCATGAATTAGTTTTTCAATCACGGAAGCAGTCAACTAGAAAGGGCATTTCTTGCCGCTTCACATTCTTTATTTTCCCCATTAATTTATTGAATAATAAAATAAAATAAAATAAGTTAGAACGGAAGACATTTATTCAAATTGCATGCTTTCATAATTCTATCATGATCTGATTGTATTCTCTTTTACTGAGATGATATGCTTACTGTGGGGGCCAAAATAAAATCTTCTTGAAAAGGAATATACTTTACGGAATGGATTGCAAAAATCATTATTTGTTTGTTGAAAGTTAGGACTTGCTGTAATGAATATGGTCGTACTACAAATTTGCTATTATTGAAACTGAAATAATTATTTATTTGAATATCGTTTTAAATTTTCTTTAAGAAAAAAATAATTTAAAATAATTATTTTCATCATTTTAAAAATTTTCCATTAGAATAAATAAAATTTCACAGTAAAAAATAATTCATTTCAATCAAAACAATGTAATATAAAATTTTGGATTGAGGAAATTTCGTATTATGTTTGAGAAAATAAAAATTAAGAATTTTAAGTTCCATCAAAATGGTAAAAATGGTTTGTTAGTATTTTAACTGGGGTTTATAGCGCTCCTTTTAATTAAAGAATGGTAAAATTGAGGTAAATCATGTAGTTTAAACTCCTCCTTTCGGTTTCAGCCCATTAGGTCCACTAATACTGGAGCGATGAATCATCCAATTGCTAAACCAATACGCAGCCCATTTATTAGGTGACTCGCACCATCTGATTTTCTGATTTTTTAGGCCATCCAAACATAACTGAGGCCCAGTCTAAAAGTATGCTAGTTAAGGTCCAAGCTTCGACTTTTTAACTCGTACCTATAATAAATAAAAATTAACATTAAAAAAAGAAAAAAAAAAAAAAAAAAATGCTCACGCTTTATTTCTATCTCTGCCTATAAAATCTCCCACGGTCAGTCCTTTGCTTCTAGTTTGTCCTGTGCTTGCTAGGGTTTATAACAGTTTTCTTTCCAATCCAAATATGAGGTAAGCTGCTCTTCTTCTCTTTAGAATTTGCTTCGATTCTCATAGTTGACCATTTGATTTCATTGATTCGCGCTCCGGCAATTTTTTTCTTTTTCATTTTCTTTTTTTGGGTCTTCTCGAGCGCTGGTTCGCTTGTATGTCTTGGTTTATTCTAATATTTGTTCTGTTTGGAGTCTGGAATTAATTGCTTTCAGGTGCTTTGATTTTCATTTGTGTTTATTCTCCCTTTACTGTGGAGGTTAACGGCGTAATCTTAAGATTTTCGTTTAGGGTTTATAACTTCTAGCTAGGGTTTACATTTTATCTGTACAGGAAAAGGGCCCGTGTATGTGTTGTATATATTTAATTTATATTTGCTGAAAGTGCTGTTTTCCCTTTGGGCTTTTCTCTATTTTTACTGTTAGTGTTGAGTAGGTACTGGGAACTGTGTGCTTTGTGCTATGCTAGTTCCAGTTTCGCGGATAGAGCTGACCTTTTCTTTACTCCTGAAAGAAATTAAGAAAGAAATGATTTTATATCTAAGCGGAAGAAATATGCTTATTGAGATTAGTACTCTCCTATTCTGACACTCTGTTATTTTCGCTGGTTTTGCTTTTACGTGACAATAATCTGTCTTTTTCAGTCGTCATCCTGAGGTGAAGTGGGCCCAGAGGGTGGACAAAGTTTTCATTACTGTGCTATTGCCAGATGCTAAAAATGCCAAGGTTAATCTTGAACCAGAGGGTGTGTTTACATTCTCAGCTAGTGCTGGAGCTGAAAACCACGTTTATGAACTGAAGTTGGAACTCTTTGATAAGGTTAATGTGGAGGTAAAATACGAACTGCTGACAGCTAAAACCTCTTTTGGTTTATCTGGACGTTTGCTTTGACTTATTGATGACTTATGGTTTGCTTTGCATTGACATTTGACACTTGAAAGAGATTTAGTTGTTGGGGTTAGCACTTCTTTACTAAAATCAATTATGGCATACTGTGTACATGTGTTGATTTCATTGGGGTTCCATGACCAGTTGTGTTTTCTCTTGGTTCATTTGTACTTGCTGACTGGGGAAACATTTAAACTTGTTTTTTTTTTTTTTTTTCCCTTTTCTCTATTTATATAATTCCTTTTATAATTGATACAGGAAAGCAAGATTAATATTGGGGTGAGGAGCATATTCTGCATTGTAGAGAAGGCAGAGAAAGTGTGGTGGAAAAAGCTATTACGTGGAGATGGGAAGCCACCACATTATCTCAAGGTAGATTGGGACAAATGGGTGGATGAAGATGAAGATGATGGTATTTGCCAGTCTTGTTCTTTCCTAAATGGCATATTGAATTTGTTGATGGATGATTAATGCTTATAATTTGGGATTTGCGTCTGGTTTGTTTAGGTGGCTTAGGTGGCAACTTGGACCTGGGAGGGATGGATTTTTCTGTAAGGATTTGTGCTGTGGCCTCTGTTTTGAATAGTGTTTTTGTAACATGTGATCATTGTTTTCATTGATGGATGTATTTTGCAGAATTTTGGTAATATGGGCGGCATGGGGGGCATGGGCGGCATGGGCTTGGGTGATGATGGTATGGGTGATTTTGAGGACAGTGATGATGAAGGTAAGAATGCTTTCAGATTTTCTTGCAAATACATTGTTACTTTTAACATTTTTTGGTTGGAAGAGTTGGTGTGGAGGTTAGAAGTTTTAACTAGTGATAAATGCATGTTAGAAATGGCTATTTTTGATGGCTGGTTAACTTGAATGTTGGAAATTTTAAGTTCTCAATATATTATTCTGCTGATTAATATTTTCATCTATTTATTGTTCTCTTGAATATATGTGTATACGTGTCATTTGTCATTGTTTGTTTTCTGATGTTCCTTATTAAATCTCCATATTATTTGTATTTGGAGAAGTTATTAATTTGTATTTTTATTGTAGAGCAAGAGGTGGCAAAGCCTGACACAGCAGAAGGAGCTTCAAAGCCAGATGAACACGGTACAGATAATGTAGAGGAGAAAAAGTAAGCTTCGCCAAGCCCAAAGCACTGAAGGACAAACAGAATTTGCTTTAAAAGCCAACAAATGGGGGTGTTGGTTTAAGATGTTGATTTACTGAAGGGATAGTTGTGCTTTCTACATTTTTTCGGTATCATGACTAGTTGAACGAGTGTCTTTTTTTTTTCGTTAGTTGAGTGGGAGTTAAAAATTTGCCTAGTCTTTAGATGCTTGCAAACATTCGTTTCTGCCATGTAGACATCCGAAATTGCTCCATAGCTTTAATGTTGTACTTTTTTAGTCATTCCTTCTTGAATGATTATTTTGAACTTAGATATCTGTTTTCATTGCTTTTGCCCCAATATTCTGTGGTTTGAGGACCTAATTTCCTCACACTGTATGTATGATTACGTTACTCTGGATAGAGGACGCGTGAGTTGTTTCTATTGGTTCGTCTTTCCGTTTTCGTTGATAGGAAAAGAGGAATGAATGGGAAATAAGCGGAGCTCTTGGTGGTTTGCGATATTTTATTGGCCTGGCCTGAACAATCTTAAATAACTTTAAAACAGAGGAAAAATTATGTTTAGAGAAATGTACGTACTTTTTGTTTGTGTTACTTTAATTTATGATCAAGAATATTGTAAGAAAACATTATGGTAATTCCAAAGTTCATTCTTGTATGTTATTGGAAATTTTTATCTATGGGAGTAGAGCTGTTTTTTTAGCAAAAAAATTAATTTAACTCGAATTGAAATTCAAAATTCAACTTCATGTATTAGACTGCTTTTATGTTAAGTGCATATCTAATTGAGAAAATAATTATTTTGTCCCTTGAGTTTTATAAAATTAATTAACTCATTTTCATGTCTTTGTATATTAAGTATTTAGTCATTGAAATTTGATTCTGTTGTGTTAAATGGTTTTTCAGTCCAATTTTAATGATTTTTGCAAAGATGAAAATACCCTTATAATAAGATAAAAAGTAAAGCACTATTTTTTTTTTCTTCTTCTTCATCTCTCTAACTCCCCATTCCTCGAACTATAGAAATTCAAATAATAAATAAATTTAAAAGTTAAAAGCATGGGTTAATAAAGGTAAAATTGGAAATCCAAAGGCAACATTCATATGAAAGATATAACTCTCTCCCACGAAATCATATAGACATATTTACTCATATTTATATATAATATACATGGGCAAATACATATATATACTTGCTGAGATGATTCAAATCTCAAATTGAGAAAATCCAATGGTGTTTTCCCCTTGCTGTCCTACTATTAGATAGAAGTGAGTTCAATTCTCCTTTCAATCCAAGTTCTTTCGTTACCGAAGGAAAAAGAAATTGAAAACGGTATATGATTTCCACATATGGAACGAACCGATGTGAAAGATAATGCCTCCTCAACGAACGACGTGCAGAGAGATATGTGAAAAGGTGAAAACGTGAGGGATAAATGGAGGTGAAAAGCGGAACAGATAACTCAAAGGACCCACTTAACCCGCTTCGTTCCCCTTTCCCCCTCCGTCAGGATCTAAACCCTCAATCAACTGCAGCGACTACCACCGGCTTCAAGCTCCTCCATCTCGACCATCACCGGCCATTGCTTTTGTTTCGCCGAAGCAGACCTTTGAAAAAAAATATAGTTTCAGAAGTGGGATTTAAGAGAGATGTCGTTAAAACAATATCTTTGAAAAAATAATGGTTGGAGAGATGCAGGGAGATACAACAATTTTAATAATTTTTTAAATTTATTTATTTATTTGAGTTTGTGTAGTTGCAGAAGTGGGATTTTAGAGAAATGAAGATGAAGAAGGATAGTGTTTAAATTTTCATATTATCATAAGAGTATTTTAGTCTTTTAATAGTTATTCAACGACAAAAACCATTAAAATTGGTCGAAAAGACCATTTAATACTATGCAATCAAACCTCAACAACTAAATAATTATTTTCCCTATCTAATTTGGTAAGCCCGAAGTTTTTTTATAATTTAACAAGATTCAAGAATGTATTGCCCAAGCAGCTTCCAAAATAAGATGAAAAAATGTACTTTGTAATAATTCAATAAAATAATTTCAACTGTAAATTGTAACATTGCTGGAAGGGATTTATGAAATGGAAATATATAGTATTTTTTCGTAATTTGACGACGCAGCATAAATTCATTGATGGTTTCCAAAAAACAAAAAAGTTATTGACAGTGAAAGTTGACCGCATAGGATTAAAACCCTAAAACCCTTGGGTCTGAACGTACGCCTGTTTTTCTTTTTTTCTGCTACAGAGTCCTTCCAATTAAGCAGACATTAAGGAGAAAAGCCTCATCGACGAGCAAAGCTAGCAGAGATGGAGGAGACAACGGAGATGGAAGTGGAGCATCCAAATCAAAATTTAATCAAGCGATTCGGACTCAAAAACTCAATCCAAACGAACTTCGGCGATGACTACGTTTTCCAAATCGTCCCCAAGTCTGCTTCCTAATCTTCAGTTCTTTACTTGTTTAGAGCAAGTTTCTAATTCTAGGATTAATTTTTTTTTAATTACGAAATTATAGGGATGACTGGACTTCAATGGCGGTGTCTCTATCGACGAACGTGGTAAAGCTTTATTCTCCGGTGACCGGTCAGTACCATGGAGAGTGCAAGGGTCACTACAGTACTATCAACGAAATTGCTTTCTCTGTTTCTTCGACTCCGCACGTCTTGCACGCTTGCTCTTCTGATGGTACCATTAGAGCTTGGGACACTAGAACCTTCCATCAGGTACTCTATTTCGAAGTGTATTTTATGTGGGGGTTAATTATTTGAATTGAAAATTTTTGCTTGATTATTTATAAAAATTTTAGGTATCTTGTATAACTGCCGGTTCTTCCCAAGAGATTTTCAGCTTCTCATTTGGAGGCTCTACCGATAATCTTCTTGCAGCTGGGACTAAATCTCAGGTTCTGCGATTTTGATTTCTTTGAATTGTTTTTAGAATTTTTAATTAGTATTTACTAGGATGTGTATAATGCGATATTTCTTTGGTGAGGTAGTGAGTGTCTTAGTTGCAGGATAAAAACTTGAGAGCATGATGTGCTGCCATCATCTGTTTGTTACAGACATTTTGATGTACAGCTTGAGTTTATATTGATATGAGTTCCTTGTTAACTCAGATACTTTTCTGGGACTGGAGAAATAAGAAACAAGTTGCGTGTCTAGAAGAATCACATGTGGACGATGTTACTCAGGTACTTTCGTTTATTGCAAATCTTGTTCAGTTTGATTTACATTTCTTTATTATTGCATTTACTTATGACTACTTTCAAAAGCAACTTGGTTTTGAACTTGAAATTAAATTACAGTCCAAAAGCTGTGATTTATTGGAATATCCAAGGGACCACCTATCTCTGCCAATAACAACACAGGAAAAATGAAGCCAACTATCTCTTCTCAATTACTGCGATGTAGTTGTAATACATCCAACAACATTATCACTTTCTGGCACTTAAACTAGACTACCTATGCTGTTGCATATCCCGTTTAGTTGAGCTGTCAGTCTGTCACTGACTTCCCCGTGAAGATTTGCCAAATTTATGTTTGTTTATAATTCTATATTTCTTTCAGATATTGTTGGATTTGTATTCATCCATGAAATATGGCCTTACACTCTATTTTGTTAACTGTATGATTACTATTAGGTTCGTTTTGTCCCAGGCCATCGTGACAAGCTTCTTTCTGCATCTGTTGATGGATTGATGTGTATATTTAATACTGATGGGGATATCAATGACGATGATCATCTGGAATCTGTAAGTGTTGACATTTTTTTTTTTTTTTTGTATATATTGATGCAATGTGATAAATTGGTTGGAATCATGTCCAATCAGGTGACATCTTGCTTGTCTTTGTTAAAACATCTCTGTCAAATATAAGGAAATGTCATGTTCTTCAAAATGATCTGTACTTAGAATTCCCACTTGACAATAACTGGTTTTGGTTGTGCTTGTATATTAAACTCTCATGCAATACGCTGGGAAACATCATGCTCTTTAAAATGATCTGTACTTAGAATTCCCATTTGACAATAACTGGTTTCCGTTGTGTTTGTATATTAAACTGATTTGCATTCTCATTTTCTTTGATCAAGCAGAGTTCTGTCCCTCCCTCCTCCCTCCTTTACCCTTCTGCTTTTTTTTTTTTCCCCCATTTTTTATATCATATAGTCTGCATACATTTTGTTTCGGCACTTGCACTAGTTTGTCACATGGATTCTATTCTGAGAAGATTATGCCGTGTGACCTAATATCAAGATGATAATAATTTTCTAAAGGTAATTTCTCATTGCATGGTGTCTTGCAAAACAATCTATGCTGAATTCCTCATATCACAGTATCTTTGTGCATTAATGTTTGAAGACCATACATTGTCTTTTATTTGATGAGTTAATATTAGTCTCTCACAACTGCTGTCTAGTCTTTTTTCTAGATATTTGATCAGATGAATTGGTAAAATCTTGTAGGTGATTAATGTTGGAACTTCAATTGGGAAAGTTGGATTTTTTGAGCAGAACTATCAAAAACTGTGGTGTTTGACACATATTGAAAGTTTAAGGTATCAGTTGATGTCTCTCTGTTTTTTTTTTTTTTTTTTTAAAAAAAAATTACAGCATTTGGGATTGGAAGGATGCAAGAAATGAAGCAAACTTACAGGAAGCCCGCACATTAGCATCCGACAGCTGGACATTAGATAACGTATGTTTCTTTTTTTTCCCCCCTTTGCTTATTGTATATGCTGCAAGTCAACTGTTTTCCTTGGCATTCTGTGAAATGTTTTCTCTGATTTATCATGACCGAGTTGTTTCATAACGCATAGTAGCTTTATGGGTACAAGAGTGCCGTGATCATGTTGCACAAACTCACATTCTCTATGCCAATTGTTTTTCTTTTCACAGGTTGATTATTTTGTTGATTGTCATTACCCAGGAGAAGGTGAAAGTTTATGGGTAATTGGTGGCACGAATGCTGGTGCTTTGGGTTATTTTCCTGTAAATTATAAATCGGGGGCAATAGGATCTCCGGAAGCAATTCTTGGGGGTGGCCATACAGGTGTTGTTCGGAGCATATTGCCCATGTCAAGCACAAAGGGCGGATCTGCCCAAAGCTTGAGCATTTTTGGATGGACAGGTGGTGAAGATGGCCGCTTATGTTGCTGGTTATCTGATGATTCTGCAGAGATTAATCGCGCCTGGATTTCAAGTGAACTTGTTATGAAATCCTCAAAGAACCAGAAGAAGAAAAATAGGCATCACCCTTACTAGCAGTATCTTGTACACTATTTTTTTTTGGCTATTTATATCGTCTCCCTTTATTTTTCAGATATAATGTTCTAGATTGCAGGCGAAGAGAATGTTACGAACTTCCACACTTTTTAGGTCTAAAGACATTGTGAATCGTTAGCATTGTTAACGAGTTCGAAAATGAGAACTCAAACTCCCTCTACCGCCTTGCTGTTGGGCACATAATTAATTTCTCCATATTTTGCCTCTCAAGGCTTGATCGTTGTAGAAAATATTCTTAACCATAAAATTCGTCATAGAGACCATTACATAGATAAGAATTTAGGATTGTCAAAGACTGTGCAACAGTACAGGTTGTCCTAAAATAAATGACCGAATAAACTAGTACTAAAGCTAAACAAGATAAAACACAAGTTCACAACAGAAGCTTCACAATGCTATGTCTCGAGAAATTTTAAGAAATCACCTACATTGGAAACGCAAAATAATGCCAATAATGAAGAGAATTAATCTGCCTCTAAAAGTAACATTTCAAACGCAAAATAACATTTCACAAGAAAGTTGGGCGCAAAATGCCTCTAAAAGTAGCAACTGGCCCAAAAGTGGCTGGCTCCGTATTTTTGCATCAGCCCCTTCCGCGTCCAGCACCTGTCACCAAAAGCAAAATGACCGTTATGATACGAGGCATCAACTCATTCAAGAGGTACACTTGAAATACTATGAATATGCTGATATGTTAAAATCAAGAGTTTATACACAGTACTGGCCAAAAGGTGTCCGCCAACATAAAAAAAATATAAGAATTTATTTTTTGTTTTGAAAAAATAATTTGAATATCTTGATCATCAGGCAATGGTGAAACAAATTATTGATGGACCACAATTGGTAGATAATCTACCAATTCACTCATGCACGGATAAGAGCTCTTTCTCAAGTTATATTCATCTTACACAATTTGAAACTTACCTCTGTTTCCACCTGTCTTTCCTCCTGAACCACCTCTGCCACGGCCTCCACCAGTGGCCTTAGCACCTCCATCATCAAGGCCACGCCCGATGCCTTTCACTGGTCTTCCACCATCCTCCCTACCTCTTCCTCTTCCACGTCCTAAACCAGGTGGCTTCCGGTCTAAAAAAGGTCAGCCAAAAGGATTTTATTTTATCTCGGAAGTGGAATAGTTAATTTCCTGAATGCAAAGATGCTTCTTTCAAAGTAGTACAACTTTGATTTCATCTTCTCATTCATAGAAGTATGATAGATAACCATACAATATAAATGAATATGTTAAAGCATACCTGAGCGGCTCTTGGTTTCTTCCTGAACTTTATCAATCACCTAAACATGAAGAAAGTTACATTATTAGATGAGCAACATAGCCCATTTAAGCATGGAAATGACACAAAGACCATCTATAACTTAGAAAAGCTTGCACTTTGAAACCAAAGATGAGTAATATCACTATACTCAGACGCTTCGTATGGTGTTTGACTTAAGCAGAAAGCATTCATATGTTTCTTTTTCTTCTTTCTATCATTTTTGGTGGTTAGTGGAGATTGGAATTAGAAATTGATCAAAATTCCACAAAAGAATCATTGTTTACAAAAGTGGAGGTAAATATTTTCTCGTGGCATATTGGAACTTGGTACACTTTCAATTGTACCCTAAGTAAAATGCTTTAATGATTGGGGAAAGAAATGGGGATAAGTGTAGCCTAAACACGCAGTAATTTACCTCATCAGGAACTCGAAGATACTTAATAGTATTCCCACGTATATAACATTCAGGCATTCGCCAAAACCTATCTCCATCCTTCAATTTCCAAAAAACAATCATCATTCGAAGAAACCCTTATTAAAAAGCATATTCCAGTAAAACAAAAACACACAAGGAGTAAGTTATGACAAGGGTACCTTAGAGGTACAGATGACTTCTCGGAGATGGATGTTCATCCAAGTATCACAATTGACCAAATGTCCATTGTAAGTCTCCCCATTTTTCAGTTCCACCAACTGTTACAACATACAATCACCATGAATTACAAGCTGCAGCAAAAAGAAAAAGTGGTAAAACAAAGTCCGCATTGCAGCTTTAAACATCCATATTAAGGTCAAATACGGCGAAAGTTTAGACTCTTACCATGGGGTGACCCTGTGCAGTCTTAAGTAGAGAAAGAGGAAGCTGCAATGAACAAAATCAAGTATCTCAATAAAGCTAAAACTAATAAATGGAAAAAATGGAAAAGAACCCTATTTTCGTGAATCTACTTCGGTAGAAATAGCTACCATCTTTTAGGGCACAGGAAGTGAACCCAGCGAACTCCAGCGACCTTACCTGCGACAAGCAAGTAAATCTACAAAAAAAAGAGAAAAGAAAGTTCCAAATCTTGTTCAGATCGAGAATATAACAGTGGAGACAACTCCAGGCTTAGGCTCAAAATCTTTCAGTTGGCCAAAACCTCAGTTTCGTGAGACTAACAGAGAACAAAACTAAAATCGTTAAACCCTAAATCCAGGAGGAGAGTAAGCCTAATTTGAAATTACCAAGTAAGGAACGTGTTTTCGATCTTTCCTCCCTCGTTCTTAAGCGATCGATTCGAGCAGGGTTTTCACGAGGAGACCTCCCTCCCTCCCCCTTCTTTTTTTTTTTCTTTGTTTTTTTTTAGCTTGTCAATTATTTTGAAGCCCTTATTTATATTTATCAGTGCAGACGGTGGGGGAGAGAAGCCGGTAAAGTTTTAAAAATAAATTATGTATTGAAATTCTAATAATTTTTAATTTTTCCTCTTATTTTCGAAAAAGTTTCATCCCTTAAATTACCCTTTTTTTTTTTTTTTTTTTGGTCTGTTTTTTTTCCCTTTTTTTTTTTTTTTTTATAGGTCTGTTGGGTAGCATTAAATTTAGGAATAGCAGGACAAACAATTTTCAATTCTTACATTACAATTAGCAAAACTTTATCCAAGGATGGAGTTAGGAAAGATTACTTGAAGGGATCAAACGAAGTTTTTTTTTTTTATTTTAAGAGTCAAATATAAATTTTTTCAATATTTTGATGGATTAAAATATAAATCTTAAAGGAACATCTACATAGCTCCGCTTCTGATTTTATCTATTCTGGCTTCTGAACATCACTAACAATTCTGAAAACACTTTGTATAAAAAATTCCTCAATGGTAAGTTTAGAAATTATCCACTGTCAAAATTTAAAGGAACCGAGAAAATATCCACCAACCATATTATTTAATGTTAACAAATATTATTAAACCGCTTTAAAAACTATTAAGAAAATAAAACCAAAATAAAAAATATAAATGTCAACTCAGCTTCATATACTATGACAAGTCAAGTTACATATAGCTATCATATATTTTTATAGATAGAGATATAACTTTATTTTAAAAAAATTCAATAAAAATATTCTATTTATTAAATGTTTAAAGAATGAAATAACTAAATGTTATATCACGTAACAAAAACCAACTGAAAATTTGAAGATTTCTTTAAAAATTAAAAAATGAAAAATCAAATGTGCAGTATGAGATAGACAACGTATTAACATATTCATCATTTCGTCCAAACACAAATATTAAAATATTTATTTAATTTCTCAGAGACTAAGCGCCACTGCGCCAGCTAGCCTTCCATTTCCATATATGGTCGAAAATGTTTTTGTTCCACCTAGCAACGGTAAGAGATTCAGCTGTCTGTAAAAATTTCCTTTTATCTTCTAACACTGGAGTGAAAAGTTTCGTTTAATGAAAAATACTAGGCCTATAGACAGGAGTTAGTCTAAATGAAAAAGACTCAGGGTTCTTAAATAAGAGTTGAGTGTTCAATCCCTAATATATACCTGGAACACCACCGCACTCAGCATTTCAAAAAGCCCGAAGCGCGATTTCATGAAATTGCTTTTTTGTACAAGCGTTTACAGTTTAATTACGCCAAAAAAATAATTTGATTGATCACAGAGGAATTCAGGGTTTCTATGCCTGTAATCTATCATAAAATTGCTGCATGATTTACTAGGTGTATGTACAATAAATTAAGAAAAGTTCTGGTTAGCAACTGTCATTTAAAGGGTCCATCACAATGTTCCATCATTTTCTTCTGATCTTTTGTAAATGGATGTTAAGTCTAACAAATGGCGCATCGTTGGCCTTCCATGGGGACAGTTCCATGGTGATTTTAGATCTGCCAAATGCTCCAGTATCTGAGAAAGGAATGCAGAACAGATAATTTAGTAAATTTTCACTTTTCTCTATGTATTCTGTAAAATGTTGATATCATTAAAGCAGAGAATGACTAGAATAAAGAGAAATAACATGCACATTAAGCTTTATCACCACTGCAACTAATGACCGAGAACACAGTCTTGAATTCAAAAGGTATTATACACATCTGCACTGTTGAGCAATATTAAGCTTCTAGTTGATTGATCATGTTTTGTGATGGGAATATTATCTTACTCTACGTAGAATACCTTTTGCATCTCATTCCTTCCTAGAGGATCTCCAATCATAATAGATGACCTGCATGCCCGTGATGCCAGCATTGCACGAACTCTTGATGGGCAGACAGAATCATGTGTGTCCATTTTGTAACTACCAATTATTGAGCAGTCCCCTTGACTATCGGCTAGCGTAGAGATCAAGTCCTTGACATCTGTTTCAAGCAAATATTAGTAATTCAACTTTTTCCATAATTATTCTAATACAGGATCATATTTAGCAGATAAAATTGAGAAACCACTGTCAATCTATTCTTTACCATGGAGTTGTAGAGCATTATATTTGTCTCAAGCGAAAAGGAAAAGGAAAAGGAAAAACGAAAAAAGAGGATTACCTTCAACTCCAAAAGTTATATTCTTACTAAAAGGGACAGCTTTTAGCTTAAATCGCTGCCCAGGTGGTGCATGAAGATCCTCTTCCAAAGCAAATCCATTTTTCCTGGTAATTGGAAATATAGCAGAACAAACACCACAATCATATAACAGCTGCAGAGGTTCAATTCTAAAATTACTAAAGAACAAAAAAAGATAAAAAATAAATGTGATGAAGCATGACAATCACCTGATTATATCCATGTTCATTGAAACAACTATTTCCTCCTCTGGAGATAAATCCAACCACAATGGCCTGCACACAACTCTCGAAGAGAAGGATCTCAATACGATGATCAATGAAGAGATTTTGGCATAAGAAAAGAAATTTGGAAGATTAAGACCTGTTAAGGTGGAAACAAACTGTTTTAATGTTTCATTTATTAAAGCTTTTATTACTTGTCAATCGGGGGATTGGGCCTATGAGTCAGTTATAAACCTATTTGGTGTTCATTTTCATTCTTCATGAAGTTTCGCAACCATTACAAGGGGAGTTTTAAGGTAAGAAAAGCACATTGGCTTTCAGATCAATGGTCTCACTGTCGAAGCACCAATTTTATGACAAGCCCAGTGAATATGGGTACAGCCGCATTGGTGATTATGAGACTCCAAGAGCCAATTCTCCACTTCACAGTTAAACAAGTGTACACCAATTCCTTTTAAAAAAGGTGCTCATAATCTTATAGTCGAGTTTTAGTTTGTTCCCAGCCATAAGCAGCAACAATCAATATAATGCGTACTTAGGAAACTGACATGCTTTCTTTTTTTGCATATTTCTTTATGGAAAAGCAACATAACATTGGCACGTTATGGTATCGTATATGTATATCCAGCACCAACTAACAGATTAACAAACATGCATAACTTGGAATTCCATAATGGGACAAAAAAATTGAGTTCTCTTCTATTAGTTTGTAGTATCTTCTCAGTGGGACAATTATATATCATTGTCTCATGCACATTCAAACCTTATCTTTTTAAAAGCAGAACAAGGAGAAAGTAAACTCAGAAGCATCAAGATAAATGCCAAACTTTATACAAGGGATACAAACTTAGAGCAAATAGAGATAAAAGAATAACAGGGAACACCTCAACAATCTAGAGGACAATTTTCTATTTATCTATTAGTTTTTGTCATCATTATAAGTTGGCAATAAAGAATGGACAATCTTATATTTCAGAAATTAAAAGAAATTCAAGAATGGTCATAACCCCTCACCGCAACAAAGGCTGCTGGTTCAAGATTGTCGATTGGCATAGCCGCTCAAAATTGTATTTCTCATCAGCAGCATGCTGAAAAGGGGAAAAAAAAAGTGGAGAAAACTTTATAAGAACAATATGCTAGTGAAAAAATTAAACACACAATACAAATAGGTTGCTTGTGACACAGAACAGAAACATTTTCTGTAATATATGAAAGCAGAACATGAAGGTGTTGAAAAACAAAGATAGTCTAGAAGCATGCATAGGTTACCTGATCCACAATAAATAAATCTTGGTCCAACTTCCCAATAATGAATCCAAGATTAAATTGGCCAATCACCTATAAACAAAAATGCTGCTGGTCATGAACTAAAGACTTTGAAATTTGACTGGGATAGATATATTATTAACAACCAGACTAATTTTTTACCACCAACAATGTGCAATAATCAGTGTTATCTGACTTTTAGTTTACCCAATTTTTGTCACACATTGAATTAGTTCTTCTGACAGGTAGAAACCAAGTTCCAACCTCAGCGAGAGGATAAAAGATGCAAAGTAACGTTCAGGTGGGTCAATAGAGTCAAGGCTGAAATTTGATAGCTCATTGACAAGAAATAAATGTAATCTATCAAGGCAAGAATTTTATAAGTAAAAAGGTTAAAAGAAAAATGATGGAGGAGTTGATGGGATGGGACAAGCAACAATGACAATGAACCAAGCACGACCAAACTTAAGCTTCTGTATAAGTGTGTGCATACAAAACAATGCATGTCACAACCTTCATTCTTCCAAAGTCCTGTTTTCTGAAAAGTCTTTCTAACTCTGTAGTAGCTGCAGCTAAAACCCTTGCCTTTCGCTCCTCATTATCTGGTTGAGAGAGCTCTAGTGTTGCAGCAGCATAACTCCTATGGCTGACCATTAAAAATTCTAGTTAGTGAAGAATATAATAGAATCAATGTTTTCCCAAATTTCCCTAAGAAGTTTCTACTTTCTAAACCTTTTCATCTTCATGCCTCCAGATGCATAACTGCTGAATTGTAATCTTGACAGCCTCTGCTTCCTTTTTTCTGCCAGTTCCTGAAAACTAAATTGCAAGGTGGAGCATATCTTTTGGGCAGAAGGCTTTGGAACATCTAAAGCTGAACCAGGAGATTGTAATAGAGAAGTGGCAATCAGATCCTCAGACATATTGTCAAGGCCCCTCCTTGGAGAAGTGAGAGATGCAACACTAACAATAGGTGAGGCTTTTTCTTCACCTGCAGGATCCTGCAGATATATTAATATGACTAAAACATCAAATATCCTGTGTGCACATGTCCATATCTCTAACAATGAAATGGAAATTGAAATGTAGTTATCACCATAAGATCTTCAGATATTTTCTCAAGACCTTCATGAGAAGCAATTGATACAACATCAGCCACATAAGTAGCTTTTTCTTCAGCCATCGGTTCCTGCACATTTATTGATCAAATGTGAAAATCAAAGATAGAGGCCACAAGAATAAAAAGAGGTGTGCATGCGTGTGAGCCATGCTGGTTAAGCTTCCAGGAAACAGATTCAGAATAGTTTTAAGGTCATATACCTCCCCATGTTTTTCATCATTGTCATTCCCTCTATATGAAAGATAACTTCTGATTCTGTTGAAGCTCATGTCTGCTCTATGAAACTTGGACGGCTCAGCTTCACTCACCTTAGCAGAATTATCAGCGAGCTGATGATTAAATGGAGAACTTGTAATTGCAGCATTAGGCTCAGAGTTGCCTTTCTTAAGTGGATTTCGAAGAGTTTCCTTTCTTAGGATGGGAATTTCAGATAGTGCTGTTCTATCATCTTCATGTTTTCTCTTACTTACAGTTACGAACTTTTTAATTGTTGACTGAACAGAACGTAGAGAACTATTAGAATCTCTATTTTCAGAAATATCTTTTCCAGCCGCACTTGAAGGGGAAGTAACATCTTGATTGGTTAGACTATCATGGCAAGTTGTTGGTTGCCCATTTTTAGTCTTCAAAAAACTATAGGCCTTTTGAATGTCATGTATTCTCAGACTGAAGTCCTTCGCTGTGTACTTTTCATCATTATTTTCTCCAACATCCGAGGTATCAGATTTGATTTCAACTGTTTGTTGCGGATTACTGCCTTCTGCTGTATGCTTTTTCATGTGAATTTCTTCACAGTCATTGCGAACTACAGATATCTTTTTTGGCAACACATTAGACTTCTCATGAGGAGACTGAGAGCCACTGGTCTTCTTCATATGCTCCTCATATTTGTTGACCAAATAAGTGGCATTACTTGGGGAATAAATCTGCTGTAAACCCTCCCTTAGAGCAAGCAATATGGAGTTCTCATCAGAAAAGAATATTTTTCTTTTATCCGGAGTTACATTCACATCGCAGGCTTTGGTTGGAACTGTGAAATTCATGATTGCTATGGGATATTGCCTAGAGTTTGCTCCTCTGTATAATTCATTCACAAGCTTGCTGACTTTAGGCATATCCACTGGTCGACTATTTACAAAATAGTATTGTCTATCTCCTAAATTGCGGCCGCTACCTTGTCCAGGCTTAGAAAGGAAGCCATCAACCTTGCAACTGTCTGATATGCATATGTTAACAGGCTGTAAGCAGCTGAAGGTGCTCATGCCAAATACTGTTATGATGTTATCTTTAAGCGAGTCACTTCCTTGTGTTTTAAGCACAACCGACTTTGCATTCTTACCAGTTGTATTGGTGCAAACTAACCGAACACCTTTTGCAATAAGCGCGTAGGCCTGCACATAAGAAAAGAAATGTGAATAATCACCGCAAATCCAACAAAAAATTAAACAGTTAAGCCATCAAGGAATACCACATAGAAAATAAAGGGTATAGTAAAAGAGAGTGGTCTATCAAACTGAGAGATCCCTTAACATGCAAATCCTTAATTTTATGGATGGTAAGATATCATTGCAACAAAAAGATGACAATAAGAATGCAAAAGAAACTAGAACACAGAGGAAAATAACATTATGTTATAGTATATAATCTTAATAACACCAATCAATATGTAAAAAGGCATACTATCAAAATGATGTGGCTGTTTTGCTTGGAGGAACTATGATGTAAATCTTATCAAAATATTATCAAAGGATATGGAATTTTGATACAGATACATTGTACATTCTAGAAATAGGCAGAATGAACTTGCCAGAGACAGATACATGAACTTTAATCACTGATATGCAATTATACAGCTAAATACATTTGCACTTCATAGAAGTAATGCATTTATTTTAAGGCAACAACTGCTTTTGGTTTATGTATGTCAAATTCATGCACAACTAATGCCATCATACAGCAATAGGCACTCTAAAAGGAGGTTTATGATTGATAACAACAGTCGGTATAAGCACCCACAAAGCTCTATTCAACACTTGCTTCCTCCACCATGGTACTGCTTCTGGAGCCAAAGGAACACTCGGTGCCACACTTGCAGCCACCAGTCAGAACATTATATGATATTGAACTAATTGAAGTTACATCAAAAAGAAAGACTCACATTTAATAAAGAAGTAAGCTTCCCATACTCCTTGCGAATGTTGCGGCTAAATTCTTTGCTTCGCACAGGTAAATTGGAGAACAACTTCTTAACAGTGACAGTAGTGCCAATTTGACGAGCTGCTTTCCTTTCAGCAGTTAGTAAACCTGAGCGATCATAAGTCAAGTGTGTTGCTACCGCCTCATTCTTAGTTCGTGTTTCAACAGTCAGGTCTCCTAATGCACAAAGTGAGCTCAATGCCTCCCCTCTAAAACCAAATGTTGTCAAAGATTGAAGATCAGGAAAATCTGCCAATTTAGAAGTATGATGCTTGAGCGCAAGAACCTGCAGCATGCAAGAAAATCAATAAACAACCAAACACATTTTTCCGATGTTGAAAAAGAAAAGGGGTCTCAGCTGCCGCCTGCCGAGATTTTTCCAAGTAGCCGAATTAACAAATAGCAGAGAAAGAACCAAAGTTACGGTGTCAACCTATTTTCTAGAATAACACAATACACTTGTTAATGAATGTCCATATCAAATCAAGTTGGACCAACTATGGGTACATTAAAATCGGGTAACTGCACAGCGGTGGAAAACGGAAACCAACCAAGCATTGCGGCTCCACACAGAAGCTCAGTCAAGAACTACCTGCCAATTTTTCTGCCGATTCCATTCGCATACGTACATATCAGCGAATTACTTCTACTCTGCCTCTACAGGTATAGCATATAAGTAATCAATCTTTTCTTGCGTGTATCGCGTACCTTGAAATTGTTCGGGGAAATGCCACATCCATTGTCGATGACCTGGAACCACTCTTCACCGTACTCTTTCAAAGAGATTTCAATGCTAGTGGCGCCAGCGTCCAAACTGTTTTCAACCAGCTCCTTCACAGCCGATGAAAGGTCCAAAATCACTTGACCAGCGCATATTCTATGCACAACACCTTTGTTTATAGGCCTAATAATCGAAGAACTTACATTAATTGTTTCTTCCATTTAAACCGTACTAAGAGAAATTGAACATTTGCGGATCAAAGTGATAAACCCCAGAAATCCACGACACAAATTGGTTCGTGCGAAGAATTGAATGTTGTAGAGTCAAGGGATTAGGGCATCGATTTTGTGACAAGATAGAGACTAGAGTAGAGGGTCTGCTTCGTCGCGGCCGAGGGTTTGCCGCCAAAAATACTAGAGGGAAATAGAGCTCGTTTATTTGCTAATTGCCATTTTAGTAATTTAAAAAGGGATAAGGCTTCCTCTAAAATTAAAATTGGAAACAGTATACAATTTATTTACAAATTAAATTTTTTGTGCAATTTATCTTTTAAGTTTGCAGGAACAGAAGAAAAAGTCAATATTTTACTGAAAAATAAATTATTTAATTTAAAGTAAAAATAATTAAAAATATTTTAATTTGATTGAAATAAATATATTAAAGATAATTGAAAAAAAATAATAAATATTTCTCAAAATAAATATTCACCATAATCAAACTGAGGGTAAATTGTGCCTAAAAAAAATCATGACAAAGTCAGGCAAAAATGTTAGACAAAAATAATGATAAACTACACACCAGGAATCATAAGAAAATCAGACTAAAATATTATAAAAAATTTAAATTCATTATTATCTTTGTCTATAATATATTTGAAATTTCACGTTCTTTAAAAAAATTATTAAATTTATCTAAATTATAATAAATTATTGAATAAATTGATTATATTACCCTTATTTCAATGTTAATTCTTTAAAAAAATTATTAAATTAAACCTACACACCAGGAATCATAAGAAAATCAGACTAAAAATATTATAAAAATTTAATTCATTATTATCTTTGTCTATAATATATTTGAAAATTTCACGTTCTTAAAAAAATTATTAAAATTTATCCTAAAATTATACATAAATTATTGATTTATTGAATAAATTGATTATATTACCCTTATTTCAATGTTAATTCTTTAAAAAAATTATTAAATTAAAATAATAATTATTGATCATATATAAAGGATAAATATGAAAAAGAAATTATTACTCATCGAAACTATAAACGTGATAAGTATTATGGAGACGTAGTATATTGTAACATAAAATATAATATATTAATATTTTCACACTTTATTTGCATTTATTGATAAAACAAGTATATTAAAAATTTAATCAATAAAAATTATTTTATTATTTTTTATCTCTAATTTATTGAGATATTGATAAAAGTTATTCATTTAACAAATGATCATAAAAATTTTATGAAAAAAATAATTATTTACATATAAATTTAAAAACATTATAAATATTTTAAGAGGCAAAGAAAATAGTTCAAGGTTTATGATATGCAGAATTTCAGCATTTGAGTAGTTGGTATTGCGTTGACTATATCTTGAATTCCCCATATTCAATTGCCCTGAAATTTTGACAGCATGTTCCCAACATCTTAGGGTACTGTTCTGGAAAATTAAAATTTCATAATTTTTTAAAGCTCAATTTCAATGACATAATTATAGAATCTGAAGTTCAGTTTTTCTCATGGTGAGCAGCCTGTACTAATTTAATTATAACTCCATTTCCTTTTATCCAATGGCCTTCCCCTTTTACCACGACCTACCCAACATCTCAGCCTATCTCGATGTAACTTTTCATGAATTTTGAAGTTCATTTGTTGAGCCAAATAGGTCAATTACTGAAGCTGAAGTTCAGACAGCCCAACTATAACAGGTCTAACAATGATATATTTGCTCAAGCATTCTCAACTCACTTCCAGCACAAATTCATGCAATTCAACTCTTCTATTACTTACACAACATCATAATATAAGCTTCTATTACTTACATAACATCATAATATAAGAATATCAGAATCCCTAGTTCATGGCATATCAAGAACAAACTCAAAATCATCCATCTTGGTGACTTAAGCAACTTAGACTTTGAATTCATGCATAACTACTTTCAATCATCTTAAATCACCTTAAAATCACTTCTCATCACTTCATCTTCAGCAAATCAGATTACACAAACAAGCACCTCACTTCAAAGTTCATGGAATTCAAAAAGTAGTCCATAGAAATGAAGGAGGAAGTGAAAATAACTAACCTTTTCTTAAGAAATACTTGAAAATTCTTTGAGAAAATACTTTTGAAAATTCTTTGATTCCTTCACCTTCTTTTAGCTTGGTTTTGACTCAAAATCCTCCTCCTCTCTTCATTAATACTTGAAAATTCTTTGATTTTCACCTTCTTTTTGCTTGGTTTTGACTCAAAATCCTCCTCCTCTCTTCTTGAACGGTTTGGCCTGCAACAATGAGTAAAGTGTCGTGGTTCTTTCCTCTTCTTCAATAAAATTATATAATAAACTTTATTAAAAATTCCTTTCATGTCCTTTAAATGCCAATTGCATTATAATCCTCCCTTTTATTTTCCCTTCATACTTTGACACTCTAATCTTTTTACTACGTTAGATTTAAGCATTATTTCATATTTAAACAGTAACTATTAGTAGTAATATTTTATCAGCAATAACTTATAATGTTCATAAGTATATTTGTCTCTATCATGGCAAAAGGCAGGCGCGTGAGCTGTGAGTGGAGCCCACCATCGAAGTTTCGATTGAAGGTGCCAGCACTCAAAATAATGCTGCTGCTCTTTGCTTCGTTCGTGTAAACCTTCTATTGTACTCTACCTTCACGACTGTTCCGGTCGCATCATTTTCTCATCTTTTCGTTAGTTTTATTAATTTTTGAATATTAAATTTGTAAATTTCACAAGGTAAATATATCAAGTAACTAAAATTTACCTTTTCAAAAAAAAAAAATTCAATTAAAACCTCTTGAAATTTAATGTTAAACTAATCCATAATAAATAATATTTGTGATTGAAAAATTATACTCCCTTCCTTTCAAAATGTTTGTCCTGACTTTTGTATAAAGTTTAAAAAAACACATTAATTATAGTGCCAAGTCATATAAAATATCCATACTTTTTTAAAATTATCCTCCTTAAAAAAATATATATTCCTATAACTTAAAACTATTTATAATGAGAGATATAAATGCAAAGTAAATATCTCTTAAATCAAGTGGACAAACATTTTGGAATATCTAAAAATAATAACGTTGACAAGTACTATGGGACGGAGTAAATAGTAAGTTAGCATCTCATTTTATATATTCATGATAATCATCTTTTATTCTAATTTTATGTTTTAAAAAATTATAATCCTATTCTTATATTTTTTTAAAAAAAATAATATTTTATAAAGTGATATGATTACTGTGCAACACAGTAATAATTTATATACCTATACTGTATATAAACGTAGAAATAGAGTAAGGAATAATGAGATTTTCGATATCGTCTTTTAATGAAATTTAAAATATCCTAAAATAGCTTTGGTTATAACTAATTTGAAATTTACATTTAATACCAATAAATGTTTGGATAAGTGGTTCGACACTCTTTTCTCCAAAATGAGATCCAGAGTTCGATCCTCGTGGATAGAGCAAATACTCGCTTTGAGTACTTTACCCCTTCTTGGCCAACTTGTGCAAACAAGATTTAGTTCCACCCTATTGAACCTAGGGGTACTTGTGATTAAAAGAAAAATACATTTTATTATTTGATTGAATATAATTTTTAAGAAAATAGCATTTTATTATATTGGATTGGAATATATTTTTCCATTTTTAATTATATATTATATATTATATATATATATATATTATAATTAATCAATAATAAATAATAAAGAAAAAGTATATTTTTTTTCTTCCTGTTCGATGGTTATAGGAAATTGAGGATTTAATTCTAGCGAGGCACATAATATTTCTTTTATGTAATTCATTTTCATTAATTAATTAACCTTATTTATCATTTGTCTATATTTAGAATTGAAAGTCCTTAGATAAAAATAAAGAATATATATATATAATAATAATAATAATAAAGAAAAAGTATATTTTTTTTTCCTGTATGGTTATAGGAAAAATTGAGGATTTATTTAGCGAGGACATAATATTTCTTTTATGTAATTCTTTTCATTAATTAATTAACTTATTTATTTGTCTATTTTAAATTGAAAGCTTAGAAAAATAAAGAAATAAAATTAGATCATAACATTATTTACTTTGTAATTTTCATTTATTGACGTTGCTATAACCTTTTTTTTTTTCATCTATCAACGTCAAGTTTCATTAAATTACAACATTTTCAGTTAAAGAAGTCATTAATTTTTGAAATTCAAATTGGTAATTTTTTTAATATAATTTATTTCTTGTTATATGATGTTGAGTTCGCAAAAAATTCTTATAACAATTTTTTTATTTTTTGTTTTTTTTTTCGTTGCTGAATTAATTTGTAACTACTGTCATTTTAATTTAGTAAGAGATTTGTATCTCATTTCTATAAATAGATGGTCTATTGATGATTAGACATTTTTTATTTTCTTAATATTTTTCCTATTGTATTCTAAATCTATTTGACTTAAAAGAAAATAGTATTTATAAAAATGAAAAAAAAAACTAGAACTATATATTTCTGTTTTAGTCACATTTCAGGGTTTTAAGGATTTGTGTGTATGTGCATATATTTATTTTTCTAATGTTAATGGGTAAGCTGTCGTTGTAGCCAATGTAATTACCATTATCAATTTAGATCATATACTCATTTTTTTTTACCAAGCAGTAAAAAATAATTTATTATTATTTTTTATTATAGTTGTATATAGATATTGATTTTTGATCGAGGGAAGGAGATTGGAAATTGAGTGACGACTTGATTTTCTTTTTAAGACACTTATTAGTTAAAAAATCTGTATTTATAAATTAAGGACCGAAGGATTAGGTCTATGGATTGAGTTAAATTTTATTTTAAGACCACTTCTTTATATATAAAATAAAATTAAGTACATAAGGAGTAATTTTACAAGTAACTTGTCTGACAAAGTCAAATATAATTAAGTAATTGTATTTATTTTAATCTAAACAAAAAATTATAAATTTAATATAGATAAAATAATTAAAAGAGTATAAATATATAACCAACATAGTCGACTAATAAGACACCTTATAAAAAATACTAGTATTTTATAAAAGTAATACGATCAAGATAAATTTCTTTTGTCAAATCATCTTTAAATAAAAGAATTTAATTTTCTTTATTTATATTTTATATTTAAATATAAATTGTCAAGTATCACAATGTTGATATTATCGTTTTTTTTTTAAGGCAATGTTGATATTATCTCAAAAAATGAGTAACAATGTTGATATTAAATTATCAGCAGAAATATACAATTGTGTAGTGAGCTGGAATTTCAGATTAAATAAATATGGCTAATTTAGCTGCGTGACAACCAGAGGTCGAGTAATCAAACTGGAGGGTGTACAGACAGCAGGGATGCACTGAATCATAGCTCTTCCAAGTCAGCTCTCTTTTCCTTTGCAAAGAACAAGAAGATATATAGTCTTATAGAGCGTGAAACTCGGACCCAAAGAAGAGTCGCATGCTTTGACCTTTAAGGCTTTAAGCAAAACGCAACCCTCCTCCTTCTCCTTCTTTTGATATAGTTACATACAACCGAAATAGAAAGGAAACCTTTATTATTTTTTTCTCTTTTAAAGGCCAGCCGATATGGACCTCATGACCCATTCTTCGTCGTTTCTTCTCCCGCCGGTCTCCACCGACAACTGTTCTTCTCTTACTTACGCACTTGTTGTGCTTAACCAACGCCTCCCCAGATTCGCTCCTCTTCTCTGGAAGCACGGTACTTTGTCTTCCTTGTTTTGGCTGTTTTTTAAGTTTGCATAATTGCTTACTTGACAAGTGTCTGTCTGTTTTCTTTTTTCTGTGTAGAACAGCACAGCTACGTCTCTGTGCGGATGGAGGTGCTAATCGTGTTTACGATGAATTGCCTATGTTCTTCCCAGATGAAGACGCTCTTGACGTTCGACACAGGTTTTTTTTTTTTTTTTTTTTTTTTTTTTTTGACAGCAAGGTTACTTTTTTTTTTTTTTTTTTTTTTTTTTTTTCCAATTTTCGGTATCTCTTAATCTAATCTAAGTGAAACAATATAATTGAGATTTGATTTCGAATGAAATTGAGTGATCAGTACGATTAGATTATGGATACTCTTTCGTTTTTTTTTTTTTTTTTTTTTTTTTTTTTTTTTTTTTTCTTTTGTAAATGTGAGAATTTCTGGACGGCTTAACTGATTTTATATTTTAAATGTCTACTGATTATTGATCAATAAATGGTTTTGTTGTAGTAGTTGTTCCAAAAAGATAAGCTAAGCGTGGCCAAAAGTACCATATAAAGGGCATTTACCAAGAATTCTGTTTTGGTGTTAGTCTGTTAGAGTGTAGCTTTGACAACTCCCTGGAGGTTTTACTTAATTTCACACAAATGCATCTACTCCCTCTTAATTGAAGTTTGAAAGCAAATGTGAGCTTGTGGGGGCAAAAAAAATAAAAAAAAACTGTAAGGTTGCAAATATAAACCTTCCAGTGGAGAGAGAGGGGGAAAAAGAAGGAAAGAAGAGAGGGGGGGGGGGGGTGGGGGTGGGGAAGCAAACCCAAATGAGATGAATAAGTAGAAAGATAATTATTTCCAGTTGCAAAGTTTTTGACAGCAAGTGGGGACAAGGTGCCTCCCATTGTAGACTCTGCCCTGACCTCTCTGAAACTTTTTTTTTTTCTTTCCTTTTTCTGATTTTGGTGGAGGAAAGACAGAGAGGCACCTGTAAAGTTATACAGTCGTCTCTCTTGGTTCTCTTGACGAGATAAGGGTTGAAAAGTTGAAAGTATAGCTTAATGGAAGAACGCGTACAAAGAATTTTTTTTTTTTTTTTTTTTGTGTGTATATGTGTGTGTGTGTGTGTGTGTTTTTTTTTTTTTTTTTTTGTGTGTATATGTGTGTGTGTGTGTGTGTGTGTGTGTGTGTGTGTGTGTGTGTGTATACATATATACGCACGCTTGTCTGACATAGCCAGAATAAGATTTGATTAGTTGCACTTTACTATTACGAATGTGATGCTATTGTGATAATGCCAATGACTCTAAAATTTTGGATGATTTAGAAATTCTTTGAAGGATTTTTCATGCTTTGAACATGACGTATCATGATTGCAAAATCTCAATTCTTCAATCTAAAATGAGCAGTTGGGATATTTCCAGAAATTGATTTTAGAGTTCATGAAGTCGGCAGTTATATGTTCGACAAAGAAATCATAACCATTCATCTCAATTCAATGGTTGAGATGGGTTAAATATGATAGCGCACACTGACCCCAGTCATGAGGATCTTGCATTCTCTGGAGTTGTTAAAGTAACATAATATGAGTGTGATCATGCCTTTTGAGATTAACAACTAGTACTTGCTATTATCTGTACTCCTAAACAGAACTTCATGAATGCCTGCTGCTAGCGGTGGCATTTGATCAAAAGAAAACATCATGGCAGCATAGCTCCTTTCTTATCTTTAGCTCCTTGCTAAGCATCAAGTTTGTATCAGGCTATCAGCTTGTAATACTGACATTAAGTTTTAACAGGTATAAGCCGGATGTAATTAAGGGAGACATGGATTCAATCAGAGGAGAAGTACTGGACTTCTATACCAGCCTGGTAAGCTGGCCTGCTTGAACATTTGATTGATAGTGTGTAGGCAATGTGGTCCATTATGCCTCTGACTATCATCATTCAAGGTTTGCCAAGTTGTACTGACCTTGCTAAATCTGCACAAACATGTAGAATTATTTCTATTTTATATTTGCAGCATGTTACATTCAAATTTCATTTCTGCTTTTTATTTGCTAAATGGGCCTGCATTGTTTGTTTTATTGAATTTTCGGTTGATGATGAACTTGTTGTCTTCTTAGGCGTAGGTGTAGGTTCTCTTGTCTTATTTGTATGATAAGTATATGTATATGTGAAACCTCTTGAAGAGCTTGTCTTTACCTATGTCCCTTTGCCAATCAAGCCTTACTTTGGTGAGCTGGACTGTCTCAGATGTCTTTCTTGCTTGCTCCAATGCAGGGAACCAAGGTGGTCGACGAATCTCATGATCAAGACACCACAGATCTACATAAGTGCATTGCATATATTCGTGACTTCACTCCAGATTCAGACAAGTCTAATGTAAGTTGCATAAATTCATATCTGAGGCTCCTATATTCTGGTGTCTCTGCTTCTATGTGCACATATAATTATCTATTTAAGCATGAACTTATTGTTGCTTCCTAGTTATATGCATGAACTTTATTGTTGCTTCCGCCTGTTTAATATATATATATATATATATATATATATATATATTTTGTATTCGCATTCCTTACAACATTCTGTCCTTGTAACTTTATATATATTTTGTTTCGCATTCTTACAACATTCTGTCCTTGTAACTTTAGCGTAGGAACTACTTGGTAGCTGGTGAAAAATTATTTATCAAATGATAGTCTGCTGTCCAAACATTTATGCATACAGCACCCGGTCAATGGTTTACATGCTTAGATTAGCATTATGACAGGCTTTGGCTCTTGTTTTAATTGGCAGCTTTGCATTCTTGTAGCTGGGGCCCTTGGTGGACGATTCGACCATGAGGCTGGAAACATTAATGTTCTATATCGGTTCTCAGCCATGCGAATAATTCTTATATCTGATGACTGCCTCATCTACCTCCTTCCAAGGACTCACTATCATGAAATCCATATCCAATCTTCTGTTGAGGGCCCACATTGTGGACTCATTCCCATAGGGATGCCATCTGGGAGTACCACAACAACTGGACTCCAATGGGATCTCAGTAAGTATATTGCATTAAAAATTGTTCTACTTGCTTTCTTAGCTGGTAAACAAAAACAGGCTGAGCTCACTCTAATATTATCTGGACGCCAGTGTCTATTAATTATATGTTGGAAAAGTTACCATTTTGTCTATATTTTGCTGAATATACAACATTGCCCTTACATTTTTAGAAACAATGTTCTGTCTATTTTTTGCCTCTATTACTATCTTTTTATCAATTTTGTGTTCTTTCCCTGTCAACAAATTGCAAAATTACTATTTTGTTCTTATATTTTGGCAAAATTAACTAATATATTCCTATATTTGATGGAAAAACTACAAAAAAATTAACAGAAGGATTTAACAATATAAAAGGCAAAAGATAGGGGAAAAACTGTACATTTTTTAAGATTCAGGGGCAAAGTCGTGTATTTTGACAAAATACAATGACAAAATTAGTAATTTTCCCTTATATACTTGCACGAATACTCTAGTGCTCTCGTACCCAATGATGGTGATTGACAAACTGACATTTAGAGACCTAACCGGAAAAGTAAAAATAGAGCTCCAAGCAAATGCAATAAGTGTGTCCACAGTTTTACTTTGACATGATACCTTAATAGGTTGGTTCTTGGATTATGCCATTGCTATACAAGTATTATCCACTGTAAATTCTTAGACATTTTGTTTGTTTCAGCTGACATGGAGATGAGGTTTGGTGGTCTCGTAAGTACATCAAACATAGTCAAAGGAGGAAAGGTGACAGTGCAGTCCAGTTCAGATCTTCTTTGGACAATCTCCATTAAAAAGGCATAATGCCTTATGCTTCGAAGATAAAGGCTAACTAGCAGCAGATTTGATAATAAGTTATCCTAACCTACACTGAGATGGCGTTTCTCAATAAAATCAGTGCATTTTAGGTTATTCTGTGTCCATATATGATTTTATTATTTGGAAGAAATTATGCAGCAGTTTCAACTCTGAATATTTTCTTCCTATTGTTATACGGGAAATCCTATTTCAAGTTAGATTAGGCTTTTAAGTTTGAAATATATATTTCTAACTTTTGCTGTTTGTATCATGCCATGGGAAAATAGATTGGGAGACATTATAATCATTACTCTTTCCATCTCAAAATTATAGTCAGTCCGAGGATAATCAGTTAAATTATAATTTTATTGTTTTTATTTTTTCACATATACCCTTAAAAATCTTAAAGGTTCTATATTAATGATTTTTCGAGACCTTCAAAATAGAATGAATTGTTAGTACATTGAAATTTTAAAATTAATTATCTAAGACTTATGTTTTCACTATTTGGCAAATCAAATAATATTAGTTGTTCACAAGAATTATTATATGAAGTAATCGTGAAAAAATGAAGATACAAATAGTGCAAGTGTTATTGCACTTAGGGGGCCTCCTTATGTTAGATAGTTGTAATATTTTTTTCGTATAGACAATGATAAAGCGTCGACGTTTCGCATGCGAGAGGGATCGGTTCCCCGAATCTCCAATTAACATTTATTATTGCGAAGTGCCTGTCTAGTGCATTTAATATTTTTGTAGAATTTCCCAAGTTAAGAGTTGCATACAAAACATCAGGACAACTGCTTTATCATTATTCCAGCACCACGCTCAAAATTGAATATAAGGATGTGTTTAACATAATATATCATTTGACTTTAATTAAAGCTAGACAAAATGTTATGTTTCAGATTTCAAATTGGGTGAGATTTTTATTTTTGTTTATACTCCAGGTTGACTCGATCATTTGTTCAAAACAAAATCTAAGTTATATATGAACCAGCAGCAAACATTTTTCCTATGGAAGTACACCACTAGTAGAAATGTTGGAATAGGTACTTGCAATTTGAAGTGAAACAAACAAGTTAGCAATGCTTATTATTTGATTTATCAAAATTAACAATGTACAGGATGATGGCCGGCCAGAAGTGAAGAAATAAAATTTAAATAAATTAAGAGGGGGACAAAAAAAAAAAAAAAAAAAAAAAGGAAAAAAATTAACAATGTACAGGATGATTGGCCGGCCAGAAGTGAGAAAATTAAATTTAAATAAATTATACGAGGGGGACCAAAAAAAAAAAAAAAAAAAAGAAAAAGGAAAAAAAAAAAAAAAATAACCTGTCCGGGGCACTAGCCTCCAAGGTTTTACAAGGCTGGTAAATATTGTGAATTTCTAACAGAAAATAAACTGAAAACATATCTATAATAACAAGGGGACGAAATACTGGAAAGGAAATCCGTAAATAAGGGGTCGTCATAATCTAGCCCACCTATTTAGGTGAGCGATAATGAATAAACTAAAAAAAGGAAAAAAAAAAAAAAAACCTGTCAGGGCACTAGCTCCAAGGTTTACAAGGCTGGTAAATATTGTGAAATTTCTACAGAAAATAACTGAAAAACCTATCTATAATACAAAGGGGACAGAAACTGGAAAGGAATCCCGTAAATAGGGGTGTCCCTAATCTAGCCCACCTATTTAGGTGACGAAGAATAAACTAAAGCATGGATTGCTATACACATTTTGGATAAATTCCTCTACATGAAGTAGCTGAGTGATTTCTTCTTTCTTGATCCACCCTCTCCATATAGTTCATTCCATTGAAGAAGCTCATTCATATTTGTTGACTCTGATGACACACTTGCACACACCTGTAAATGCATTTAACCCAAATTACAGAACATTACAACACTACTAAACTGTGTCTCATGGACACATGGGACCAAAAAAGTGCCAACCAAACAGAACAAACTTTTTTATGCTTCTCCCACATTATTAGGAACCACAATAATAATTTTTACCACAGGGTATTTTCATACTTAATTTGTTTCCCGACAGGGTAATTTTCATACCTGTTCGTGTGCATATCTGAAGTCCTCCATTCTAAGAGGGCGGACATCAGAACTGCTGTACAATGCAGGCAAAGGTTTGTTCTCCACCAAGGCCGAAGTTCTCTCCTGAAGTTGTGCGAAAATTGAATTAACATGTATTGCCAAAAATAGGAATCAAGAAAAAGAAAACAAAATGCACACAACATCTAAAAAGTATTAGGAGTATTTCTGAAGTCTTAATCCCTACTACCCAAGTAACAACAGAACATGCACTAGTCTTTGATCTACACAAGTTATTTTCTTTTCTCTTTCAATGCTATGGGCGCAACATCAATGTGCCATGAATTTAGCAACTTTGACCATTAAGCCTGTGTTACCAACAGGCCGCTGACGTATTACTCGGAATTTGGCCTCCTAAGCTTGCTAACAGTTTCAAGGGGGAAATTGTATATCAACTAAATGCTAACAGCAGAATCCAATCTTATAAATAGCCAGTTACAACAGTTGGAAGAAAATTAGCATGCATTTAAAAGACAAGATACAGGATATCATAATTTAAACATGAGGCAATTAAGTCATAAAAAACAGTAGCATCACAAAACCAAAATCAGGTATTATTTTAAAGAAAATACTTACCTTTTTTTCTTTCTCCAGTATTTCTCGTATGGGACAATGTGCAGCAGTTACACAAAGATTCTGACACGAGAAAAAAAATCAGAACACAAAAAGTGGAGAAAAGGGGGGGTGGGGGTGGGGTGTGGGGAAGGGAAGGAGAGAGGAACACCAACCTTTAGATCACTTCCAGAATAACCATCTGTCATATTTGCAACTGCTTCAATGTCAACATCAGGTGCCAATTCCTCTTTCGCTAAAATAACCCTCAAAATTTTCTCTCTGTTAGGTGCATCTGGCAAGTTGACCATCAATCTGCAGAAAAGGATTGTGCAAGAAAGTAAAATATAACTGTATGCCAGATTTACATTGATGGGACAAAGGACAAGGAAAAGACGGAGCACCTTCTGGGAAGCCTACGAATAACAGCCTCATCAAGGTCAAAGGGCCTGTTTGTGGCAGCAAGCACTAATACTCGTTCTTTATCCTTTGTACGAAGACCATCCCAGTTCACCATGAACTCATTCTTCATTTTACGCATAGCCTCATGTTCTCCTGGATTTTCCCGTCTTCCCAGCATGCTATCCACCTACAATAAAAACCAAGCAGAAAAAGCTGTTAAATTAATTTGCCAAAGGTAAAATGCAAATACAAATTGTGAAGAACACAAGATGCAGTGATCATTCAAAACATGTAAGTTGGACGGGAACAGAAGAATAATAGAATAACAAGTGGAAATACAAGTTGAGCAACTGATCAAACCTCATCAACAAAAATAACACTAGGAGCAATTTTGCTAGCCAAGGAGAATACTGCCTTGACGTACTTCTCTCCCTCACCAAACCACTGCAATCAATGCAGAGATATCATAAATTCCAAGTAGAAAGCTCACACAAAAATCACTGGTGACTGATATAAAAGGCAGAAGGAAAATACCTTTGAAGTAATACTTGACATGGATATGTTGATAAAGTTTGCACCAGCCTCAGTTGCGACGGCCTTAGCAAGCATTGTTTTGCCAGTACCAGGAGGCCCAAAAAGCAATATTCCCTTACATGGCTGTGAAAGTAGCAACATTCGATGAGCATACAACAGAACCCACCTGATAAAGAAAGGGGGAATATGGGCTAGGGTACAAACAATATAACTTGCAGTTAACCTTAGTAAGCTGTCCTTTGCAAAACAATTCAGGCCTCTGAAGAGGAAGCATCACCAGTTCCTTCAAAGTATCCTTCACATTTTCCAAGGCTCCAATATCATCAAATGTCACTCCAATATCACTTGGAGGAATAACATCCACCAATAGTTTCTTCTCAAATTCATTATCAGTTACCACGTCCTGAAGCCACTTAAAAGTTAACTTGATGGTGAAAAGGTAAATATTAGACAGTAAACCTTTTAAACTTGTTCATTCAAGAATGGTAATAGTTGATATACCAAGATCAACTTTACCTTCAATGATTTCTTCAAACTCTTGCTCTCACTTTGTATACCTTGAAGAATGCTCAGCCCATATTTAATGCTACAAGAAAGATCATTAAGACAGTATCAACAGTTTATACAGGTAAGGTTCACACAATTATTACAATAACATGTATAACAGAGAAGAGGAGGAAAAACCTTTCAGTAGATATCACAAGTTTAGCATCTTCAACAGAAGCTTCAGTACAATGCATGAAGTGATGACTTAAAGCCCAACCTATTATTTTTTCTACACCTAACAAAAGTAGAAACGAAAAAGTATCAGTGAGCACTCAGTGTAAGGTGTAAACAGTAAAAATCAATGTAAAGAAGAAAAATGATGGAACAGCAAGATTTAAGTTTAAGAATACCCACTTTCAGTTGTAAGGGCCTGATCTTTAATGCATACAGTCTCGAGGTCAGTGCAATGCAAACTAACTCGGCTGAGGACCTAAATCCAATAACAATTTATAAATGCAATAAAACTAGCAAAAAGCCTACAACTAATACATGCCTCTGAATTTTTTAAAAAACAATAGGAAAAATAAAATTAGGTGATAAAAGAGCTACTGCTTTATGAGCTACATAAAAGTGTTCTAGCAGACCAGGACCATCAGAAGAAAAATAAGATTAACCCCAAAAAGATTAGCTAGCATGCACGTAGGAGAGCTACTGTTGTCCACACAAGCCAGTATAATATAAGAAAGTAAAGATGAAATAAAAAGTAATGATCAATCCACTTGGAACATTATACTCACAGAACGAATGCTAACAACATTGGCCTGTGCTTTCAGAGTTTCTACATCACGCTCCAACTGCTGCTTCCAGTCCAAAAGCAAAGCTTCATCCTGCAAGGACTCTCAGAAATGAGATAACTTGGGGAAGATACGAGCAACAAGAAATCTTAGAATGAATGCAAGACCAATACCTGAGGTAGCTGTATTGCCACTTTGTTAGGGAAAAGCCGTGCAAGCTGCTTCATAGTCTTAGGAGTTTCCTTGCTCCTATCATGCAGTCGACCAAAGTTATCCTAGAGGACAAAAATAGTTCACATACTTTAAATACACAGGGGACTGAGAATACCATCAACAAGGAAGAAAAAGCATGAAAACATCCACCACCATTAACATTCATAATGTAAGCTTGATAATAGTGTGTGTATCATTTAAAACAAATTACCAACGAAATGACTAACATCACTGGGGTACAGGCATGAGGGTTGCGCAAAAAAAAAAAAAAAAAAAATTGGGGTTTGACAGGCCATGAGGGTTGCTGCAAAAAAAAAAAAAAAAAAAAAAATATTGTTGTCTCTAAAAGATAGTCAGGCAAAACAACCACTAAACAAAATAATCCTCAATTCAATATCACGGTAGACTTTAAATATGAATATTCAAAATGGAGAGTAAACCAATGGATCTTCTACTTTTAGAGAGGAAATAGAAAAATAAAGCCATAAAGCCATAAGAAGGCTACCAAAACAACAGCAACACACTGGTGTATGTGAAACACAAAACAGAAGGAAAATTCCCAAAATTATCTTTCAAAAGGTTGGACCTGTATTAAAAAAAAAAAAAAAAAAAATATTGTTGTCTTCTAAAAGATAGCAAGGCAAAACAACCAACTAAACAAATAATCTCATCATACACGGTAGACTTTAAATATGAATATTCAAAATGAGAGTAAACAATGGATCTTCTACTAGAGAGGAAAAGAAAAATAAGCCATAAAGCCATAAGAAGGCTACCAAACAACAGGCAACACACTGGTTATGTGAACACAAAACAGAGGAAATTCCAAATATCTTTCAAAGGTTGGCCTGTATTCCATAAACCAATATATTGACAAATTGTATTAGCAATAGTGCATAGCAGAAAAGTTCAAGACTATCATTACAAACCACATCCACAATCTTGCTCGAGACAGCTTGGAATGAGATGGAATTAAACACCCACATGCTGCAAATGAATAATCCATATATGGTCCAGTTCAACTCACTCACATATCAACATAATGAGCAAACTCCAAGCCCAGTGATGGAAATAAAAGAAAAGTGAATTATATCATTGCAACTGCAGTGAAAATAGTTCATTAGCTGGCTGCTTAATCAATTTTCTGTAGTGCACTCGAATTTTTTGTGTACTCAAATAGTAAATCAGTTACCTAGAAAGATAGTAAACATGCTAGTAACAAGCAGTTTGCTAGCATAACAACAAGATACACAACCAGGACACAATTAATTATAATTAATTTGTTAATAACTAAATGAACTACTACACCAACGGTCAGCATACCGGAAAAGCAAGATCAAGCAAAGCAGTATGATTGCTCCCAAACTTTGTGAATAGAAGGCCACCAGGTTGGGACTGAAAAACAAGAAAAGTCATAATTTGTTAGACTGCTCGAATTCCCCCGCCGGGAGGGGGGGGGCGTGTGAAAGAGAGACGAATAAAAGAGGGTAGAAACAAACGGAGCAATCCATCAAAAAATTACCTTCTCTTTTCGATTGTCCATTTGAGTATGTGATCCAATTACAATAACTTTGTCAGGTAAATTTTCAAGCTTACTCCTTAAAGCCGTGTATGCATCTTGATTCCCCACCATAGACTTTTCTATGTCTTTTATAAACAATATCAAGGGACCTTGTTTACTTTCATTTAGAGCAACCTATAAAAAATTGAAGCTCAGCAACTCAAAAGATAGAAGCAGTAGCAAAGGCAGCAGCTAGCAGATACCTCAAAGAGTTCACTAACAGCAAGCCTGTCGACATCTTCACCTCCAGCACCATCCAAGCGAAGTGAATTAGCTGCAGGGTTAAAGATATGTTCAGCAACAGCAGATGAAAGAATGCGGCACAAATTCCTAAGAAATGAACAAGACGGAGCAGCTGGTTCTGGAAAATCACCAGGACAAAAGAAACCATGGTCTTCTTCACAGAGACCACCAAGATCATTGCCTTCAGGAATTGCTCTATCAAATCTAACACCAATTTTGGAAGATCCATTATCTTCAAAAGGAAGGACGACCTTGCCTCGAAAACCATTTGATGGTCCCCTTTTGAAAAGAAATGAAAGGGAAAAAATCAAAAACAAATCAAATATAGATTTATATCCATATCATCATTACATAAGAAAATGTGAATGCATGAATTTGTTACATAAAGGTGTAGGTAAATGAAGAATCTTGTATTAGCTTCATCCCTTGAGCACTTGTGGAAGCTCGAGCAATTAAATTATAATAGACCAGAATTAGTTAAAAAGACGAATTTAAAGTGATAAACAAGTACCTTAGAGAATGTTGCAGAGAAGATAGCCCCACAAACTTTACTCTGTCACCTGCTACATTACAAATTTTCCAGTAATTTAAAGGTTCTAATTGGTAAAGAATAGGTAAATCAGTTAACAAAAAGGACAAGTTAAAGGCTGATTCATCAACTATTTATCCATTTAATTATCCATATTTATCAGTATACATGTGTGTGTAGTACAGCTGCTATGGAACTAAAACATGCCTGCTTTAAATGTATAGTTTTTCGATGATGCAGTAGAGGTTTCCTGCTTTGGAAGGCCCTGAGAACTTATTGTCGAGCCACCAGTAATATCAGCTTCAACACTAGACGGTGGTTTCTTATGGTGTAGTGCTGCCTGCACAGCTCGTTTGGCAAAAACGGATGCTCTGTCAGGCTTTGCACCTTCTTTCACAGAGTCCGCTTCTTTTGGTGCTGATCCCTAAAATTATTACAAAAAAGGAAACAGAGAAGTTCAATAACCTGAGAAAACTGAAGATTCAACCATTTAAAAAAGAAAACGCATCATCAAAATGAGGCTGCTAGCATTTAAGACTCAAACAGCAAGGGAAAACAGTGTATAGAACTGTAGAAAAAGAACAAAAATTAAAAAAATTCAGCGAAATTAAATAAGCTTACTCCAGGCAGCAAAAGAGAATCAATGACTAGCAGTCTAGCACCAACATCTTTAGCTAGTGCCTTCACTAGAGTCTCCTGGTATATTTCTGACCCTGCAAGAAATTCATAATGACAAGATATATAGATACATCAGAACTAAATTAAAAATCACAAAACCTTTGATGCATATCAACAAAGTAATGCTGAGACCACCTGCAGGACCAGATAGTAATACGCGGGGTGACACGGTCGGAAGATCGCAAGAAAACTTTGGAATTTTTTTATCACACTTTAAATGGATGAATGCAGCCCCTATCAAAACTTTCTTTGTTGTATCACTGTGACAAATCTCACCGTCAGAAAAGGAAAAAATCAAATTCAACATATAAGATACTTTGTTGGATACAAGATGAGGTTGTAAAACACCATCTACACCCCCATAGAACAAGGCAAAGACAACCAACAAAAAATGTACAATTACTTAATGAATCACATGCAATTATCAACAGTATTTTCTGTGAAGGTCAAGTGCAACGTATTAACAACTGAGAGAAAAGGCTGCACCTTAGATAATATGGGAAACTGTCAAATGAAACATCAATGCTTTCGGGATTCAGAATTCCCTGCTGTAAACTATCTTTATATGCTTGTCGTCTAGTTGACATCAGAATCATTGGAGGATCAGAATCCTTCAGTTGCTCTCGTATTTCCCTTGGCTCATCAAGCACTTTAGAAAGGCTACCACTTAAATCAAATTCAGATGAAGAACCTGCAAGTATCCGAAAGAGCGGCCTTAACTCAAATGGTGATCCAGCAATCTTTCTGTTTCCTACATCAACAGATGCATCCAAACCAAGACTATCAAGATTAGGATTTTGACTGGCAGAACTAGAGGATGGAACAACAGTTTTCTCCCTTGAAGAAACTCCGTCCAACTCATTATTACTTGTTGTATCCTTCATGTTAACCTCTGGAATGCAATCATCAGGAGCTCCACACAGAGAAGGTACAGTGGAAATCTCAGTATTTTGCGGCATATCCTCATCAGCTTTGGCAGGAGGCGGTATAAGAGATAAATCTTTTTGGATATCAGATAAAGAGGCTAATATTGATGCTCCTGCAAAAGCTGAGGGATCCCCAGATCTTGCCTCAATTTGAATCCCTTTTATTGGAGCACCTTGGGCTTCTAAGATATTTACTGATGATATGCCTGGAGCACCTAAGTTATCATTAGTGAGCTGTTGAAAAATCTGATGTTCCCATTAAGGAATTCATTGATCTTTTGAAGATGTGGCTTGTTTAAATCAATTACATAAAAAGCAAACGTTCATCATGTCACTGCAACAGATATATTTTACTATTTTCTTTGTTCACAACAACATGGGCTTATGGCTAACAAAAAATTAAAATATCACAATCCAAAGCAATTATTGCCAATAGTTATATTAGGAACAGCAAAAAGGATACATAAGCATGCTTGCCAGAAGAACTGAACACTAATTCATCGCCTCCATTAATCACTACCATTCCCGGTTTCTGTAAGAGTTTACCATTTACCTGGACTGCTCCTTTACCCCCAATTACTTCCAATAAAGCAGCTGATGCAGCTCCATTCTACACAAAGTGATTATGAGGAATTGAAAAAAGGTAAATGATTATGACGTATTTTTTTTAATAGTGCAATTAACTTGGGAAATTGAATTGTTTACTTGTTTTTAAGAGATGAAAACCTTTAAGTATTAAATAAAAAATGCACAAGTGATACCTCTAACTGTTTTAGTCTACATAAAATCGTACTGACGGATGGATCATTAATTACTAAATCGCAATGACGGCCTTGACCAACAGTGAAAAGAGTGCTGCGCATTTCCTTGTGAGGGTACTGGAATTCACAGAACATATAAAAGCATCAGGAACAGGTTAGTATATTAGTCCCAGAAGACCATCAAAATGCTTGATAGATATTCAGAATTATGCCCATTAAAAGAAAAGAATATTATAAACATCCATATAATTCTCCAGTTCATAATTGCTTCTTGGAAGAGGGAACACTAAAACTGTATGATAATTTTACCAGGAATGAAGAACCCACTTTCACTCAAAAAAACAACAGCTAAAAATTCGCTTTTAACGTGCATCCAAACCTTAATTTCTTTCTTTTTCTTTTCCTGCTTTTTTTATTTTAAACAAGCAAGCTGAATTCATCAGCGGAGGATTGGGAGATGCCACCCGTGCATTATCATCAGTCTAAGCTCAAGAGAATAAACCATAAAATATAACATGAACCATCCTCTTACTAAACACATTTGAAAACATCCAATAGAAAAGCAGGCACATTAAACATGTTGATTAGGGACCATTTATAAAACGATTTAAGGTAAATTTCATTTAGTTTAGTCATTCAAACTCCAAAGTTGCTAATGGCAGTTTCTAACTATTGTTTTTGCAACACATTTAAAAGGACACTTTTCAAACACAAGTTCTCAACTTCAATGCCGATAAACTTTAGCTCGAATACAAATAACAACACATCATTAACCCTGTTAGGAGAGAGATACCATTAAACTGATCATTATCACTAACCTTATCATACAGAGTGAAGAACTGGGGGAGCTGAAATAAGCAAAGATACCCAGAGGTTCATTCACTCCCCTCTTGAATATTTTCATCCCTAAGTGACAATTAATTGACCAATTCAGGCCCCTTACTAGACAGCACTTGAAGCCTCACAAGGCAAGCTTCAACCAAACTTCCCACCAACTATCCAAACCGCCACATGTTCCAGACATGAACAAAGCCTCACTTTTATGCCTCAAAGCAAAACACACTCTTTACCTGCATGAAACGTCATGTGCAATCACGAAAACGCCAACTCACATTAAGGATTTTGTTTCTTAATCTCACAATGGGAAAGGTCGTTTAACCATCTCAACTAGTATTCTTTATTCCTACCCTCTAGAATTCAGAAATTTCAAAGATTAATAATGTTGACTGCAAGGTGAACTAGTGAAAATTGTCCTTGCCATATAATGATTGGTTATCAAGTGAGATGTCAATCAAGCAGCATCTCAAGAATGTCAAAAAACCATCTACATACTCGTAGAGAGATGCTACATCATTGTCTCCAGCGACACTCATGCTCAGAAGCTCATCTAATACAAACATAAACACACAGAGTGGCGAACATCAAAATACCCATTTCTACAAGTACTTCCTAAAGTCACTTGGATAGGCAAAAGTGACAAAAGATTGCAGATGATAGGTAACTCATACAAAACAAGCAGCTACACAAACAGTCCCATTAAGTGCAACAAATAGGACAAACACCACCACAAGACATTGAAACCAAGCTAATAGCAGCTAACCAAATTAAACTCTAAACACAAACAAGGAGGCAGAAGGGATTATGTATGGAAAAAATAGAACTGATATTTAGTCTCCTTTGAGGATAACTCACATAAAGCTGAGTAGCCAAGAATTATTTTGTAAAATAATTATGTCCAGGTAAAACCCACCGACCTGTGAACACTGGGAAAGCAGCTTGGCCCAAGCAAGTTTATCTAGTGGTTTCACGGGTTTTGCTACAGCTGATTTGGCTGGTCGCTTCCTGCCCCGACTCAGCGTCGCACCAACTGCCTTGGATATCTCAGCAGCATTCAAATTTGTTTCGCCTAAAATCAATCAATTAAACCAACAAAAAATCAAACACACACAAATCGAGAACAAAAACATCAAGAAGACTTAAGTAACATGACAAACAAAGCTACATGCAATTAGAGAAAGATCGCACCTAGAGGTTGTGGGGACAGTAACCCCTCGCCTTCAGGGTCAGGAGATCTCTCCGCATCGGCAGATACCGGCTCTGAAACGACAGTTACAAGGGGATCAGACGATTGCAGCTCAGGGTCCCGAGGTATGGAGCCGGATTCTTTGACCGAAGTTAGGGTTTCGACCGGCAGCGACACAGTTGATTCGTTCAATGACGATGAAGCCACCGCCGTAACCGCTGCGGTAACGGCCGCCGCCTAGGGTTCCATCAACAATAAACATCAAATCACGTGATAAAAACGTTGACAGAAGAGAGAAGCGAAACACGTACGCAAAGGATCAATCAATAAAAACAGGTTTTGCATGTTTTGCATATTTGTTTGTACCTTAGATCTTTTGGAGGAGGAGGGAGGAGGTGAAGAAGGAAGAGGGCGCTTGGAGGAAGAGGAACTGCGCCTGGTTTCAACCATCTTCTTGGCGGTTGGTGTGTTAAGCGAGACTCTGTGCTCTCTCTTCTGATCCAACGGGGGAGAGACGCGGATGGTTGTTTGCTTCGCTGAAAGAGAGACAGAGATGGAGAAAAGAGGGTATATGATTGCAGGAGATCAGTAAGCATTTATCAGGATTGTGTTTTTTTATATATATACGCTATTATCATATTAATTAAAAATTGGAGAGGACTGTTATTATGTAAAGACGGTGGTCCGGTCGGAGGTGCGAGCAGACTGTTTGGTTGGGGTTCGGATGAGATTTGTATGCATTTGGAGAGGATATTTTTCACATGATTTTTGCTCTAGCCTAACGTGAATAAATTAATATTTTTATGTCAATTTATTTTATTTATAGTTATTTTAAAAATAAATTTTTTATCTTAAATATAATTTTAAATTTTCGAAAACACGTACGCAAAGGGATCAAGTCAATTAAAAACAATGGTTTTGCATGTTTTTTGCCATATTTGTTTGTACCTTAGAATCTTTTTGGGGAGGAGGAGGGAGGAGGTGAAGAAGGAAGAGGGCGCTTTGGAGGAAGAGGAACTGCGCCTGGTTTCAAAGCATCTTCTTGCGTTGGTGATGTTTAAGCGAGACTTCTGGTGCTCTTGCTCCTTCTGATCGCAACGGGGGGAGAGACCGCGGAATGGTTGTTTGCCTTCGCTGAAGAGAGACAGAAGATGGAGGAAAAGAGGGGTATATGAAAAATTGCAGGAGATCCAAGTAAGCATTTTATCAGGATTGATGTTTTTTTTATATAATATATACCGCTATTAATCATATTAACTTAAAAAATTGGAGAGGGACTGTCTATTATGTAAAGACGGGGTGGTCCGGTCCGGAGGTGCGAGCAAGACTGTTTTTTGGGTTGGGGTTCGGATGAGATTTGTTAAAATGCATTTGGAGAGGAAATATTTTTTCACAATGAAAATTTTTTTTGCTTCTAGCCCTAAGACGTGGAAATAAATTAATATTTTTATGGTTCACATTTATTTTATTTATAGTTTCATTTTAAAAATTAAATTTTTTATCTTAAATATAATTTTAAATTTTTAATTAATATATTAAGACATAAAGAGAATAGTATATTCATCTTAAAATTTAATATATATATATATATATATATATATTGTCATAATTTGTAATAACTTTAAAAAATTGTTATTTTGATATTTTTTAAGATGCGGCAACTAGTCTATTTGATGATGGACACTGAATAATAATATAGTCATTAGCTAATATATAATCATATTTATAACTTTAATTGTTATTTTATATTTTATCGGCAACCGCTATTAAACACGAATAATAATTAGTCATTAGCTACCAGTTATCAACTTTTAGCTGATATGAACAATTGAACTAAACGAGTTCCAAAAATGTTGTCTCGTTTATCGTTTAGCGTTTCACAAATAATTAGTGAATAATTTTTTTACACTTATACACGTTATTGTTTATAAATTAACAAGTTCTATCTTTAATCTAAAATTGTTCCTTAGTCATTTTAAATATCAAACATTTTCATTTTTCAAATTATTATATAAATAATAGTTACTAAATTAAATCAACTAACAGTTATTATTAAAACAGTAAATTTTGCAAGCATACTGACATAAGGGAGGGTGGAGTTACACTATTGAATTTTTGAATAAATTTTCATTAGAGAGGTTTGGTTGCTGTAATCTTATAAGAAAATAATTTGGAAAGGTAATTTATGTGTTTAGTTGGCACTGCCTGCCTTACATGAATGCAATATATTTAGGGAATTTTCATTTCTAAATAGATGTGCTTTATCCCTACTTTTGCATCTTAAATGGTAAGAAAGCTGGATTTTCTATAAAAAAAATAATATAATTTAAAAAAATAAAATGGCTTAATGTTCTTAATTGATTTATTTTCTTGAAAATTTCCTAAAACTATCAAAATATGATAATTTGATATTTCCAAAGTAATTTTTTCATATGAAAGTGAATCTTGATTTAAAATGGAATTATTTTTTATGTGTGTGCATTTGTATTCAAAGTCAAAGTGGAATAATAAATTCTATAAAGGCAAAATATAATTTAAAATCAAGAAGATAAAGATTAAATTTGGCGTTATACAATATGACTACTAAATAAAGGAAAGTTGATTACCATATAAAAAAGGAAATTATTTAAACTGTGTACTGCTGTAACCTCTTATGGTATAATTTGGAGGCTTAACCATGATTTATATACTTACCATATATTTTGCATGTAATTTTTAGAGTTTTGCTCTCCATTTTCAAAAAAAAACCATAGGTCTTTATTATTTTGTGCAATGTAGATTTTTAGAGTTTCTTGCCGTCGGTCCATTTTCAAAAAAAAAAAAAAACAAACAACATATATATATAATATATATATTATTCGTCTAACCCCTTGTTATTGTTTAGTCATTTTTTTTTCTTTTTTTATAACTCACTTTTTTTTTTTTTTTTTATTAAATCACTTATATTCTCATATGTCTTAATTATCGTTAGATTTATTTGGTGTATGCATCTTGTATAAGTAAATCTTTTTCCAAAATAACAATGTTATCCAATCATATTTTTAAAATCAAGAGGACAATAATTAAATTTGAACTTATATAATATGAGTAGTAAGAGTTTATTTAGCTATTAGCTGTTTAAATTATAAGTGTTTAGTAAAAATAACTGTTTAATTAGTTGTTTAATTTAAAATGACAAGAACATAACGTTAGTTGTTTAATTAGTTGATTTCAAAAGAAAAAAAACAATGGATATACTTGTCAAAAAAATTTAATTAAAAGCTAAATGCTGATTATTTAACGTTTCATAAAAAATTATTATGAAAGCTATATTATTGAATGCTACTATTAAGAATGGTAGAATTTTAACTTAGTCAAAATGTTAAAAACTATTTCAAAAGTTATTGTCGAAGACAACATAATTAATAGAAATTAGTTAATTGCCATTTAAAACAAAAATAGCCTATTATTTTCATCAAATTTATTTAATTATCATCAGATTTATTTAACATATATGCCATGTGTAGATAATTATTTTCTAAAAAAATAATATCATCCAAATAATTTTTTTTGGAGAAATTTCCATTAGATGTACTAAGCGATGGAACCATCTCGGTACAAGGGGACAAAATAGTTATTTTGACAGAACTAGAAGGAATAAATAGTAATTTAAAAAAAAAAAAAAAAAAAAGAAGGAATAAATAGTAATTTAAAAAAAAATAAAAAAAAAAAAGACCAGTTTTACTTTTTAAGACCTAGCGCACGTTGTAAAGGGTCGAGTAGGACAGTTTCAGTTCCATTCGATCTTGCTGGCCCACGGAAAGGCCAATGCTAAATCTGGATGCCATGTCGACGGGCCATTTAAGCCTTTTTATGTACTAAAATTAATAATAAGTAATATTAGTGATTAAGTTAAGCTTTAGTGCTAGTAAGTCAACTAAAAAGTTGTGGGGTCCCGTAAACAAGTTTGGAGTTTGGTTAAAAAATAGGTGGCTCGCAAACTGGGGAAAGACGAAGAAGGCGCATGGTTGTCAGTTTTAAGTAGTTGGGCATTTATGTCGCCTAGCAATGCATCCATTATTTAAGGACTCATGCCAACACGCCTTAACTAAAGTTAAGCACAATAATGCAAAAGAACAAAATGGGAAAGTTCGTTACTGCATTTCAATTTGGTTTTGTAAAAATAAGATAAATTAAATATTAATAATATTTGGTCAAATGGACAAGGATTTGTGATGTATTGGAAGAGGTCAAGTACGACTTTCATAAAGATTATGCAATTATTTATTAAAAAAAATTTGTTTTGATTATTAACTTGTGTGGCGCGAGCGTATTCCTCAGTTTTAGTCGTAAAAAAATGAATTGTAATGAATAGAAATTCTCTTACAAAGAGGTAGGAAAGAGCATGGGTTGAATTCTTAAGCCTTTGAAAGTTCAATTTTTAAAATTATAAAGGTTTATAAAATTAAATATAAATATAAAATAATAGAATCAGTTTTAACAATTGATGATCAAGAAGAATCTAAAAATATAGACGGCGACGAAGCTAAGTTGAAAATTGATAATTAAAAGTTTTTCTTGAAAAAATCTTTAAAACAATAAATCGCTTTCAAATATGAGAAGAGATTAAACTTTTTTTATCAAAAGAACTGTTTTGTACAGAGAATTGAACTGATATCTTATGATTTTCAAGCCCCAAAAAAAAAATAATAAATAGGAGCTTTTTATTTTATATATATATTTCATTTAACATTGATCCAATTAAATTAAATCTATTGTAGTTATTTTCTACGGTCCTAAATAAATAAATAAATCTGTCACGGCAGAAAAAAAAATAAGATTTATTAAAGTGGCGGCCACTGGGTGTTTCGTTCAAGAAACCATCAGCATGTTTGAATTATAATCTATTGACATTTGCCAGATGATGAAATGGTGCGCAATCTATTATAAGCAGGCTTATGAGTTGTATGATTTTAATTATGAACCTCACATTGTGATGCTTTTTATAGCCCATGCCAACTGTGAAAATTAAAGTTTGGCATTTTCTTCGTTATGCTCCTCTCATAAAGCAGCAATAAAAATCCATGAATATTGAACAATCCATGAATAAGGAAATGAAAGAAAAGAGGGGTTGGTTGGTTGGGTTGATCAATTTTTGGAGCCAACCTTGGAATTTAATATTTACAAATCAAATCAAACTATATCCATAAAATGAATGAATGGAAATGAGAAAAACAGAAACAAAATTTATATACCCTTTAGTTTAATTTTCTATTCGCCATACCACAGAATTTTGGAGAAAGTTTGCTAACCGACCCAATGCCTGTAGGGGATGTGAATCAAATTAAATGGTCACTGGACACTTCAAATTGTGTGGGAGTCGCCAACTGTTATTGACAGCTGTTAATCTAACAGGGGCTTTGTTTGAAAAATGTCCTATGACTGTTTCCGGACTTTTACATGCACAGCAAACTGCTCCAAATGCTATGTGGAGTGCCGATAGGATTCAATTTGACGACACTTAAGAAAAAAAATAGAAAAGATCTAAAAAAAAAAAAAAAAAAAGCTCTTAAAATGGTTAAATTTCTTAGGTATATTTTTCATGTTAAGGTTGAGGTAATACGAAAAAGTAAGATAGCATTGATTGAGTTCGTACCCTGGGCACT